GGAACTTTTGTTTTGTCACAATGCAAATGAGTGAGGGAGCACCGAGTGTAAATACACACAATTGAGGCTTTATGCCGACCAGATGCTCTTAGTTTGCCCCTTGGCAACAACAGTAACCGTTCTCTAACTTTGCGCTTAGTTGTTGTGTATATATTTCACTTAATAGCAGCTCTTCTTTTATTTTATATATATGTATTTTTTTCGGCACTCACAAACACAGCACACAAGCAAAGAGCGGCGACAGCGGCGAATACGCGATATATTTTTTTTCAGCCTTTTCGCAGCTAAACGGAGGCACTAACTACTGAACTAAGCCAAACAACTAAGAGCGCAGCAGGCGAGCGACCAACTCCAAGCAGCCCTCGAAAACAAGTGACTGGAATGAAGCGAAATGAAATGACTGCCGAGCAACGATCGTCAGAAATCAGCTGGCTCTCTTGGCGCACTCGCTTCCATTCCAGGAGACTCTCTTCTCTGACTCTTGTCTCTTTTTCTCTTTCCGGCCTGAGCCGAGTGGCTCTAGGTTTCTGTTTCTTCAACTGGAATCGAATTGAAGAATGGAAAAAACTCTCTGATTGGAAGTGCACAAGAGACTTACTTCCCGCCAGTGATTGGTTTTCCAAGTACCATGCGGGCATTTGTATTTGCATTCGTTAAATGATTGTGCCTAATTCGAGTGATAATGGTGATAGCAAACACGTTGGTACAGTGGGCACTCATTTATGTGCAAAATGATATGATGATGGTTTTTCAAATCATTACGGAGCTGGTACCAATTTGTTACTACTGAAATATAAAAAAATATTTTTGAGTATAAAAATTTAATAAAAAAAAATTATATATATATATCACATATAGTGCGAAACATGTTGCGATTTGGATAATTTTTAGAAGTGTATAATAGCAAAATAATGTTGATAAATTATCGTAATTTTTTCGAAAAATACATAAACGATTTTGAGAGTTTTTGAAAATTAAAGTAAAGAAGCAGCGCACAGAGATTGTTTTGGAACGAATACATTTATATTTTATCTGTAAAATGTTACATACCATAAAATGTTTTCTATCAGTTTTATCAATACAAATATTCAAATTCTTCAGAAAAAACATTTATACTTTCGTTAATAAATGTTTAGTTGAATTTTTATGTACTTATAATAAAAGTATAATCATTACTTCACCGATGTTATTAGCTACAAATAATAGTTAGTGGACAACGTAGTTGACATCGGGGTAGACGGTGATTATTTTGACTACAATATGTATAAGCTGTCCCGAGAGATTAACTGCTTAGGCGAACAATAAATATTTTGTATTAAATATATATATATATATATATATTACATTAGTATTCCTTTGGGTAATGTATTGCCATTCAAAATATTTTATTATTATTTTGTGGTAAAAAGTATCTAGAGATCATCTGACATCGATTAATATGACTCTGATTAAACGAAGTTTAAGTGTCTTCCTTTTCAAATTACAAGTATAAATAAGCATTGTTTCTTCTTTCTTAAAAAAAATATCACACATACGTAGTGTTGGCTTGGCGACCCTAATTTTAACCTTGTCTTAAGTTATTTAACGTAATATGTATATGAAGTTCTAAATATTTTCAACTCAGAATCAGAAGCATACTCATGTAATAGTGTCATTGAAAAATACTATACACAGTAAATACTGTATTGTACGACACTGTACTTACATATATGAAAAAATGTTCCTGTAAATTTGTGATAATCACTTAAGCAGCTCTCTCTTTAGTTTTCTGGCGCTCTCCCCGATTATTAAATGATAACGAGATGACGGTGATAGGTGCACAGATATAATGATAACATTGCTTCTCGCGCCCTCTATGTGTTTTGGTTTTGTTTCGCTAAGTTCGTCACCAGTTTAATTAACATGCAAGATAAGCTTTCGATCTGAGGAGGAATCCCTTTTCAGCGATGAGCAGGGAAATTTCCAACCAGGTGACGTCATTACTTGCAATGCAGATTGCGGTAAAGTTCAGAAACTATTTTTAGAACTCCGGTGATAGCGAAAGCATGCCCGCATGTTGTCAAAACAAAAATTTCATTATGACTTGGTGGACAAAATAAGCCGGGAACGACAGTCACAGTACAAGATAATCCATGTTAGATGTATTGTTATCGATGCACCTTATCTTTGCGTGGCCTAAACGGACCGACTAACGATGATGATGTGGAATAATGTGTCAGTAGACCTAAACATTTCCTGTTACCAATAGCTGATAATCGAATTTGTTATGTGTTCATAACATTCAGAAAACTATTTAAAAAAATTATAATATTATAAAGTCCAATTTTTTAACTTATCATTGTAACTTATCATTATTAGATAGTTGTTTTGTATATTTTTATTATTTCTATGGGAGCTATGTGATATAGTCGTCCGATGTTGATGAATTTTAATTCTGAAATAATTAACCAATACTATATGTCGAAGAACTTAGAAAAAAATTAAAAAACAGCTAAGTTTTAATTTTGTTTCCTTTTTTTTCCGATTGTTCCTATGGGAGCTATATGATATAGTCGTCCGATTTCGATAAAATTTTGACCGTAATTCTGAAATAATTCTGAAATTATAGGTCGAAGAACTAAGAAAAAAATTAAAAAACAGCTAAGTTATAATTTTTTTTCATTTTATTTCCGATTGTTTCTATGGGAGCTATATGATATAGTCGTCCGAACCGGCTCGTTCCGACTAGTATACTACCTGCAATAGAAAGACAACTTTTGGGAAAGTTTCATGCAGATAGCTTTAAAACTGAGAGACTAGTTTGCGTAGAAACGGACAGACAGATGGACAGACGGACGGACAGACGGACATGGCTAGATCGACTCTGCTAGTGATGCTGATTAAGAATATTTATACTTTATAGGGTCGGAAATGTCTCCTTCACTGCGTTGCAAACTTGTGACTGAAATTATAATACCCTCTGCAAGGGTATAAAGACAAATCTCTCAGCCCTATAACTGCAAAATAAACATGTTTTTTATTATCCACTTTTTGAGAACCCTTAATTATCCTAAATATTTTATTGAGTAATAAATGAAAATGTATGACACAATGATTAACAAGTCCTTCGTTGGGAACTTTCCAAAACGATCGCTTTTATAAGATAACATCTTATGAATGTAGGTTACCATTCTTTGTCACCGGCAAAAAGATTTGCAGGCGACCAGTGATTCAATTTCGTGCGAATAAAAGTGAAACGCCTTCGAAATGACGTTGATAAAAACACCCAAAATTTCGTCCGCCCTTCCTGTCTCGCCCAGCAACAATTGAATTTACTTTGTGATCCAAAAATGTGTTAATTAGCCAGACACGTTCGAATCGTTGACCAAAATTTATTTGTTTACTTCGCGCCTTGCGAATGTATAAAGCGTTTGTGTGTGTTCCCAAAAATTTGGTTAATAACTTTGGCAAAGTACCAAATTCGAGTGGTCGCAGCTGACAAGTTGTTTATGTGTGTCCGCACATTATGGCTTCATTATGAAATCGCAACTAATCTGAACTACACATACTGATAAATAGGTTTGCAAATGAGGTGATTGATATTTGCCAATTTGACGAGGGCAAAACAGATCATATGGGGCTGAGGAAGAATTCCTGGTTACCCAGTCGGTTTCTTTTAATTAGCCAGTCTTAATAGTAAAACCAAAGTATCGGTGAATGAAAAGTGTCCAAAATGTGGTAACTGAAGGCTGATGTTATTCACAATAGCAGTTCTAAGCAATTCAATTACCATATATTATTAAAATTAGCAGTTACACCAGTTTCAAATTTTTTTTTACTTTGTTAACCACAAACTCGTCCACTTGGTTCACAAAATGTTTAATTCACAACAAAATGATTCTAAAACCTTTCCATTTTATTCGAACAATATTTGTTTATTATAATACAGAATAATATATTGTATCCATATGGGAAGGGCAACTAAGGCTTTTACATTTTTTTTTTTACCGTTACTTTTTTCTCCATTCTTATTTGTCCCACATAGAAATACGAACTTAAAACATGAGCAAACTAGGTATTTTGAATTTTCGTTCAACTGCTATGCTTAATTTTACTGCACTTTGTTTTTTATTTTATTTATTTCAGTAAGTTGACAACATATACTGTACTATTTAAATGGCGCGCTTATTTTTTTAAATCTGACCAGATCGTATTTGCGCCGCTGGCGTTGCCCCATCTAGCATAACTTTAATGTTGGCCCTTAGCAAGGACACCATCCATAATTAGCGAAGACGCGCTTCGATACAAGCAAAGACCCGCAATAGCGAAGACACGCTCCGATATGAGCAAACTGGAGAAACTCTTCCCAGTTAGCGAAGACACGCTCCGCCGTTAATATTTGTTAGGGACAACCGCTGTTGTTGTCATCGCTATGTAGGTGTAGATGCCTTTCCACCTCTAGCGAGAAAACTTGAATTTCTGTAAGGAAAACGTTGTATTTAAGCATTACATTAAAGCAGTTGCTTCAAAATTTCTTTCGCTAACTCTGCATGTAAACCATGAGTGTGGATGCTGCACTCGCTAAATTACATGTCTGTGCTAAATACTAAATTTTAATTGCAAGCTGAATAGCCACCTATCGGACTGTAGCGAAACTGGTGGAAATAATAAGTTTCTAGCAGTTGTTTCTGCCCTCCTGTAGGTGTAGCCAAAATTTTTTTTTTTTCAAAAACGGACACTTGGCGCCACCTGTTGGTTGAGAAGAAAATATCGTCAGAGACGGAAAAGCATCGATAATCTCTGCCAAACATCGATAGGAGCTATATTTTGAAAACATCGATGACATCGATGTTGGCATCGGTATTTACGCACCGCTAGCGGAGAATTTGCGTGCATGTGGTGGGTTTCTGTTTTGTAGTGAAATGTTAGCGAAACGTCGAACTAACAGCGAGAGAGAGATGGACGGATAAACATCGATAGTCTCTACCAAACATCGATATTTTGAAAACATCGATGTTCGCTCGATGTTTTTCCACCTCTAGCTCTCGAACTCGGTCGTTTCGCTCGTCAAAAAAGTCAGAAAATGTGGAAAATAATTGATAAACTGTTCTGAAAAGTGTGTGTAAATGCTATGTAAAGTGTCTGTTTGTGAAATTTCATTGTATTTGCAAACCGGAATGGCCGAAAATGTGTAAAAATCGAGAGCAGCAAACCTGATTTTTGTGAAGAAGAAGCAGGCATTTTTCATCGTCGTAAAACGCGTACATACAGACACTCACACACAGATATATATATATGTATATATCAAACGCGCGGGCGCGCGAGAGTGAGAAAGCGAAATAACAAGAGAGCGTGTTTTTGTGCGTTTGTTTTGTGCGACAAATAGAGAGCGTGAGAGCGGCGAATGTGAGAGCCAAAGCAAAAACCAAGAAATAAGTGAACGAAAATAAAAACGAAAATCGCAATGTCCAACCCTGTGTTTTGTGTTTACTAGTGTTTTGGATGTTTCTGTGCCGTTTTGTTGTGGAAAATATAGGATTTGGATTATTCGTGCACTAAAAATGTAAAAATGCCGAACGGTAAATGCAGCCTAAACAACCCCTGAAACTGAATCTCAATCTGCATCTGGATTATTCGCTCGACAAAAAGGTAATTAAAAGATCGACGCGATAAAAGGCGTCGCCGGCTGCCGATGAGTCAGTCTACCGTGAATATATATGTACTCACTATATATGTATATTATGGCAGATATTGATTTGGAATGCATCCGGAGACATCAACACAATCAAAATCGAACACATTACATTATCATACCTCATCATTATCATATTCATAATCCCACACTAACCTTTGTAGACCTCTAGTGAGTAGTTTTAGAGTGTTGTTTCTAGCTAGAAATACCAGCAAGTGTCGTTCAATTATTCACTCGATAATGCAAATTAAGCTGCACAACCAATACTGTTAGTTTATGGCCCACGCTGCGTTTTATGGCTACAGAGGCACCTTGATATGGTGGATCTACAGTTGCCGCGCACTTCTGTATTACCCTAAGACCTCAATTAAACCCTAACGTATTACTTTGTCTTAAAAGATTTTTGTATATTTTTGTTTTCCCCGAGTTGATTCCCAGAAAATTGTAGATCAGTTCAGTATAACTTATTTGCCTGGATGTTTTGACTTTTTTATGATTTAAACTTTATTTAATGTTTGTCCATATAATTATGTTATTTCGACAATAGGTTTTATTCTCCTGAAAATGCATAATCTTTACAAAAGTTTATTGCACACAAAAATATGTAACGAAAGATTTAATTAATATTAATATTTCTAGACATTAATGAAATATTTTTTATATGGGGGCCCATAATAGCAAATATTAATTATATTGCTTTGGAACTGAAATGTTTTTTTAAAACCTATTAAAGACAGCTTTTTAAATAAAAACTTGCTTTCTTTATTTTGACTAAATTTATTGTTGAGTAAGTTCCACCGTAGTAAGTTCCAACCGAGATTTTCATCTACGACGTTTTCCATTATTTACCACCCGTAAAACGAACGGTAAATGACAGTCGCTGGCACACCCACACACAAGCTCTCTGCCGAGCTATAATAAAGCAGCATCGATAAATAAAACTTAATGTGTGACCAGTTAATTGCTTTTGTTGTCGCCTCATTCTAAATCAAATTCAGCCGCTCTCCTTCTCTCTTTCTCTCTCTCGCGCTCACATGGCCAAGTGTTTGTATAACTAAAATTGTTGTTTGTTTTGTTGCTGGCGCTGTTGAAACTTTTAATAAATTGTACAATAACATGAAAAACGATCTCAACAGCAGCAGCTAAATCGATTGCTGCTGCTTTTCGTTGCCTGTTGAATAATTACAAAATATATATATTTATACATAAGGTTGTTTATGTATTTGTTGACGCCATTTTTTTATTTGCCATCAAAAAGGCAAATTCCAAATCGCCTAGTCTGTTTGTGTATGTGTGTGTGGGAAACTACGCGCCAAATAACATTGAGGCGCAAAATCGCAAAATGAGTAATTGCGCATATTAAAATTCGCCTTTCAAAAGTCGGCCCATTTGACGGGCGACCAACTGAGCCGCAAGCTAATGCGAGATCTTGAATGTGAATGAAAATGCGAATGGGACGAACTGACGCTCATCCGAATGCAATTTTAACGGTCCACTGCACAAGCAACTCGCCGATCACACCTCGCTTAATCATTAAAATTTGGATTACAGTGGTATAAGACATTACGAAGTTAAGCGTAAGGAACAGTATAACTTTTTTAATTTTCTTCTCTACTTTAGTTTTAATTTGCTTTGTTCTTTATGTAAATTTTGATATTGACTTTATAAATTTTCAACAATATTTAAAAAAAAAAACAAGTATTTAAAAGCAATTATTTGATTTTAAAAAATGTTGAATTCATTCCATATTTTGTTAAGAATTCTTCGGTATTGATTTTTAAAACCCATTTCTCAATCTTTCTATTTCCCAATGATTTCTATTTGTTTCGGTGGTCAAAAAATTAATGTGCAGTATTGTTAGCGGTATTTACTCTTTTGTTTACAGTGCGATTGGAGAGGCTGCTTCTGGCAAGTGGGTTATTTTATTATACAAGCGTTTTGTTACCTTTTACCAAACATTAACCATCAGCAACCACTACAGCTACAAAACCAGATGTCCACACACACATCAACAAGTATTTAGTTCATGTTTCGTGGCAAATTGGACATCAAAATTGCGAGCTGCCAAATCGGCTCTCAATTTTCAATGCTCATTCATGGCCCAGAGATATATACATTCATCCCAATACTAAATCGTAACACACCCATACCAATACCCCCTTTCGCATATTATTGGCGCGCACATTTTTCATGTTTCACCTTTAGCTGCGTGTTTTGATTTACAAGCAAACACACAAACATACTCACTCCCCCGCGTGCGCTCTCTTGTACTCTCTTTATTTTTTATGGGATGGGGCTCTCTCTCATTTGTTGATTCAACTTATTCAGCTGCTTTCTCTGCGCTCTCCTTATTACACTGAACAAAAACTCGACGAGTTTTATATGGAATTATTTTAAATTATTATTATATTAAATATTGCATATAAAATTATTATTTTTTCTTTTGAAAAATGTATAAAAAAATCAATAGGATTAAAAAAAATTGTTTGTGGTTTCTCCACAATTTCTTGGCTTTGACTTGGGGCGTATATAAAAAATGAAATATCGACACTGAATTAAAAAAATGTATATTAAATTTATATTTACTAAGAAAAATATAAAGAGGCATTTGATCTAACATTATTCCCTTATCAAAATGGTATGGAAAATATAAATCGAGTCTTTCTTTTTTGCAGTGCAAAGTATTTAAGACATTTTTGCATAATTTCATACAAATTTACATATTTTATGTGCGAGGTTGACTTCGATTTTTTCCAACTTGTCAATCGAGTTTGTATATGAGAGTGTGTGGCATGCAGATAGTTGTCTGTTCGGTAAATGTGTGAGTGGGTTGTATGAGTTGTTGTGATTGTCGTGCTCGTGTTTATAGCTCTTAATAGTTCGTTACCTGTCTCTCTCTATATCTTCTTCTTACTCCCCATTTTCCTTCTACCTCCCACCCTCACTCATTTGCCATCTCATTCTGCTCTCGTGTGCTTGACTTTAATCTTCTCAATTACTCGCAATTTGCAAGTTTTGTACTCGCGCCTCTTTCCCGGTTTTTGGTATGCAGTGGGAAAGAGACAGTGAGTGTGAGAGCAGGTTAGGGTACACAACAAAAAACGTATAATTAGATGTCAATTTTAATCAATTAAGCAATTTATGAACATGTTTTCATATCACTTAGCAGCTCAGACCCATCAATGTGAAATTAAAAGGCGCTGATTCGACATGTAGTCATTCGAAAGATAAGATAGGGGATTTGTTTTGAAAGAGATGCTTTTTGAAAGTCAATGTAGTTCAAAAATAGTTACTTATTTATGTAAATGCTATTATTAAAGTTAAAAGTTCAGAAAAGTACAAAAATTTTTAGTTTTTCTCAGCTAACCAAGCATATCCTTGTTAAAATGACATCGCTTTTAGAAAAAAACTAATGAATTTCTAACTAAAAACTAAAGCATAAACATGAAAATAAAAAGAAAAGATTAATCAGATTTAAATTATCACATTAAGTTGCAATCAAAAATTATTTTTAGGCAAAATTTTCAATTGTATAGAACAGAATTTTGATTATACCTATTGTAAGATTTTATGATTATTCAAATAAGGGTAGAAGTCAATAAAATTCTCCACCTACATATGTATGTATATTCAATTTTGTTCAGTGCCCGTATTTCGTTTCATTTTTGTGGCCCATTCTTCTTATTCAAGTTCTTGTACGTTTGCGCTTGTTTTGATTTCTTAATCTTTTTACCATAATTGATGGCAATTAAACTAAAGGTGTGTGAGTTGGCTCTCTTTCCCTGACCCACCACCTTTCCCTCCTCCTCCTTTTTGGTTTAGTTTTCGTTTATCTTCGTGTTTGCTCGGTTGTCGATTTCGAGGGAGGCGATGATATGATGATGATGACGATGCAATCGAATTTCGAATTGGCCTGGCCAGTTTTACTTTGCCTCGTTATTCGCCGTTCGCCGGGAGATTGTTCGTTTGGTTGGCCGATTGTCTCTTCGCCCCTTTATATTACTCTCCCCCTCTTCCCACAGCTTCTGCCACTCCTCTTCACGGCCTCCCTCCCCCTTCACGCTTTCCGTGTGACTCTGGTTTTTATGACTGCACTTGGATTACAGTGAAGCCGACACTTGAGTTCCATTAATTGGGTCTCAGGATACAGTCAAACGGCTCAATTTCAAAACAGTCAAATAAATTGCTGCACAAACTAATAAAGAAAAACAAGAAACATTTGGAAAATAACTAGATTTTTAATACAAATATTTTTAGTTTATACTTAAATTAAAATTTAATCAAAATGTAAACCACCTAGTAATGTATAAGAATTTATAACTTTAGTCTTAACGGTGGCTTAATAACATGAATGTTTTTATTGAAACGTGACGAAATTAGGGTTTTGATGACTCAAATGTTGGTTAATAACATTAATTTTAATTTGACAACTTCGTTCAGCAGCAAAAATGAGGTTGGTAAAAAGCTACTATGATATAGTATTCATCAAAAATACGGCAACTAGCGTAGTTAATTTGTCGAATAATTTAGTTATACGACGAATTGTTACTCACCGTTTGTAAAAATATCCTATTTCTGAGCCATCATTTGGTTTACAAAAATGTGAACAGTCTGGTTGTAAATTACACTTCCGACCCCATAATTTCCAAAATGTCAAAGGAATAACTAGAAATAAAAAGTAGTAATTAATCCAAAATTGTTTGTCCCCCTATTTCTTTAAGTAACACCTTTTCTACTTAAAAACAAATGGTTAGTAATTAGTGAGCACCCACTGTTCAGGTAAACACACCGTATCCTTTTAAAAAAGCATCTCCCTATAAAATAAATTGTCCGTTCCTAAGGAGCAACCCCTGTGCAGTCTATCCATTTTAATTTGCTCATTTTGTCGTCTTTATCAACTCGTTTTGTCATCGTTCTGTGGGATTTTATTGATTCGTTGAAATATTCATGCTGAGTTCTCCCTGCGCCTTTGATGTTATTGCCGCCGTTTGGTTGGTGGCACATAATTAAAGCGTTTTAGTTAATTGATGTCAACACACAACGTAGTTAGCATTCTGCTGCTGTTTGGGCATTTTCTTGGTATTTGTGTGGGTTTCTCAGATACAATTTGTGTGCAATTTGTTGGTGAGTGATTTTCTGATTGTTTCTTGCTTGTCTGCCAACTTAAAATACCCTCCCCATTTTGCCCCTACATGGGTATTAAATTGTTGACAATTGTTTTGAGCTTGAGAGAATTAACCTTTAGTTTTTTATGTCATGATATATTTCTAGTGTTTTCGCAATTAAATGGCCACTAATATTTTATTGTTTATGTATTTCGTGGCTTAATTTATTTTTGATTTAGGATTAGGATTGATATCAGGCCTTGACGATGCGGTGCAGAAGATTACAAAAGTTTTTTAAATAGGTTTCCGTTTGTCATCAATCATAAAGTATGAGAAAATTATTCCACTCGCATCTGTCAATGACAGAAAATATATTATTTAACATACCTTATTAATTTGTTTCAGCAATTGATTATAATCGATTTGTTAATTAAATAAAGCAGGTTTTGTAAGGTATATAATAGCTTTAGTTTCATCAGCTTTTTTAAATAATTACTGTTGTTACAAAAGCAATCATTTATTACCTAAAATCTGAAAATATGTATAGATTTATATATGTATCTTTTTTTTGTAAAACTAAGCTACGAACTACTTTTTATTTAAACCTGTAAATAGTTTTGTAAACCTCAAAGGCATCAGATAAAAAGCAACAAATCACTTGCATCATTGGACAGATTAAAATCTTTATTAAGTATTTTTAACACTCCATCATCCATAGATTTCAAATGCAAATTTTCAATTTGCATATTGAGTATTAGGTATTCAACTCACGGCAACTCCGCAGCAATTAGTGTAATCGCCGTGCAAATACGGAGAAGTGTTGTCCAATTAAGCCTGGTTTAGTCCCAGTCCCATTCGCAGTCTCAGATCCCATGCTTACATCATGCCACCGCTGGGGCCATAAAGATACAACTCAATGGTAGAAACAAAAACCAAAGCAAAAGCGATATAAAAAAAACGAGGAAAATCGACAAATACAATCACAAATCGCAAACAACATTGGCAGGAGACCGAAGCTGAAGTACAGTGGGTGCACATTATTGCTTATTGTCTTAAGCATAATTATCTGACCAATATTTAAAGAACTTATACTATATTTGCAGACTTAAAAATATAAAAATGAATGAAATTTGGTTCAACTATTTTAGTAGTTTAAACATAAAATTTTTAATTAAATTTTTTCTAACTTGATGATGATAATTATAAATAACAAGAAAGAAAGCAAACTTCGGCAAGCCGAAGTTCATATACCCTTGCAGCTATTGCATGAATTAAATACTTTTGAAAACATTTAAATTATGATTTACTTGAGTATATGCTGAAAAACATTGAAACTATGATGATTTGCAGCTCAATTATTAGATAGTTATTTTATATATTTTTATTATTTCTATGGGAGCTATATGCTATAGACGTCCGATTTTGATAAAATTTAAAACATAATTCTGAAATAATTAAACATTGCTATATGTCGAAGAACTAAACAAAAAATTAAAAAACAGAAAAGTTATATTTTTTTTTCATTTATTTTTCCGATTGTTCCTATGGGAGCTATATGCTATAGTCGTCCGATTTTGATGAAATTTAAAACATAATTCTGAAATATTTAACCATTACTATATCTCGAAGAACGAAACAAAAAATTAAAAAACAGCAAAGTTATAATTTTTTTTCATTTATTTTTCCGATTGTTCCTATGGGAGCTATATGCTATAGTCGACCGATTTTGATGAAATTTAAACCGTAAATCGGAAATATTTAACCATTACTATATGTCGAAGAACTAAACAAAAAATTAAAAAACAGCAAAGTTATAATTTTTTTTCATTTATTTTTCCGATTGTTCCTATGGGAGCTATATGCTATAGTCGTCCGATCCGGCTCGTTCCGACTTATATACTACCTGCAATAGAAAGACAACTTTTGGGAAAGTTTCATGCAGATAGCTTTAAAACTGAGAGACTAGTTTGCATATAAACGGACGGACAGACGGACAGACGGACGGACAGACGGACGGACAGACGGACATGGCTAGATCGACTCTACTAGTGATGCTGATCAAGAATATATATACTTTATAGGGTCGGAAACGTCTCCTTCACTGCGTTGCAAACTTCTGACTGAAATTATAATACCCTCTGCAAGGGTATAAAAATGTTTTGATTTTAAATCCCGTTTTGCAAAATGTTTCTCCAACTGCATTTCTATATGTACGAATGCGCTGGAATTGACTTGCTGGAGAGCAGTATGCAGTATAGTTGACAAGATTGACTAACTAACGATGCAGGTAAGCCAGGTAAACTTACTGACTTCCAAACACCTTTGAATGGAAACCAGAGGCGAAACGGAAAACAATTACGACGTACTGAGTCATGCTTTTCGGAAATGTGGGGAAAGGAGTTGGGAAAACTGGGGAGGACCAAAGCGTCGACCGCCAGCCCGAAATCTCGAAAGTATTTTCACCTCATTTCGACCACTTAAGCTCAAAATGCACACAGATAAAAAGTAATAGATATTTTAAGGTAATCTTATAATTAAAGCGTTGTTTTATTAAAATATACATGCATATATATTTAGAAAGTTTTTCAATTATTTTAAACACATCTTTTACCTCATTAAGATATATTTTCCTCTACAAACGTAGTTTTTAATCTTATTGATTATCATTGTGTTAAATTAAAGTATTATATGAAAGGTTGAGATCATTAATTATCCATTGATAATTTTGACTTGCACAATTCTTTATCAACAAATGCTTAATGTTGACATTTTTCTGGTATAAAGATCCACTATAAAACTAATTTTAACAAAAAATCTGAGTATAAACTAAACGAAGATGACTTACTTAGATGTCTAAGAGCATGATATTTTATAAACTCAAAAGTTTGATTGGTAAATTACGAATGACTATGTTGTTAGAAGCCTTATAAAGTGTTTTAAACTGTTAAAACTAATGTTTGTTTATAAAAGAAAATATATACCTAATTATCCAAATTTCTTTCTGTGCACACTCATACTTACTCACTGATACACACACACACATGTATAATCATCGCACATTGTCACCCACACAAACATCCGCACACACGCTCAAACACTCGAAAAGTCAACTTTCAACTTGTTTGCCCAACTGCGACGATGCGAACTAATAAATTTCTACTTGTTTTTTTTTCTCGCCCCCTTTTTACCACCCAACCACCCACCGCCACCCCCTCGATAATTTTTGCAGATTTCAAGACACGCAGACTGCAGACTTTTATGCACCAGTGTGTGCGTTTGTGTGTAAAGAAGTGTGGTGGAAATGGGATGATGTAGACCGAGGATATATAGAGATGATGATGGGGATAATGATGGTAATGATAATGAGCACCATGTGGCCGCCAACACAAACCAGCATCAATCGAAACAACAACAGAAACAACAAAAGCAGCAGTTACAGATGAGAAAAGTTGCCGCGAAAGTACAGCAATGTGGAAAACTGTGAATTCGTCGAGCAGAAACTCCAAACGCAGAAAAACTAAACGCGCAAAAAGAAGAATTTTCATCAGGCCATAAAAGCGAGAACAAAGAGAAAAACTGTCGTAAAAAGAGGCAGCAGGGAAAAACCCACCACTTAATAGTGGCCCACAACAGCAACAACAACAAATGTAAGAATTTCAATTTCCAGTAAACAAAAAAAATATTCGAGAGAAAAAACAAAGACAGCAGCAACAACCAAAGCCAAACGAGAAAATCCTGCAAAGAAAAAAAAACAAAAAAAAAAGAAAAAGTTCAAGTCTGAAGTAGAAAAACCACTTAAAACGTCGATGACAACTAACCCGCGGGAGGGAAAGAGAAAGGTAGACCCAGAGAAGAAGAGAGCAACAGAGTAGTTGGAGTGAGAGAGCCTTTCTTAAAAAGGAGTCTGTGAGAGAGAGCGCGTGCTACGTGCCAAAGGAATGAGTTTAAGGAGCCCGCAACGCAGCAGTTGTTTTGCTTCAGTTTTTATATTTTTATTTTGTTAACTGCACACATTTAGTGGTGGCAAAGCGTGCAAAGGTGGTGGTATCTCAGTGCAGTCAGCTTGGTTGTTTTTCCGCTAGAACTAGCCAAATAGTTTGGAGTGTTTGAAAAGAATATGCGATACTTATAGTCCTTTTACGAAAGTTGTTGCATACCTCATAGCGATAATCAAAAAGAATCCTACAAAACGGTTACTTTGAAAATTATCCTATTGACACTAAGGGTTTTTAATTTTAAATGCACCAGTGGTGTATTGTATTAAAGTTATTTTTAATCACATTTTACTCGAAATTAAGAATATACGATAATTTAGTTCAAAGAAATTTGTAACACTTACAATACAATGTGTTGCACTTGTGCTACAAAAATGTTGGATGGACCGAACTAAATGTCCGGCTATTTACAGAAAACAAATTTTCAGGCATATCTGGCTCTGGTGTGAGGGTATTAGTGGTCACGCAAGACGTGAGACGGCGGCAGGAGGAGCGGAACAAAGGCAGCTGCAATGCAATTGCACCTTTAGCGCGTTCCTTTCTCAGGAGCAGGAGAGAGCAGAGTCGTGCCCGAGATAGTGCACTTAAAAAAAATGGTCAATCTTGTCAGTCATAAAAAAAGATCTATTTTTTTACAAACTATTTAATATTTTACCCGGTTAATATTCTGTAAAATGTATTTAAAAAAAAAACAGATATTAAACACAGAAGGAAATATCTGCATTTAAGTTTAAAAAAATGGTTTAAAGGGTTTTTTTTGCATAATTTTTCCTGAGAATCAAGAAAGAAACCCAATCTTTGAATTACTCTTTTCCTTTTCTCAAGTAATGTGACTCGCTTACCTTGTAAATAGAAATAAATTTTAAATAAAAAATTCAAATTATCTAATAAGACGAATTTTTTAAAGAAGGTCCTTTTAGTTTAAAAAATTGGAGTTTTTCTTGAAGTGTAAGGAGCGACTGAGAGAGCGCGTTCGGGCGCGAGAGAGCCACAAAGCCGAGACTGTCGAGCTGCTACGTCACCTTCGGCTTTGTAGTTGTAATTCGCAAAGCAAGGAGCGCGCAACGGAGAAAAGAAACGCGCGCGAAAAAGAAATAAATAAATAAATACCCAAGAAAAAAAGAGTGTGTGCAAAAAGGAGTGAGTGAGTGGGCAGTGAAGGGGGCGTGAGGCAGGAGTGCAAAATAAACGAGTTGCCACAGCAACAACAACGAGATTCGCAAAAAAAGGGGGAAAATTGACGCATTCCAAACGCGCGATTCGGCTTACAAGCATTGTTTTTCCATGGAGCTGTGTTGTTGTTGGTGTTTTTGTTTTTGTTAGTTTTTTTGCTAATACCGGTCTTTTTGGTCGGTCTCTCATACTTGAAGTTTGTGCCTCTCTCTTATCCACAGTGAGCTATCCACAAGTCCAAGAAATCAAACAAATTGAAGAAATCAAAGAAAACAAACTGCAAGTCGCAATCTAAACAGAACAAAAAACGAGGAAAATCAAATTAAAAGGCAGGCAAATGCAAATGCAAAGGCAATCGCAAACGTACTACTATTATGGGCCGCTCCAAGTTTCCCGGCAAACCCTCCAAGTCAATCAACCGTAAGCGGATCAGTGTCCTGCAGCTGGAGGATGAGGCCAACCCGGCAGCGGAATCGCAGCAGCCACCGGCGGAATCTCAGCAGCCAAGTGGATCGGGATCCGGTTCGTCAGGGGCGCGGGAAAAGGGCAACAATTGTGATAACGATGAGGATGACAATGCACCAGGTGGTGCCTCGATTAGTGGCAATGCCGCATCTTCGTCGGGCGCCACATCGAGCTCTGAAAACAGCGGTAATGGCAGCGGTACCGGTTCGGGATCGGGATCATCCGGTTCGGGGTCCACCAATGGCGGTGGAGTAAATGGCGGAACCCATCACAAAAGTGCTGCTAATCTGGATAAGGAGGCTGTGAACAAGGATAAAAATGGGGATAGTGATAAAACAAGAGCAGCTGCCTCAAGACCAGGAGCGATACCCACTGAGTCATCAAACTCTGGCTCATCTTCAGGAAAATCATCTGTAGTACCTACTGGAAAATTCTCTGGCAAGACTTCGAAAATTTCCTCAGGATCTTTTTCTGTAACATCTTCTGGGAGGTCCTCTGGTTCATCTCCGGATGCTAACTATGCAGCATCTTCTGATGGTGCATCTTCGGGAATATCTTCTGGCAAGTCTACAGAGACAACAACTGCAAAGTCCTCTGAAGCATCATCTGCAGCGTCTTTCGGAATATCCTTGGGGAAATCTGCAAAGGCAACTGTAACCGGGACTTGCTCTACTGGAAAGACCTCAAAAACATCTTCTGGAACCACTTGTGAGGCAACAACCTCCGGAATGATTGGTGCAGCATCATTGAAAGCTCTGTCTGTAGTCACACCGGCCACATCCACTGGATTAGCCAGTGCCCTTGCCTCCCCGGGAGCATCCTCGCCAGGAGGAGCCTTTGCTATAAGTGCCGCTTTGCTGAGAGCCCGCAAAAATAGCAATAAAAAGTTTAAGAATCTAAACCTGGCCAGGGGCGAAATAATGCTGCCCTCCACATCCAAGTTGAAGCAGCTCAGTTGTCCGGTGGTGGACAGTCCCACCACCTCGGCAAACGCCTCGGCTTCCCCGCTTGCTTTGGAGGGAGTTCTGGGAGTAGGGGGCGTGTCCAGCCCAGGCGAAGATGTGTCCCTGGTAAGTTGAGTTTCAGATTGTCGGTGCTTGGTTGCCGGTTTCATTCCCAGGTGTTGCCCCCTTTTGCTTTTATTTATGAATATGTTTAAGTCGCTTTTTTCTGCCACCTTATTCCCGCAATCCGGACAACTGATTCGAGTTGCGTGTGCACCCTTTGTACATACATCCTCGGCCAATGCCACAGTCCAATTCCCGCCAATGTAAATAAGTGAACCCCCTCAAGTTGGTTTACTCATGGTTCTGGTCGGGTTATTAGCCCCCTTTATACCCAACCACCCGCCTCTGACGCCATTGTTACCTGCTCGCTTACCTGCTTAATTGGCTTTTATGACGTTTTAGCGCTTGCAACTCTTCCACATGTGTCTGCCTGCCGCAGACGGTTGACGGTCACAGTGGCAATGGTGTCTGTTCCCCGCTTATACTTATGCTTAGTAACTTGTTTTTGCACCAATTCCCCTCCTTTCAACCCATCTTTGTAACCCCCTACGTCCAAGCAATCCCCATCGAAAAGTTGCACTTGCTCCTGGTCCTTTGCATGCTTCTTTGTGTTTTACCCTTACACTGGAAGATACAATTGGCCTAATTCTTTGTATTCTTAGTTTCTGAAACCTACTTAGGTGTATGAAAAATACCACTTAAGATCTTACGATCAAAACAAATGTTTAAATAAAAAAGGGCTTATGCTTCTGAAATTATATGTTAACTAACACTAATTAAACTAATATCAAATTTTACGTTCTTATAGTATTGAACTGAAATCAGAAATAATTTAACACAATTTACTTAAAGTTGTATAACTAATTTCTTGCTGTGTATATTTTGCTATATCTCACTGCATTGCTTTCCGCTTCGCATTTTGTGAGCGTGTAGTTAGTGCCATGAATTATTGATTTGCTCGGACCCCTACTCCAACCTGTCCTACTCAACCCTAACTAAAACCCACTGAACCCTTTTATTTGTGTACTTCTTCAGAAGCGCGTCTTGAGCGAAATGCCCAATGAAGTCGACCCCGAAGTCGCTTCATCCGGCTGCCCTGCACCGGCAAATGGTGTTACATCGGGAAAGGGAGTTGCTCCGACTGGAACACAAGCAACAGGAGCATCAGCTGGAGGCAGTAGTCCTAAACCAGGAGCAGACGCAGGATCTTCGACGGCATCAACGGCAGCCAAGCAAAAGAAGACCGTAACGTTTAAGAATGTGTTGGAGACAAGCGATGATAAGTCGGTGGTTAAGCGGTTTTACAATCCGGATGTCCGCATACCAATCGTCTCGATCATGAAAAAAGATTCTCTGAATCGACCCCTGAACTACTCCAGAGGAGGCGAATGTATCGTGCGGCCCTCCATCCTGTCAAAGATACTCAACAAGAGCTCGAACATCGATAAGCTCAACTCACTCAAATTCCGATCGGTGCCAGCGAGCTCATCTTCTCTAAACCGGGAATCAGGCACCAGCGTGTCTGGATCCTCTCCCAATGTCTTTGGTTTATTGCGTGCTTTTGGCGCACCCATGGATGAGGACGACGAGGGTGGTGTAACCTTTCGTCGCAATTATTCTCCTGAAGTTCAAAACAACGAGGAGAATGAAGAAATGGATGAAGATGAGGACGACCAAGAAGTCGAGGAGGAGGAGGAAAATGAGCCGGATGACAACGATGAAGCAGCCTCCGAAAAGAGTGCGGATACGGAGAAAAGTGCAGGCTCTGAAGAGCGGGATCCGGAAGAGAGGCAACTTGTCATGGACTCGCATTTTGTACTTCCCAAGAGGAGTACAAGATCCTCTAGAATTATCAAGCCCAACAAAAGATTGCTCGAAGAGGGTGCTATCAGCACAAAGAAGCCTCCGCAATGTGGCGACTCCAAGGCTAAGAACCTCTTTAGCGCAGCTTCCTCCAGTGCTGTTACCTCTGCGTCCACCTCTGGAAGTCAGAAGCTCGCCAAGGAGGGCTTCTCCAGCTTTGGCAGCCTGAAAACAAATAGCAGTGCAGGTGAAAGCTTTGTGCTGCGACCTCCGCGACTGCAATTTCAGGCGGACAGCAAGCAGGGACCCTTCGCTGTTGCCAAAGCCTGCCCAACATCGCCCAGTGCCATTCCGACGCCAGTTAATTCTTTGGCGGTTTCGTCTTTTGGAACGCTTGCCAGTCCCAGCTCAAGTTCAACAACAGGTAAGTTACATAACTTTCACCACATTTCTTGAGATACTATTTTCATTTCTTCTTAGGAACACCTGCTCCCAGTGTCTGCTCCGTGTGCTGCGCGGCGGTCAGTAGCAAAGAAATGGCCCAGGCCCGCAAGTATGGAGTCGTGGCCTGCGACGTGTGCAGGAAATTCATTTCGAAGATGACCAAGAAATCCATATCGGCTACTTCGAGCAGTGCCAATGCTTCTTCCGCCACCCAACAGCAACTACAGTGCAAGGGAACCGAAGGTATGTCAAATTTAATTTTCCGTTACTTGCATTTATGAAATCTATATTCCATTGCAGGATCAACCTGCAGTATCCATTCGGCTAAGAGCCAGTTGAAGAACTTTAAGAAGTTTTACAAGGATCGCTGTACCGCCTGTTGGCTGAAGAAGTGCATGATCTCCTTTCAGCTGACGGCAGCGCACAGGAGTAGGTTGGGAACCATTTTGCCACCAGGAATGCGAGTGGAAGCCTCAACCCGCGAAGATAAAACCGCGGAACTGCTATCTCCAACGGGCAACCTAAAATATACTTCCTCTGCGTCCTCTACTTCCTCATCTGTGATTGCTTCTTCTGCAACTGTTAAATGGAAATCCAGTGGAGATTCCACCTCTGCGTTAACCTCTATTAAGTCCAATCCTTTGGTGGAGAACAATGTCACATTTGGGAGTACCCCTCTGCTGCGTCCAGCGATTTTGGAGAAGCCACTCTTCCTGAAAATAAGCAATGCAGCAGATCAAAAGCTCACAGCACCTGAGAGCGTTAGTCCCAGTCCGTCGAGAAAGACGAGTAAGCAGGAAAAGGAAAAGGTTAAGGAACAGGAGCAGAGCGAGAAGCCACTTAGTCCCACTTTGGCAGCCACCAAAAAATCTACAGCAGTGGAAACTCCAGTTACAGAAGCGCAAAAGGACGAGGCACCGCATGCTTCTTCAACAGCAGGAACAGCTATACATTCTGCAACTTCCAATGGAATGTCTCAAAGTGGTACTCAACCAGACGCTAATGGGGATACCAATACTACGGGCGACACCTTAAAGCGTCAAAGGATTGATCTGAAGGGGCCTCGAGTCAAACATGTCTGCCGCAGTGCCTCTATTGTGCTCGGGCAACCTTTGGCCACCTTCGGCGAGGATCAGCAGACCGAGGAGGAGGCTGAAGTGCTCCAAGAAATTGCTACTCCAGTGCCATCAGGAATTCCAGAGCCTGTCCCTAACAAACCAACTCAAATGGTTACGGATGAGAACGATAACTGTGCTAGCTGTAAAACTGCTCCTGTTGAAGAAGCGAAGCCTTCTAAGTCCTCTGGAACAACTCAAGCTGAAGTAAAGAAGCTAGCACCAGCAGTAAAAGAAGCACCGGCATCTACAGCATCTTTAGCAACAGCACCTGCGAAGGTCACAACAAGAAATGCAGCGGTTACATCCAACCTAATAGTGGCGCCCAGCAAAAAACAACGAAATGGGGACATTGTTACCTCCGGTTCAACCACTCAATCTTCTAACCAAACCCAAGGACGTAGGGCGAAGGAGCAGAGGCAGCAACGTACGCTCATCTCTATCGATTTCTGGGAGAATTATGACCCAGCCGAAGTGTGCCAAACGGGTTTTGGATTGATTGTAACTGAGACAGTGGCTCAGAGGGCACTGTGCTTCCTGTGTGGTTCTACGGGCTTGGATCCACTGATCTTCTGTGCCTGCTGTTGCGAACCATATCATCAGTACTGCGTCCAGGATGAGTACAACCTGAAGCACGGATCTTTTGAGGATACAACGCTGATGGGCAGCCTGCTGGAAACTACGGTCAATGCTTCTGGTCCAACATCGTCATCCCTGAATCAACTGACCCAGCGCTTGAATTGGCTGTGTCCACGCTGCACTGTTTGCTACACCTGCAACATGTCATCGGGGTCCAAGGTCAAGTGCCAGAAATGTCAGAAGAACTATCATAGCACGTGCTTGGGGACAAGCAAGAGACTTCTAGGAGCAGATCGTCCTTTAATATGTGTCAATTGCCTGAAATGCAAATCTTGCTCCACGACAAAAGTGTCAAAGTTTGTGGGGAATCTACCGATGTGTACGGGCTGCTTTAAGTTGCGCAAAAAGGGCAACTTTTGTCCGATATGCCAGAGATGCTATGACGATAATGACTTTGATCTAAAGATGATGGAGTGCGGCGATTGCAGCCAGTGGGTTCATTCAAAGTGCGAGGGACTAAGCGATGAGCAATACAATCTGCTAAGTACGTTGCCGGAATCAATCGAGTTCATTTGCAAGAAATGTGCGCGTAGGAATGAGAGTTCCAGGATAAAGGCAGAAGAGTGGCGTCAGGCGGTGATGGAGGAGTTCAAGGCCAGTCTATATAGTGTACTGAAGTTGCTTAGCAAATCTCGGCAGGCCTGTGCCCTCCTAAAACTGAGTCCTCGCAAAAAAATGCGATGCACCTGTGCTGCATCCTTGAACCAAGGAAAACTTCAACCGAAAGCCCTCCAGTTTAGCACTGGATCGGATAATGGCTTGGGCAGCGACGGAGAGTCCCAAAACAGCGACGATGTTTACGAGTTTAAGGAGCAGCAGCAGCAGCTGCAAAGAAATGCGAACATGAACAAGTCACGAGGGAAATCCCTGTCCTGCACCTGCCAACAACACATCAGTCATTCGCAATCCTTTAGCTTGGTGGATATTAAACAGAAGATTGCTGGCAATTCATACGTTTCCCTGGCGGAATTCAACTATGACATGAGCCAGGTTATCCAGCAGAGTAATTGCGATGAATTGGACATCGCCTACAAGGAGCTGCTGAGTGAACAGTTTCCCTGGTTTCAAAACGAAACGAAAGCCTGCACTGATGCCTTGGAGGAGGATATGTTTGAGTCCTGTTCGGGAACCAACTACGAGGATTTGCCAGACGGAGTAGGAGGCAGTAGCTCTGTCTACAACGAACACTCTACTTCGCAGGCAGAGTCGCGTTCTGGTGTCTTGGATATTCCCCTGGAGGAGGTTGACGACCTTGGCAGCTGTGGCATCAAGATGCGATTGGACACCAGGGTGTGTCTGTTCTGCCGGAAGAGTGGCGAAGGCTTGTCCGGCGAGGAAGCACGACTCCTGTACTGCGGTCATGATTGCTGGGTGCACACCAATTGTGCGATGTGGTCGGCGGAGGTTTTCGAGGAGATTGACGGTTCCCTGCAAAATGTCCACAGTGCGGTGGCCAGGGGAAGGATGATCAAGTGCACGGTGTGTGGAAATCGAGGAGCCACTGTCGGTTGCAATGTGCGATCTTGCGGTGAGCATTACCACTACCCATGTGCCAGAAGCATCGACTGCGCCTTTCTCACAGACAAATCCATGTATTGCCCCGCACATGCCAAGAATGGAAATGCCTTAAAGGCCAATGGATCCCCCAGTGTCACATACGAATCCAACTTTGAAGTATCCCGACCCGTGTATGTGGAGTTGGATAGAAAGCGGAAGAAGCTAATTGAACCAGCCCGTGTGCAATTCCACATTGGATCCTTGGAGGTGCGGCAATTGGGAACCATTGTACCCAGATTTTCCGATTCCTACGAGGCCGTGGTACCCATAAACTTCCTCTGCAGTCGTCTATATTGGTCTTCGAAAGAACCCTGGAAAATAGTAGAGTATACTGTACGCACCACTATTCAGAACAGTACGTCAACCCTAACAGCCCTGGATGTGGGCAGGAACTATACTGTGGACCACACGAATCCCAATGGCAAGGAGGTTCAGTTAGGTTTGGCGCAAATCGCCCGCTGGCATACCAGTCTGGCCAGGAGTGATTTCTTGGACAACGGCGGAGCCGATTGGAGCGGGGAGTTTCAAAATCCCAACTCTTGCGTACCACCAGATGAAAACACGGAAGAGGAGCCGCAACAGCAGGCTGACTTGCTTCCGCCAGAGATCAAGGATGCAATATTCGAGGATCTCCCCCACGAACTACTCGACGGCATCTCCATGCTGGACATTTTCATGTACGAGGACCTTGCGGATAAAACAGACCTATTCGCCATTAGTGAACAATCAAAGGATGGTACTCAGGCCATGACATCCGGTCAGGCTCAGAGTCAAAGTCAACAAGGCGGAGGAGCATCTGTAAGCATATGTGATGAGGACACTCGAAATTCGAATACGAGTTTGGGAAATGGCTGGCCAGCCAGCAATCCCGTGGAGGATGCCATGTTATCCGCAGCCAGGAACTCCAGTCAAGTGCAGATGCTCAAAACTTTAGCCTGGCCAAAGCTTGACGGAAACAGTGCCATGGCTACGGCTATTAAGAGGCGAAAACTATCTAAAAACTTGGCTGAAGGAGTGCTATTAACCCTGAGCAGTCAGCAACGAAGCAAAAGAGAGATGGCCACGGTGGCTGGCGTATCCAGGAGGCAGTCCATCAGTGAGGCATCCACCGAAGGCGTGGCCTCCACATCTGGGTCGGTGAGAAGCAAGAGCTTCACCTGGAGTGCGGCAAAGCGTTATTTCGAAAAGAGCGAAGGACGGGAAGAGCCAACCAAGATGAGGATAATGCAAATGGATGGCGTGGACGACTCAATCACCGAATTCCGCATAATTGCCGGGGATGGAAATTTATCAACAGCTCAGTTCACGGGACAGGTTAAATGTGATCGTTGTCAGTGCACTTACAGGAACTACGATGCTTTCCAGCGCCATTTACCCTCCTGTGGACCCTCAATGTCCACCAATGAATCCGAATCCGATGTGAACGCAGCAGGAAACACCAATAATTCCGCCCAGCTGAGTGCGGAAAGCTTGAATGAGCTGCAAAAGCAACTGCTAGCAAATGCAGGAGGCTTAAATTACCTCCAAACAGCAACATCGTTTCCCCAAGTGCAGGGCTTGGGTTCTCTGGGTCAGTTTGGCTTGCAGGGATTGCAGCAGCTCCAGCTGCAACCACAATCCCTGGGCAATGGATTCTTCTTATCCCAACCGAATCCCACTACCCAAGCGAACACAGATGAGTTGCAAATCTATGCGAATTCCCTGCAAAGTTTGGCCGCCAATCTGGGTGGAGGTTTCACGTTGGCTCAGCCAACGGTGACAGCTCCAGCGCAACCTCAATTGATTGCTGTCTCCACCAATCCCGATGGCACTCAGCAGTTTATCCAAATCCCCCAGACGATGCAGGCCACAACAACTGCTCCAACGGCAACGTATCAGACCCTGCAGGCCACCAATACGGATAAGAAGATAATGCTTCCCCTGACGGCAGCCGGAAAACCCCTGAAAACAGTGGCCACCAAGGCGGCTCAGCAGGCGGCGGCCAAGCAGAGGCAACTGAAGTCCGGCCATCAGGTGAAGCCCATTCAGGCCAAGCTGCAGCCGCATCCCCAACAGCATCAGCATCAGCAGCAGCAACAGGCCCAAGTGCAACAGCCCATCACGGTGATGGGTCAGAACATCCTCCAGCCGCAGCTGCTGTTCCAGAGCAGTGCCCAGTCGCAGGCACCGCAGCTAATCCTCCCGCAAGCCCAGCCCCAGAACATCATTTCGTTTGTGACTGGAGACGGAAGCCAGGGACAGCCACTGCAATACATCTCCATACCCACTGCTGGGGACTATAAGCCACAGCCGCAGACCACGGCGACGCCCACTTTTCTGACAACCGCTCCCGGTGGTGGAGCCACATACCTGCAAACGGATGCAAGTGGAAATTTAGTGCTAACAACTACACCCACTAACTCCGGACTACAAATGCTTACGGCGCAATCGCTGCAAGCTCAACCCCAAGTGATAGGAACACTCATCCAGCCGCAAACCATTCAGCTGGGCGGGGGATCGGATGGGAACCAGGCAGGCAGCAATCAGCAACCGCTGATTTTGGGTGGAACAGGTGGCGGTGCCACTGGCTTGGAGTTTGCCACCACCACGCCCCAAGTGATTTTGGCCACCCAGCCGATGTACTATGGTCTGGAGACGATTGTCCAGAATACGGTCATGTCGTCGCAGCAATTCGTGTCCACTGCAATGCCCGGAATGCTCAGTCAGAATGCTAGCTTCTCCGCCACTACCACACAGGTCTTCCAGGCAAGTAAAATCGAACCGATTGTTGATCTGCCCGCTGGATATGTGGTGCTTAATAATACTGGAGATACAACGACTACGGGGACGTTCCTGAACGCAGCCAGTGTACTGCAACAGCAGTCGCAAGATGACACAACCACACAGATACTGCAGAATGCCAACTTCCAGTTCCAAACAGTGCCCACATCTTCAGCTGCCTCCACATCAATGGATTACTCCGCACCCGTTATGGTCACGGCCAAGATTCCGCCAGTAACTCAAATGAAGAGAACGAATGCTCAGGCCAAGGCAGCCGGGATTTCGGGAGTGGGCAAGGTGCCACCGCAACCGCAGGTGGTGAACAAGGTGCTGCCCACCAACATAGTCACCCAGCAGGCACAAGTACAGCTTAAGAACTCCAATCTCAAACAATCTCAGGTCAAGGCCAAAACTGCATCTGCCACGGGTACGAATTGTGGAGCTCCACCGAGTATTGCTTCGAAGCCTCTTCAAAAGAAAACCAACATGATTCGACCCATTCACAAGCTGGAAGTGAAACCGAAATTGATGAAGCCCACGCCGAAGGTGCAGCAACAAAACCATGTAATGTTGCAGCAACAGCAGCAGCAGCAGCCACAGCTGCAGCAGCAAATTCCAGCCGTGGTGGTGCCCAAGGTGGCGATCTCTCAGCAGCGAATCCCAGCACAACCTCAGCAGCAACTTCAGCAGACGCAGTTGCTCCACATTCCCCAGCAGCAGCAGCAGCAACAGCATCAGCAGCAGCAACAACAACAGCTACAGATACAGCAGCAGCAGCAACAGGTGCAGGTACAGGTGCAACCCTCGATGCCAATTATAACAATTGCTGAAGCACCTGTGATGCAAACCCAATTCGTGCTGGAACCGCAACTGTTGGAGCAGCAGGAAATGGCGAACCGAGTGCAGCATTTTTCCACCAGTAGCAGTAGTAGTAGCAGCAACTGTTCCCTGCCCACCAATGTGGTAAATCCTATGCAACAACAGCCACCACCAACATCAAGTAGCTCCACAACAAGGCCAACAAATCGGGTGCTACCGATGCAGCAGCGCCAGGAGCCTGCTCCTTTGTCCAACGAGTGTCCAGTAGTTCCATCACCTACTCCTCCGAAGCCTGTCGAACAGCCGGTAATCCAGCACTTAAACAACGCCAGTGCCTCCAAGTGTTATGCCCAAAAGACGGCGTTACCTTCACCCGTGTACGAGGCGGAGCTTAAGACCAGTTCGGTTTTGGAGAGCATTGTGCCAGTTACCACGATGGATGCAATTTTGGAGGAACAGCCAGCCACGGAGTCCATCTACACGGAGGGGCTCTACGAGAAGCATTCGCCGGCGGAGGCCAAAACCGAACAACTTCTGCTCCAGCAGCAGCAGCGCGAGCAACTGAATCAACAGCTGGCCAGCAACGGGTATCTGCTCGACAAGCACACCTTCGAAGTGGAACCCATGGACACCGACATCTACAGGGGGGATGATCTTGAAGAGGAGGAGGACGAGGATGATGACTTTAGCCTCAAAATGGCCACATCGGCGTGCAATGACCACGAGATGTCCGACAGTGAGGAGCCGGCGGTCAAGGACAAGATCAGCAAGATTCTGGACAATCTGACCAACGACGACTGTGCGGATTCCATAGCCACTGCGACGACGATGGAAGTGGAAGCCAGCGCTGGTTATCAGCAAATGGTTGAGGATGTCCTGGCCACCACAGCGGCGGCATCTGCTCCCACCGGGGAGTTCGAAGGTCCTCTGGAAACTGCAGCTGTTGAAGCAGCAGCCACCTATATAAACGAAATGGCCGATGCTCATGTTCTGGAACTCAAGCAGCTGCAAAATGGAGTGGAACTGGAGCTCAGAAGGAGAAAGGAGGAGCAACGGACGGCACCACAGGAGGAACAGGAGCCCACGAAAACGGCCTTAGTGCCCACAGCATCTGCTCCAGAACCACCGCCACCAATTCGAGAGCCCAAGAAGATCAGTGGACCGCATCTGCTGTATGAAATCCAAAGCGAAGATGGTTTCACGTACAAGTCCAGTTCAATCGCTGAGGTCTGGGAAAAGGTCTTTGAGGCAGTGCAGGTGGCCAGGCGGGCCCATGGACTCACTCCGCTACCAGAGGGTCCGCTGGCGGATATGGGTGGCATCCAGATGATTGGCCTCAAAACGAACGCCCTGAAATACCTGATTGAACAGCTGCCGGGTGTTGAGAAGTGCTCGAAGTATACTCCAAAATATCACAAGCGAAATGGCAACGTATCCACAGCGGCGAGTGCAGGACATGGCGGGAATATAGGCGGAGGCAGTGCATCCGCTGCCATGGCGGCAGTTTCTGGTGGCGATCCGCAAGGCCTACTCGACTATGGATCCGATCAGGATGAACTGCAGGAGAATGCCTTTGATTGTGCCCGCTGTGAGCCGTATGCCAATCGCAGCGAGTATGATATGTTCAGCTGGCTGGCATCCAGGCATCGCAAGCAGCCCATTCAGGTGTTTGTTCAGCCATCGGACAATGAACTGGTGCCCAGGTAAATAAATATTTAATTTTTTATGTAAAAGCCTTTATAATGGGGAATTTATTGTTTTTTCTTTAGACGCGGAACTGGCAGCAATCTTCCCATGGCCATGAAATATCGCACGCTGAAGGAGACCTACAAGGATTATGTCGGAGTCTTCAGATCGCACATCCATGGACGTGGTCTGTACTGCACCAAGGATATTGAAGCGGGTAAGGTTTCAATTAAATGATACTAGTAGTCCTAACAAAGGTTTGATCCTTAACATTTTAAGGCATTTAAAACTTATTTCAAGATGTACCATTAATACTAAATTGTATTTTCCAGGTGAAATGGTCATCGAATATGCCGGCGAGTTGATTCGCTCCACTCTGACTGACAAAAGGGAGCGCTACTACGACAGTCGCGGCATCGGCTGCTATATGTTCAAGATCGATGACAACCTCGTTGTAGATGCCACTATGCGCGGCAATGCGGCGCGCTTCATCAATCACTCTTGTGAGGTGAGTAGAAAGTGACATGATCTATACCTTAGGGGATGTTAACATTTTGCTTTTGTCTTGCAGCCAAATTGCTACTCGAAAGTGGTGGACATCCTGGGTCACAAACACATCATCATCTTTGCGCTGCGCCGAATTGTGCAGGGCGAGGAGCTGACCTACGACTATAAATTTCCTTTCGAGGAAGAGAAGATACCTTGCTCATGCGGTTCCAAAAGGTGTCGGAAGTACTTAAATTAATAAGTAGGGTCAATGAATAGGGATGGGAACCAAAATAGACGCTGGGCGTCTAATTTAATCCGTTTACTCAGAAAATAGGGTTGGTTTTTGCAAGAGATCTTAAAGTTCTTAGGGGTGGAAAGTGCTATATAAGACAGATGTCATGGATACTTTGGTTTTAATATCTATTTTGACCTTTTGCCAGAAGAAAATCGTTGACATTTTCGTAGAAAGTATTGTAAAGCAATAGTCCAATACAAAAAACCTAAATAACCGTTTAAAATTAAAAAAAATGGCACACCACTAAGGTGTACATTTTCTTGTTACGGTTGGACTGTCGTAATCGATTTTTACTTATTCGCGTGTTTTTTTTTTTTTAGTTCTTTTTTAATATTGATCGATCAAATATTTTCTTAGACTGAAAACCATAATGAAAAAAGCTTTGTTTTTCTTTTGGAAAGAAGTAACGGACTCTTAATTGTGCAGAGATTACTTTCCCTCCTGAATTTTCTTTGCTTAAATCAGATAACCTGTTGTACACGAAGAACACACACCTGGAATGAGAATTGAAACACTTGTAGTTAACGGTTATATCGATCTATGTTTGGTCAATCGTGATACTTTTCGTTTTAAAACCCATATACGTCTTAAGTAGTTGATATGTAAAAGTTAAACAGTTGATATTATTATATATCCCATATATAAAAAGCACGGCACATATAAGGCAACGAAGCAAGTGGAAGCCGAGAAATCGGAGTGAATGAACAGAAACTCGACGATGTCAGTATTCAGGGGGAGAATAATTAAATGTATATTAAATATGTTACGTATTAGCTGTCTACCACATACGGATAACGATATGCAGATCAGTTAGCTAACTAGACTAAGGCTCCACAGATTCTATATACAGCATACACATAATAAGCTAAGCTAATAAATATAACACTTGTTGGGCTTAGGCGAATGACAGATAAACGATGGGAGACATTAAAAACGATTACTTACAGGGGCTTGTGTTAGATTGTACATACATTGCATACGAATTATAAATATCTATATTATATACCTACTGTAATGAGAAATTAACTAACCTTAAGTTACCAGGATTGTGTAAGAAGAAAAACTATTTTATGTAGAGCTCTGCGTATTTATGTTTGTTAACAATTAACCAAACGATTAATTGATTGAACTACGAATAATATCCGCAACCACATGCTTATATATCTATTTAGAGAACGAAACCAAGCATCACTTTTGAAATTATTGTATTGTGAACAGGCAACCACAACAACACCACCCAATTGTAATTGTACGAACTCAATTGATTGTATATTTATTTTTTACACCTAAGTTTTAAAGCATGTACATTTTTGAGACCATTTGTTTGCCTTGATCGGAGCCCAAGCATAATCATAACTTGTAACGCCTAATTTTAGTTCAGCTCCCTTGTATTCTATTATTTTAACGATTGTTTCGCTTAAGACTAGCTTTAGTCCGCTCTGGTATTTGTCCAAAATTGTACACACACACACACACACACACAAACAGCAGGCAGATATGTATATTCCTATCGGGGCGATCGGTCGGACTTGTACAGGCAAAGTTCCATAGCATTTTTGGCAGCCATTCAAGACGCGCGCACTTTTTGCACGCTGTCGAGGAATTTTATATTTTTATTCCCTAAAGAAAAAAGTTTAATAAACTACAGATTATAATTCAAAGCAATTTCTCGTTTCCTTTATACGTAAAATATATGTGCATATGAAATATCAGTGGAATTCTTTGAACTGCCGCCAAGCACGTCGGATTCTGCCGCGGTCGCACTTTTCGGTGGCTTCCGAATTCTCTATACGCTGCTTGGCTTCTTGGGCGGCTCTGGCTGCATTGTTTGCCGCCTTCTTGGTCTTCTCGTAATCTATGCGAGCTTCACTTAATTGTTGCATTAGAACACTAACCCTTCGCTGTGCAGCCTCCAAAAGAGCGGTTTTGTCGGACTGCGATTGTTGCCACACGGCGTATACTTGATCCGAAAGTTCCCGATTTTCTCTGGCTATTTTAAGAACCGTGGCCAGAATCTTCAGCTCCTGCAGGGCCAGGTTGTGGGCCTTCATGGCCAGCTGAGCATTCGCCTCGGCGGTGATCAGCTCCTGGTTCTCCTCCTGCACCACCAATTCGCCCTCGCGAACCTCCGCCTCCAGTTGCTCCAGCAACTGAGCTTTCCCCGCTAGCACTGCTTCGGCGGCTTTGGAGGCCGCGGCCGCCTTGTCGGCATATTCGTTTTTGATTTTATCGGCGGCCACCTTCACAGCCGTTGCCATGTCCTCGTTGGCCTTTTTTGCCTCATGGGCAGCCTGCATGGCTATGCCGGAGCCCCTTTGCTTGGCATTACCGTGGACTCTCATCGACTTCTTCTCCGGCATGTCGCACACAGCTCTATCCCCACCGCCATCACCAGCCATACCCATACGATCCATCAGCTGCATGGGTTTCCGGCGGGTTCGATAGTGGCTGCCAGTGGCGGATCCCAGGAGCGAGGACAACACAATGATTAGCCACATGATCTGAGCGTCTATTCGCATTTTCCGTAGTCTCGGGCATTTTTCTGGCTGTCAGACAGAGGGAGAGGTTGACAGATGGGGCTGTCAGCTCCGGAAATCGAGTTTATGCTATATTACCAGGCAATGTGCCTTATTTTGGACAACATTATCGTGCGTTGTCCGGAGCTATCTGATTAAAAGTTAGTCAAAAGCTATTTGTAAAAAAAAGTTCTTATTCGAAATTCTTTTCTACAGGTGCACAACAAACATCAGGCAAGGAATTACCCGGATTTTGTTTCGCTGAACGGGAAAATTAAAACTGGAAAGGGAGGAGGAAGCAGAATTTGATTCATCTCCAGCATTGCAATAAAGACAAGTAGGTGGCGGATCTCATACAGAATATCTTGAATCATTTGGGAAACGAGCTATAATATCACAACTTTCTGTAGAGCACACAAATGAACAGGAAAGAAACTAAAAAATATGTATTAGTAACAAAATCTGTTCTGAAAACTCTCTGAGCTTAAAAATATTATTCGTTTTTAATAATTCGACTTTTATCATTTCCATTTATCCTACTTCAAAAACCAGAAGTTCTAAGCGTGTAGGTTTTTAGTTAGAATACACCTTGGTAGTAGTAAAAAAAAACCTGTCAACATATGTCATACCGGAGTACCGAAAATCGTTAGTTCCAACTTCTCTGTCAGATCAGGCTTTCCGAATGGAGTCAGGGCCGTGTGTTTCCAAATATTCGATTGGAATATGCCTGGCACGAAAGCGCTGCTTGTCGTTTTGCTACTGCTGCATGTGTTCCCCCGACTGGAGTGCTTCCACTATCGTCCTGCCCAGTTGTACGGGGATTCTGGCGGAGGAGAAACCGGAAGCGGAAGCGGGGACTGCACGGATGCAAAGTCCAAGAAGGATTGCAGCAGCATGGACTTCAGCCGCGGCGATTCCAAGACCAAGGCATCGAACATTGCCCAGAAGGCCGCCCTGGAGGCCAAGGCCGCCAGCGATTCCCAAATGGCGGCAGCCGAAGCGGCCGCGTCGCAGGTCAAGTCAGAACTGGCCGCCAAAGCGGCCCAGTCGGCGAGGGCTGCGGAAGCGGCATTGGCCGGAAAACAGCAGATTGTGGAGCAGTTGCAGCAGGAGATGACCGAGGCGGATGCGGTGGTCAATGAGGTGACAAATTCTCTGCAAAATACCCAGGTGAATGCGAATGCCGCCGCTTCGGCCGCCCACGAGGCCCAAGTGCAGCTCAATCAGCTGAAGAACCTCGTAATAGCCGCAACCGCCAACATGGCCAATATCGAGAACGTGGCCAATGGGGCGCAACAGGAGCTGGCCGAGAAGACGCAGCTCCTGGAGGCCGCCAAGCATCGAGTGGAAAATCTCGCCCGCCAGATGACCGATGCCAGGACCGACTTTGAGAAGACCAAGCAGGCGGCCTACAAGGCGGCCTGTGCTGCAGTGGAGGCCAAACAGAAGGCCCAAAGGGCGCGGCGGATGACCAACCACTACCAGCAACAGATGCGATGGGGAGCTAAGATGTAGCACAAAAGCCTGGAGTCAGTCGATCTCCTATATATTTTGTTAAGGTTCAATTTTGGTTTTTTAGTTGGCCATTAAAAGTTATAGTTTTAAGGCATTTGTAAAGGCCACAACAAGAAAATGGCTTTTATATGAATAACGTCCGGTAAGAAGTGTTTTTTTTTTATTTTCACTAAGCTAAGCTTATCATATTTTTGTTTTGCACTGGTCCCCAAATTTAGTTTTTAAATCTTCATTTTTCTTTAAAATAAAATTTAAATACAAAACCGTTAAAACTGTCTACACTGTAAACTAACATAGTTGCAAAATGCCACTGTTAGGCGCACTGTTAACCGGCTGATGGGCAGCACTGGTCGAACAGCTGTTCAATGTTATAAAATCAACCGGCAAATGTTTTAAGATATTTTTATTTCGTTTTATATATAAAAAGAGCTTTAAAAATCATGCTCATAAGAAGAATTAAGTGCCTGCGGAATCTGGGAATCCGCTACAACAGTTCGCACTATGTGACAACTCCAATTTTTTATGTAAATGCAGGTGAGTGTTTTGATGGCTTTAGGCAAATTTATAATAATCTTAATCTTAAATTATGGATAGCCCCGCACATTGGCCACCTGTACTCGGCGGTTATAGCCGATGCCCACTGTCGCTATCAGAGATTAAGGTATCCGGAAAAGACAGTACGACTCTGCACGGGAACGGATGAGCACGGCACCAAGATTCAACAGGCGGCCTCTCTTCACGGGATCCCCGTGGCCAAATACTGCAATGATATATCGGAGCGTTACCGGGAGGTGTTCCGGAGTGCCAGCATCCAGCCGGACGACTTTATTCGCACCACGGAGGAGCGACACAAGCGGGCAGTGGCCCATTTCTGGGTAGGTTTGGGTATTTAATGTTTTCCATTAAGAAAATGAATGCAACGAATACCATGTCATATTAAGTTTTACTTCATTTATCTCAACCCTATTCACTAAAGCATAATGTCTTATAATATAAGATAAATTTCTTCTTTACCTTACATAAAATTTAAATTTTAGGCGTCCTTTATTAGATCTACTTTCTTTTAGATGTTGTAGAATTAAAAAACTTATTTTTACTACTTATTTCAAAAGTAGTAAAATTTTGCATAAAAATGTCGAACATTTTATGAAATACAAGTAACAACTTGGGTTGTAAATGTTATCCTTTTTATGCTTGAGTTTGTAATGAAATTAACTTTACAAGATAATATTAATATTAAATGCCTTTAAATATATTTAATTTTAAATGTTATACATTGTCCTTTTAAAAATTCGTCAGATTTTCTAGGGCCACTTTTCTGTTAAAATTTAAACATTGTTTGTCTTTAATCCTTAGCGAACACTCCACTCACGTGGCCATATATACTCGGCTGCCTACAGCGGTTGGTATTGCGTGTCGGACGAAACCTTTCTTACGGACTCACAACTGAGACAGGATGAGTCCACTGGGACGCGTTTTTCCATGGAATCAGGACACCCTGTCGAGTGGACGGAGGAAACGAACTACATGTTCCGGCTGTCGCAATTCCAAGATGATGTGCGGCATTGGGTGAAACAGGAGGCTCGCATCCGTCCGGCCAAGTTCGAAAAGATTCTGCTGGACACTCTCAGCGAACCTCTGCCGGATGTTTCGGTATCACGGCCTTCCAACCGCGTTCACTGGGCCATTCCCGTCCCCGATGATGACTCGCAGACTGTCTACGTCTGGCTGGATGCTCTGGTCAACTATCTCAGCTCCGTTGGATATCCCAATGAGGAGGTGAGTGCAATACCTTATTGGTATTTTTTACCTTAAAACTGTAGGCATTGGGTGACGAATTCCAAATAATTATTTATATCTCCTCATTCCAGTTCTCCGCCCACTGGCCACCGGCGCAGCACGTGATTGGCAAGGACATCCTCAAGTTCCATGGCATCTACTGGCCAGCATTCCTCCTGGCCGCCGGCTTGGAACCTCCTGGGCAGCTTCACGTTCACTCGCACTGGACCGTCGACGGACAGAAGATGTCGAAGAGCAAACACAACGTAGTGGATCCCGTGCAGGCGGCCCAGCAATACACCATGGAGGGTCTAAGATACTTCCTTCTGCGGGAGGGCGTGGCCCACAGCGATGGCAGTGAGTGAATCGAAACCGCGAAATCCCTTTGATGTCTGTGGCGTGTTCACTTTGCGGCTCCAATGCCATATGACCACCATGAAAATTCGGTAGAGGGAAGGATTGTGGGCTTGAATGCCCTGCCTGTGGTTATTCAAATAGTTTTTCCATCAAATTATCAACCGAAACTGTTGAGGTGCCCCTCAAGTATTCGTATGTGAGTGGCCATCTGTCGTCGTTAGTTCTACGACTATGCTTACCTCTGCTTTAATTTGCATTTCAATTTTATGCCCGAACTGACAAACCAAAAAAGAGGGAACTAAAGTCGAGCGCTGAGCAAAAGTTTTTGGTCTACCAGGGAGGCGAGATCTGACTTTTGTTTATTTGCCCCGAAAGTTTTCGTATTCCCCGAACTTGCAGAATTTGCATAAGGATGGGAAAACAGTTGGGGTAAAGTTTTCGTCCGGAATTAATCAATTGTCCGACAGATATGATTAGGTGTGGAATCGGTTTGGGCTATCGAAAGCAATTAACACACTTCGCTGAGTGTCACGGGATGCGTTTTGATTGATTCGCCAAACCTTTTCGGTTTTTCATTTGCATAAATTGCTGGCCTTACGCTCTTAAAATTTAATTTTCAATTATTGCTGACTTTGCTTTAGCGACGGATTTTCCAGACTTTTGACTATTTTCACGTTTGCCTTTATTCAATTTGCGCTTGTTGATGTTTCTCATTTTTTTTTTTTATGGCCCGCTGCCTTGCGGCTAATTTAATTGCATTTTTATTGCATTTGGCCAGCAAATTGAAACCAAAAAACAAAAAAGTTTCGATGAAAATGTGCGAACTGCTGCAGTGCGTCGTCGTCGCATAATTAAATTACAAAAGTTCGACATCGCGAACATTTTGCATATTTGTCGGGCCATGAATGATTTATGCGCGCGGCAGATAAATTTACTTTAATTTGAGTCGACTGTCATCCATTAGGTGGAAAATCACTCATTCTCCCCATCAAACAGTTGCCTTCAAATTCGATATTGTGGCCCAAGGCCGTTCTCATAATGCTGTTAGGACAACATCATTATTAAATGCTCAAGTTTTCATTACAGGCCAAACTTCCGCAACACAGAAATTGCATTTCGTATTTGCCAACATAACACAGCTGCTGCTGAGGGAGCAGAAATATTGAACGGACCCTCTGCGCTTATGTTAGAAAAAGTTGCCCAGGAAATGCAAATGGGGGAGGTACGTTGATGCAATCAACTTCCTTGGGGCGTCACTCAATTTTTAAATTTGAATTCTTAAACTTGTCACTGGGGACTGTTTATGCTTGCGAAAGTTTGGTGGCGATAGAAAATGTATATAGTATTGCTTTCCTTGAAAATTATTGTGGCCTGTTTTCAATCTGAGAAATACGGTTTACGCCCACATCAAAACTTTTACATTTTAAATTGGTGAAAGTATAGAAATAATAAAACACAAAGCTGGTTTTGAAACCTTGAGCATAGAACAAGGTTGCAGAGACTTTGGCTGTTTTAAATAACAAATTTAATCAATTGTGCTGATAACAACTACGCTCATTGATCTTAACCTTTCGCCTTATTTTTGTATTGATTGATAACAAAATTAATTTAGTTGTTTATATCATCATCAATTGAAGTCTTATCAATTAAGCCCACAAGTATATAGGCTGTTTAATGTATTAACACAGAGTGAAACATAATTGAAATTTAATACGAAAAGAGGGGCTTACAAAAATGTGGTACAATTGAATTAGAAGACTTAAATTTCTTTCATTTTTTAATGCATTAAGTGAAGAGAAGTTAGCCGCTTTGTCTATATCCCAGCCTAGGGGCTCGAAGTATTTCTGAAACATGCATACTACGGGCTATGCGAGCTGTAGTCCTGGGTTTTTCGTCTGTGGGGAGATTATATAGTTATCAGTAATATTTTTTCAAAATACTTATCACTCACATTTTGGGTTGGAGCAGAGGGTATCCCCATTTAGTCGAAAACCAGTCAACATGGGCAGCTCGCCGTTAATGTTCATAAACTCCACGACCATTTCGGCGGGCTTACCGCTTCTGACATTGTCGTAGCACTCCTCATTGGATGGATATGGATTGAGATAGTCGACTTGATCCTACCAGGAAACACAAATTGCCAACGTTTTTAAATTTTAGGTACAGCTTACCACTTTGTTAAGCTATCTGTCAACATACCACATTGGCCCCGCGAGACGTAAAGTTTGCCTCCCAGTAAAACTGATTAATGTCGGTCCTGTGTGCCCTTAGAACGCCGAAGTATGTTTGACCATTGTTCACGGTAGAATATCTAAAATAATCGCAATAATTATTCGGCACTTTAATAGGCTGGGCCGAAATCAGAGATACGTAAAAGCAAATCCAAAAAACTTTAGACATCGCGCGGCTGAAAGAGACTAATTCAAGACTAATGATTTGCTCACTTGGACCGGGAATTTATAAGAGCTGTGCGCCAATTTCTTATCGCGCGATTCCACTGAGAAAAACTGAGCCAACAAAATATTAACACATACATACATGGAGATATGCCAGTTAATCCTTTGTTTGATCCAAACTTTCAAATGGCTGATTACCAAATAAGTCGGCCGATTTTAGTTTACTCTTAAACGCAACGCTGAAATTCAGAATACCTTACAACTTAAAAACCGGTTTAAGAAGAAAGCTACAGAAAAAAGTGTATTTAAATTTCAAAGTTTGTCAATTTAAAGAAAGCGAAAAGTTCCGAGAAAAGCTTCTGATAGGAGCTATATAGTATGAATATAATCGTAAACTTGTTGTCTTGGGATAAGAGTTTTTTTTTTTCAATCTCTTATCAGTCCTCAAGAAAAACCGAGCTATCAAAAAAATTCTTTTAATATAATGAAAATACTAAAAAATTTGTGAAGTTATCTTCTCCTAAAGACATAAGACAAGCTATTTAAAGGTATTAAAAGGCTAACCTGCCTGATTTATGTAATAACCAGTAGTCGGTTTTAAAATACGTTGGTATAAGCCAAACTGTAGCGGCAACAGAATTCATGGTTTTAGAGATTCTGTGATTTTCAAATGAAAAAAAAACAACTTAAAATGAAACACAATATATTTCGATTTTGGCCAAGAACTTTAATAAAAACAAATATTTTTTTATTAAATAAATTTACTAGGTCTATTCATTTATAATGAAACAACTTCGCTGGTTAAATTTCTTTTAATAATCCTTGAGGAATTTTCGTAAAATCGGACAGACGGACATGGCTAGATTTAATCTCCAGGTGATGCTAATATATATAAACTTTATGGGGTCAGACATATCCCCTTCACTGCCTGGCAAAGTTCTAACTGAATCTATAATACCCTCTGCAAGGGTGTAAGCAAACGCTTAGAATTATTAGGCTTTGTCCTATTGGTAAAAACCCTTTTTTGTCTCATTTTCATGTTTCTTCGATTAGTGTTTGATCTCCATTCAAACCTTTTGGCGTCTTCCATACTACTGGCAATGAAAACTGTAGTTGTGGGTGGTGAGTCTGCAAAATTTCATGGTGACCAGTGGTAACATTTCAAAATATATTATTTTACTCACATGTCGGATGGGAGCAGAGGGTTACTCCATTAAGTGTAAAACTAGTCAGCATGGGTAATTCGTCCGTAACATTCATAAACTTGACGAACATCTTAGCGGGCTTTCCATTTTCGACATTTTTACGGCACTCGTCATAAGTGGGATATGGATTGAGATAATCGACTTGATCCTACAAGGAAACATAAATCATCAGTATATTTCTTTTTGGAGTATAAATTACTACTTTGTAGTGTTATCTGTCAACGAACCACGATACCGCGAGACGTGAAATTTGCCTCCCAGTAAGATTGATTAATGTCGGTTATGAATACTGTAAAAACACCGATGTAAACACCCCCGTCCAGGGTGTCATATTTAAAGTGCTCATCGCATTTATGATTTGGGAAATTTACTAGGGCCGAGACTAGAGCAACGTAAAAGCAAAGCCAAAAAACGACGAACATAGCGCAGCTGAAAGAGGCTAATCGCCAACTAAAGATAGTTTAGCTTAGGCCGGGAATATATGGGTATTAGACTTACTGATAGAAATCGGACTCTGATCGCCAAAAAATGTAAATCTCACTCCAATGAAACATATAAGAGATTTCGAATTCATTTTATAAACGCTTATCAGAACACTTTCACTAAGAAAAATCCGAGCACTACAAATATAGATTAAAATTTAAACTTTAAAACATTTACATTCAAAAACAAAAAGTAAATAAAAAAAAATAAGTTTTGATTAAAAGTTTTCATTTGTGAAATTCTGATTTTATTTTAAAATTAAAAAATCAAGCATTGGAAAACGGTTATTGTTAAACAAATTTAAAACAAGATTAGTTTTTGTTTACTCAAACCCGAAATTCTGTCACAGTTATTTTCTCTAAAATTTTCTTCTTTGTCCCATTTAACATTTATTCAACCCTATATTCTTAGTTTACTCTTTTAAAGGGCAGACATGAAGTTAATGTTCCTGTGTTGCTCAGGCAAATTTTTGCTGACGCCTCCGACTGGCTGTCTCCGATTGCAGAGCGGCTGGTTAAATATTTGATGGCCCACCTCTGTACTTAAAGCCAAGTTTTGTTGGAAAAAATACAGGAGGGCTGGAGAGCACTGCAAAATTGTGTCAAAGTTCTCAGCAGGCGATGGCAAACTAGAGCAGAGCGACAAGTTATTCAAGTTATTTAAGGCGCAGCCGAACAGGCAACAGTCCACATTCGAAGTGCAGCTCTTGGGGCACGTAAAAAAGTATTATTTATATTACTGCCAGGAAGAACGGCTGCATTTGTCTGAGGTGGCACACCGCCTCCTCGGTCACGTGGCAGCATGTGCAGCGTGCTTAGAGTTGGTAGCAAGTGTTGTGCCCGGCTGCCTCGTGCCGTCAGCAACTTTTGCTTTTTTGCACAATTTGTAGCTGCTCACGTAAGCAGTTAAGAGTTGCCCGGACCAAGTCCGGACTTGAGCTTCGGCAGGTAATGCCACATACAAAATACAACACGAGTTGCGGGTCTCTTCGCACAATTTCATTAGAAAGCAATACTCGATTGGCAGTCGGTGGGGAGCGTGCGAGGAGCTGCTAATAAAGGCTGATGCAATTCACATTGCATTTCTGGCCAACGGCAGTCAAACGTTGGCAATGCCATCGAAAAGCAATGCATTCAAAATGAAAAGCCTGCCAATCGGTTCAGTTAGCTCGTGAAAATCCACAGGACTTGATGGTTACCCTTTTAATACATAGTTTTGTCCTGCTTTTAATAATTTGAAACAAATAATTTAACAATGGTTTGGGTCTTTAAACAATTAAAATGTTATAATTATTGTCATGTTAAAAGAGGACTTATTGAATACAAATTTTTATACTTTGCATAAGTCTAGCTAATTTAAATTGTGCTTAATTTAGTATTTTTATTCATGTTTAGTTCAAAAGAAGTTTAAGGCTTTAATGGCCAACATTTTGCAAACTAAAGTTGCGAGGTAGCAGCAATTCTGATAACAATTCCCAGTTTTCACACGCCGAGTGGCTCCACATGAATTTGATTTGGAGAAACTAACGTCTATGCTGTGAATTCAACGCAACTCAACTCGACACTCTTTCATTTGAATTCGGTTGACAAGCAGACTTTTGCCATTTGGGGCGGGCGAAACTTTCTGCTATGTTTCTTCTAGTTTCGCAACAAATTAATGTTTCAGGCAACACTTTTTGGCAGTTATATTTCCCCAGAGAGTTCGGCAAAGGAAACCTCATTTGGCAGCACAGGTAAAACAAGAGCCCAATGGAGATAGTTGAAAATGCATCAACGAAATGTACTTGCTGTTGGTTTTATTTCCAATCCGAAATCTGATCATCAAAATTTCGAGCAGCAATTATTGCTTGCCAGCAGCAATAACCCGATTATTGTCTTTGCAGGCAGTGCCTTTTTAATTACCAAAAGGATGCAGCTGCAGTTTCAGGAATATTTTTGTGGTTCCATTAGCAATTGCCGCAGCTACTGCCGCATTTTTGGCCGGCACTGCCATTTTTATGGGTTTTATTTTTAATTGTCCAAGATTGGCTTTGACATACGTAATTAAGAGGATACTCAAAAAAAAATGTTATTATCACTGCAGTTGAGTACATAAAATAAATGAATTCCCCTTAAAACTTCGTCACTATATTATTCTGGAGTATCATTTTGCATTTAATAAAATGAAAGTACTAGCTAATTAAAGCAGAGGACATTTATTATTTGCAATTGAGTGCATAAAATAAATGCAATGGTTGTCTACTTAATTCTTTCAAGTTTCCTCCGGCGAGCTTATCATCATGCTGGAATCATGTTCTTACGAGACACTCTTTTATCCCTTACACTCTCTTCTTCATTCAGTTCAATTTCCCTTCGGGCAAAGATTTTGCAACTATTAGCGCAGTTTAAATCCTTTCGTGTTCAGCTTTGCTCCCACAAAGCCACCTGCAGCACCAATTTGTGTGACGAAGGAAAATGGGGAAATCTCCTTGCCGGCTGGTTGTTGTTAACTTATACGGATTTTATGTTAACGGGCTTTGGTCGAAGGACAGGAACTCTGCTAATCCCCTTAATGGGCGGCTGGACATACGGCAGCTAATGCCCAAGCAGAAAATAGTTAAATGAAAGATTTTCATTTATCTCTCATACGCCAGGGCTTTCCACGCTAAGTAGTCGATTTTAATATTTACTTGGTCAGCACTAACAACCATGAAGTTAATAAAAAAGAAACTGTAAAACATATTCTTAGAAAAGTTTTGATTTGATTTTGTTGCAGTAATTTTTATTTAAAATATATTAAATACAAATTTAAACTATTATTTCATTTTTGTAAACCTTTAATTTTATTTACTTTTAAAATAAGATTAGTATTTTATTATAATGGGTCAAAAAAATGGTAACCTTAAGTTAACATAATGAATCTTTGTGAAAAAATCCATTATCCTTTTTAATGGCAAAGTGCTGTTAAAAATGGTTGAACATCTACATTATCTGGGTGCAGCTCCTTGCTGGCCAAACTGACAAGTTGTCTGCTCTGGTTTGCTTTCAGACTACAGCCACGTGAAGGCCCAGCGCATCCTTAACTCGGAACTTGCGGACACCCTGGGCAATCTGCTATCGCGTGCCTGTGCCAAGGCGCTGAATCCCGGCCAAATCTATCCATCAGCCGACGCCGAGCACTTGGCGGATCTGCTCCGTACCCTGGATGCGACCAGACGCCTGCAGGAGTCGCTTCTGCAGCTGTCAGGTGAGTGGATCGGAATTTAAAGCAGTGAAGAGGATTGCAGTGGAGTGGAGTGGATTGGAGTGGAGTGGAGCGCTGTTTTGTCATTTTAATATTTAAGCAGCCAGGCTCGAACTGAAGAGGCGCCTTCTCGAGATAGAGATGGTTTATAATCTGCATTTGCGTTTGCATCCGCATCCGCTTCTGCCCGAAGCACTTCCGGCCAATCTCCGTGCGGCAAGTGCACTCGAGAGTGTGGCCAAGCTAGCCAGCTTATAGCTTTAAGTGCGCCAAGTGAAGCTATTATTTTGTATATTGTATTTTGTGCACTTCAACAAATGGGTAATTGAATTCCTTGTTTTTAAACTAGAGTGTTAAATAATAAAAAAAAAATGTTATTATCTTTTCAAATTAAGTAATTAGTTGATTGATTAGACCTTGAATTTTATATATTTTCTTTTGTTGCATTGTTTTTAAAAATGCATTACAATTTTTGTTCTTAGTATTGAAACTATAACAACCATTGAACTAATGTTCTCCCATTTTATGTTGCTAAAAATGTTCTTTAAAATCTTTAAGAATTTGAAATTAACGATATAGAATCTCCTAATTTTAAACAAATCATTTTGTAATTTGTTCTTGGATTTGCGCAACATTTGTTCTCAAGTGCTTTCCATGTTTCGTTATTTGCAGAGCGATGCGAGTCGCATTACGAGTGCAATCACTTCCACTTGGTGGCCGACACTGCAATGGCGACTCTGCATGCGGCCAACAACTTCTTCGAGAGTTCCAGACCCTGGACGCTGAAGGCGGGCACGGCGGAGTCCAACCAGCCGCGCTTGGAGACCATAATCGCCATGACAATGGACGCGTTGCGGCTCTGCGGCATTGTGCTGCAGCCCATAATTCCCCAGCTGGCCACCCGTTTGCTCGATAAGCTGCGAGTCCCGACCGCGCAACGTGGCTGGAATTACTTGGCCAAGAGTTTTGCCACCAGTCCCGCGCATCTCGACGGGAGCCGTCAATTGGACGGGCAAACCAGTGCGCTGCTCTTCCAGCGGATTGTCGAGGAAAACCCCACTAAGGAGGAGCACAAGCCGCAGCCAGCCAAGCGGATCAAATCGAAGAAGAAGGACCGCCGCGAAACAATGTCCTGAAGTGGCCGTAATAAACTGATTCCAAAGCCAAACTACCGGCGATATTTGTTCATGACGAGGACTTTATAACACTGGGCTACAGGAATCTTTCACTCTACCAAAACAATGTTCTTAAAACGAAAACTGTATTCAATACATTTCAGTATAAACGGCAGGGTTTCTTTAAATTTACTTTTTTAATACTTCTCAGTCTCTAAATTACATATTTTTTAATAGTTTTAAAATAGTATATGTTATTTATTCATAAGCTGTAGAAATAATATTTTTTTTAGATTAACTTCAGTAGACAAATTTCATGTTGAGGTAATTAAATTATATATGTTTAGCAAAAATCCTTGTAAACTAGTGCTCCCTCGTTGCGCAAGTGGTCGCAAATCAGAATCGCAGGCCAAGCAACTCGGCTAAGCCTGGTTTTTGTAGGTCTCTTGCTCCAACTCCGAGTCTCATTAAAATCCACTTAATTATGTGCAGGAAGGAAAAAGCAGGGCCGTCAGCAGCATTGCTGTCTCATATTCCTTTGTAATTTATTACGCGTAATTGAAGTCAGCATCAGGTGGCAAGAATGGGAAGTTATTTATGGCCTTCAATTGCCAAACAGGTTGAGGGCTAGCCACCAGGCCAAACTTGAAGCCAGACTTTTATTTGTTAATTTATTTTAATTTCCACTGGCCGGAAAAAAAGGAAAAAAGGAAAAAAGAAACGCACACCATAAAAAGAACCCACAAGCAGCGTAATCAAAATAAATGGCAATGTGGCTCTCCATCCAAGTAGGAGTGCATGTGCTAGTGGGTTGGCTGAGGGCCAAGTTAAGTGCAACCATTCGAGTCAATTGCTGGCTGGCCGAGAGGAATAGACAAAGCTGATTAGATTATTCAAAAGCCAATGCCAGACCCGCTTCAGGAAAATAGTTTAATTAAGGTTTCCCCTGAAAGTCCGATCGCAGCAACAATTAAGTTTCAAGTCCAGAAGTCGAAAATCATTGGTTAACAGATTGCAGTTTTCTTCACTATTTGCTTTTCCGCCTTTCCTCCAGTGTGTTGCAGTCGCTGATGTTAAAGGATGCTTAGGTACATGTTTTCTTTGAATTTTCTGTATTTGGTACTTAAAACATTATATATGCGTGAATCGACAGGTAGTGCTATAAATTTATTCTGAATATTTTTGGCCATACATATTCTAAATTAAAATTCCGCATTTTAAACCCTACTAGAGTAGTCACAAAATCCAATACCTTTTGCATCACTAGATTCTGTTGATTGTACGCTAATGGCAGACATTACCGCCGCTATCAGATGCAGGTAAACAACAATTTAACTTCATTTTGCAGCTGTCCGTCCATCACTTTAGCCCTTGCTGCAGTTTTCTGTGCCCATGTTGGCAATTAGCCAGCCAAAATGTGCGGGCTTTTGGGCCCAGTTAACCTGCACTTTACCGTGCACGATGAAGCTAGGTAGATTCTGATGCGAAAATGGATACTGCTGCTGGTACATGGATGCACATGTTGATGCAGACACTTTACTATTAAGACCAAAAGCTAACACATGAGATAGATATCCCAAAACCTAAAGGGGGTGAGAAATTAGTGAAATGGTTTGCTGCATTGTTCGCAGTAAAATCTGGACCTTGCCATCCCAATATTTAGACATTAATGAGGCTATAATTTGATTTACCTTTTAACTTACAATAGGAAATTGTATTTAGTAAAAGGAGGATAGAGGAAGTATCTCTTAAATGAGGCAACATATACCTCCTAGTGTTGTGTTTCATTATTATTATTTACTGGCATGGAGATTTTATAAATTAATGCTTCCGAATTTACCATTACATTAACATTTGTTGCGAAATTTAAAAAGTATGAGCTTCTCAAAAGATTTTTAAATTCTTTAAGTGAAAACATTAAGATATGTCCTTAATATCCGCAATCGCAGTAACTTCGTTAATCGACCAAAAATGTAATAACTCATTGACTGTGCAACACATAAGCCCTCAAAACTAATGTTTGCATTAAGACTTGAAACAACTTTAAAAGCAATGGTTAGTTTGTGATGGAAAACAATGAGTGGTTGGCAAAGTGTAGAGTTGAAAAGTTTAATATAACCAACTTTAAATTTAATGTTAGCTTAGGTTATTAACTTGCCAACTCTCTTTTGGCAAGATGTATCCTTATCGATCTGCTTTTCATAATTTAACATCCCACAGGGAAAAATTAAATTTATAGTGCAAGCAAATTAAGTTGACGTTAATGAGACGTCAGAGGACAAAGAGAAAGCATAAACATGCTTGACTTGCAAAAAGTTGTTAAGTTTGCATTTAAAATGAAATTACGCAGACTGTGGTGGTGAAGTCAGGTAATGAGGTTAATGGTTCACTTTAAATGCTGCTTAAGCTCGAACGCAAAACCCAAAGCAGTTGTTGTTCCAGCGGATGCTGCCTCTTGTTGCACTTTGATTAATTATAAAGTTGCTTTGTCCTGTCGAGATTGCCGCCGTCTGCCGGCCACAACTTTCCACCTTGGCAATGCATAATTTAATTTGCCTGCCAGCCACGTGGCGTATGCGCAATATTGTAAATGAATTAGCCCGCACTCCAAGTTGCCACTTGTAGCTTAAGTATTGTTTCTTAGTGACTACTCCAAGAGAGTGAAATTGATTTGCTTTTAACTCCTGTTTTTTATACAGGAGTCTTTTTCAGTATATATGTATTAACCAACCGGCATCTAAAAGACTTTTGTGATATATGTAAATAAATATTCACTCAGTTTTCTTATTAATAAAAAGAAATAAACTTAATGTTATTAAAAAAAAATAATAGGAACATAGGCAAACAGCAAGCAATGCGCAGTGCAAGACCATAAATTCGATGCGCAAATCATATTTCATATTTAATTTTGAGTGTTTTAATGACCTTTTCATAAGTTAGAAGCTAGAAATAATTGATTTCGGTTTCGGAGTTCGCGAGAGGTTTTGTGCAGATCTTTAGACCTTTACTGATAAGACAGTCTCGGTGTTTTTATACAAAAGTTCGGATGACGACTGATAAGGAACAGTCCGCGCACAGCCTCCGTCTAGAACTTATATCAAAATGAAGTTCGGTTTTCAGGTTTTTGTTTTCGTCAGTCTGGGTGCTGCTTTAGCCATAACATTGCCAGAACACAATTGCACCGAGTTCTTTACATATGGCGTCGAGGACGGAAATACTTTTGTAGGTTTATTCACGGCACCCAAGGCGGGTCTACAAAGTATATCATGGCATATAAAGCTAACGTGGCTGGGATCGGATGACAGTCCTGTGCACACAATAGATCATTATCCCTCGGAAGAACAGGCGGTTCAAAATATAAACAACGGACTGTGGGCCCAGCTGGTTGTACGATTTCGAAATACCTCCCTCGAGATGCCAAAGCTTACCCTTTTGGAAGTCAATAACATGACGCTTTGCAGTAATCCCAAATGTGAGTAACGCCATGGTCTTGCTTTCGTATAAATCTAGTATTCCCTGCCTTCACAGCTCCTCTGCCTTCAAATACTATTACTATAAATCGTGGAATTGTCTCCACACGAGAAATAACTACAATTAAAGCCGAAAGAATGAAAATGCATCCCGTTCTACCGAAAATAATGCCAACACCTTTTATTAATTGAATGTGCATGGGTACAATAGCAGTTTTACATCCAATCGTTCAATGAAAACAAAAAAATTAAAGCATTGTCGGTATTTAAAGCTCTAAAGATTAACATAATTTAGCGATTTTTCGAGAAATTTCCTTGGCTTTCCTTTAACATTAATCAAGAGAATAATGCCAATAGCTACCTGTAACCAAAGCACAAAACACAATTAAATTCTTCGATTTTGCATCTATCAAGAGCCTTTCGACTTCGAAATATGCAAATTCCACAATGGTTGACATCCGATGAACGAAATAATAATGGCGAATGTCGCTTAACTAATTTACTAAGTCAGCTCAAAAGTGTTTAATGTATCGTTGCCAGGGCCGCAAAGCAAAACAGTTGTTGTACTTCTCCAATAAAAGCAATAAAATGTGTAAATTAAATCGAGCGTGTTGGGCATTTAATTAGAGCCGATTTATGCACAACCGAGTTGGATAAGTGGACGTAAGTTTGCCACAGATGCGACATCAGTCTCAGTATAGATTTTGGCTGGCTCACATAATCCGTAATTAAATTGCACTAAAAAATGCCACTCGAATACTTAATCCTTGGACACTCGTGGCCCCACTGCCACAGCAACTATGCGAGTCGTTATCCCTTTTAATGAATTTTTTTGCTGGCCCGCCCGGCCTTCGCTTTTCATTTTGCCGGGCAGCAAAGTTTATTTTCCCATAACCCCTCCCCATTTTCTGCAACCTTTTTGCGCCAAAGTAAATATTTTACTATGCCACTATTTAAAGCATACTTTCAGGCGGCTGTCGGCACAGCTGGAAAACCACAGCTGGAAAACCTGCGGCGAGTTGGCGAAGGAGAAGGAAAATGCTGCTGAAGCAACAGCCCGGCAGCCATTTTATTTTTGCAATATTTTCCAGGTCAAAATGTCGTAGAACTTTTATTAACTTCATGCCAAAAACCCCCAGTTCGTTTTTGTGTCTCGTCCCTGTGTTTGTGTCTAAACATTAAAAGTAGCTTAGTGTTGTCGGTTGTTGGTTGTCGGTCGTCGGTCGTTGGGCGTAAGTGTTTGGGTCTCATGTTGATAACTTATATTGGGGATGTCAACAGCCGAATGCGTTTCGAGTGGATTTTGCATCACAGTCAATGGCCAAGAATCTTTGTCCTTGCCGGGACTTGAGCGTCCTCGTTTGGGTTGTTTTATGGCCTGGAAGGAGGCCACTCAAATGACCAGAGCCGCAAGCTGATTTTAAAGTTTCCCACAACACTTAAAATGCGTATTTCAAGAGCGAACTCTTGAATAGGTTTTCAGAGAAAACTTTCCTTAAAGCATTGGAGCGCTGTTGATAAGTAAGACACATTAATGTGCTGCACTTTTTGCATTACAATGCAGGATTTATGAACAACAGCGGCCAACACAAAGGGCAGGGGAAAAATGAAAAATGTAATTTCAACGAAGACAAAGGCGTCGACAGACAGCAAATGAGAGCAGGAAAATTAAATTCACCTTCGAAAAATACTTGTGCTTGGCTGGCTCGGTGTTATTCGTGTCTATCGGCCCTGTTCTCAGTTTGGTTTTCGAAATATTTGCTTAACAAATTCATAAAACTTGTGTGCTTTTCTTGGATTTCCATTAATGTTAGATTTAATATTTACGGAATTGATGAATTATGCGAAAATTACGCATCTATTTGCCTATTTTAAATCATTTCGGATGTTTTCCTAGATTTTGTTATCAGTGTTTTTATCAATTTTCGGTTTTACTGTTAGGATAAAATATAAATACTTCTATAATGGTTTTATTAATCCCTACACATCCAGAACAAAACGTTTGATAGTGAGTCAATCTTAATTCCAGCTTTTGAACTTTGTTTTTGAAATCTTCTCTGAAGAGCATTTTGATACGAATGTTTTTAGTGTGGAAGAAGAACAGAATCGCGCACAGCTACCAGTCATTGTTCAGTCTTTATCAGCAGAGGTTCTTGACATGTCTATTATTGGTCTGATTTTTTTAGGTCTTTGTCTGAGCTCTGCCCAGGCTCTACTCGTGCCTCAGCACAATTGCGATAACCACTTCAGATACGCCACGGAGGATGGTGGAAGGACCTTCATAGGCATTTTCACGGCGCCTAAGTTGAACATTCACAATTTTAAATGGCAGGCGATTTTCGAAGTCCGAGGATCTCGCTCGGTAAGCAATTACTAAGTCAAGTGCTGCAATTCATAATCAGACTTTTTGTATATTTTAAAGTTGTTTGTAAGTGCTTTGCAAACGTATCCCAACAATGATGAAGCTGCCATTTATCTTCTGAAAGGTGAGCCGGCTCAAGCTTATGTGCGGTTCTTAAATGTCACCACCGAGCTGCCCAAACTGTACTCTTTGATTCTCAACGGAAATGAGCTGTGCTCTAATGCAGGATGTGAGTACAAAATTGGGATTCCGCAACTATCCACAGTAATCACAAATTTTTTTCACAGACCCTTTTCCCAAGACTAGAGCTACTGTAAGGCATCATATGTATGTTAACGTTAAAAAGACAGTCAAGGAACCACACTACGGAGGTGTATCCACCGATCTATCACAATAACATCCGAACCTTTGAGTAATGTGGCAACTAATGTGATTTATACTTATATCTATTGAAAAAAAAAAAAATTTGCCCTTCCTATATCACATTATTTCAATTATAACTTTTAATTAAAAGGTATACAATTAAATCGCACAGAGGGAATTCGTTTGTGTTAGTTTAAAAGGAAGAAAATCAAATATTTTATGGGTTTACTAAACTTAATTCGATGTAGTTGAAAATCATTGCGGCTGAATGCGTCTATAATTATGCGTTTAAAAACTATTTGTTCAGTAATTTATAAGCTGCAGGGTTCTAAGTTATGTGCCCAAACAAGTTAATTTATAAATTATAAGTCAATAACAATACGATTTAAATAGGTATTGTTTTTCATTTCACTTGTTCGAACACATCCGTTAAAAGCAGGGACCGTAATCACGATAAGTTTTCTAATAAAAGATTCACTTTAATAATTATTTTTTGAGCAAAAACTTATTACATATCGAAAAATTTCGCTCAAAGTCAAATTACTTTTTTTACAGCATTCTTCAAAAAGATTGTATTGCAAAAAAACCGAAATAAAACCAATTTCAAACTAAATTGTTTTTTATTTTTCAATTAAAAAAAATTTTTTTTGAACTGTGTTTTTTTTGGTGCGGGTGATTCACTTAATAAGCTAACAATACGATCTTATCGGACTTTGTTTCGCTCACAAAATATTTATTTTGATTAAATCTAACGCACAAGAGAGCGGATTACTGAATTTCTCTTTTGTGTTTTTCGGTTTTCTTAAGTATTGTATAATTTTGTCCACTTCGCAAGTAATCTCTTCAAATTTCGAAACTATAATATATATGTCATTACTTTTATACAATAAGAATATTAAAGTTAAAAAAAAGGGCAGGTATGTTTAACAATTTAATTAAAATTTTTAAAAATTTAAAGTATTATGGATTCATTGATACCTAAAAAATGAACAAAAATTTTCATATATTTCAAAAAATATTTTTAAATTGATTTAAAATTGTACTTTTTAAGAGAATCTGCTCTCGATAGAAATTTTGTGGGAAGAGCGTTTCATTGGAAACAGATAACCAAAAGTTGTTCAAAGCTATCAGTGCTCGGCCAGAGTTAATCGGTAGTGGGTTCTAAAATGTCTATAATTTGGCTGTGTTTATTCTGGATTTGTTTAAACTCAGTACAGGCCGTTTATGTGCCTGAAAACACTTGTACAGATTACTTTCAATACGCCTCGGATATCAATGGGAAAAGCTATGCTGGCATTTTCAAGGCTCCCATTTCACGGAGACAAAGGTTTGAGTGGAGTGCGACTTTTGTAGTACACGGTCATCACGGGGTATGCGGTTATCTGCTGAGGTGGTGCACTTAAATTTAACATTATCTTTATATTTTTTTAAGGTCTTTGTTAGCTCACTAATGCCGTATCCCAACAAGGATGATTCTGTTCTTGACCTTTTAAGTGGTCAGCCAAATAGGGTTTATGTATACTTTGTGAATATCAAGAACGAGCTGCCCAAACTGACCCTTTTGAGTCTGAATCAAATGACGCTGTGCAATAACACCGGCTGTGAGTAAAGAATCCAATTCAATCCATAACAAATAATATAATATAGTAATATCCACTCGATCAATAACCTTTTGTTCCCGATCCCTTTCAAAGACGGAATTCCCTCGACTAAAATTACTGTGCAATACATAATGGACCAAACCAAAAATTAAGAAGAGGGAAAGAAGTGTTACCAAGTTCACTAAGAATTAAACCATAAACGAAATGAAACTCCCGGTGAAGATCTTATTTAGTAACATAGTTATTTAAAATTAAAAATGCTATATTGTATTGTACGAAAAAAAGAAATTTTTAATTTATTTTTAATGTTTTTTATTTTGTATAATTAATTTTGATTGCCTCCGTGTTTTGTTTTTCCGCAACCTATGCCAACCCGTTAGTAAAAAGTGATCATTAATTAACATTTTTGGTGCCTGCACAGATAAATTTATAATAATACATTTTGTTAAATTTGTTTTTACGTTTCTGTGGAAATAAATTTAAAACCAGTTCAAATTTGGCAAAAATGGGAACACCTTTATATCCTTTTTTGAGTATTTACCTGACGTTGCATGCGAATATTTGACAGCAAGTGAAATGGCGTTGTTGTGGAACTTTTTCGCTGGTGCCAGAGAGTTGCTAATGTTGCCTGCGCCCAATAATCAGGGTCCTCAACTGGAGCAGAAAGAGGAAAGCGAATGATGGAGGGCATCCTTGAAAGTGTAAGCCCCTTGTAAGTTGAACAGCGGGATGGCAACGAAGCCTTGAGCCTTGCTCTTCTTTGGCACCTCCTTTGCAGCTCCTGCACCCAATAAACATGCATATTAATGGCCGTGAGTCCGGTGCCGTAGAACTCGGTGTTCGTGCGCCCATTTGCCTTGCAAAGCGATCAAATGAATCAACGATACTTGCAATTTCCTTGTCGAGTCTTTATGTGAGCGCATCTCGGAATGCTGGAAATGAATCTGGAGCTGGATGAAGATGACGATGACAGCGGCAGCGGATGCAGTAGCTTACCCAGAAAGCAGTGAATATAAATCAAAATGGAAGGCATTCATAACGAAAGCTTTAAATACATGAAGTTTCGGGTGAAGTCATAAACTAATGGCTGTTGATGGAGGGAGATACCGTTTTGGCATTATTTTTAAAAGCGTTTTTTTAATTGTTTAATCTAGAAAGCTCCTCAAAAAAACATAAAAAAGGAGTCATAGGCCATAGCAACTAAGTTTCTGTTTATAATTTAGGTATTTTTTTTACGATTTTTAACAATACAAAAAATATAAATTAAAACAAGTTTAATTCTTATCGTAATTTTTTTTGCTACTGTACATATTAAGAATCCCTGAGAGCATTGCACTCAATCAGTAAAAATCATTATCAAGGCCGATGGCCTTTTAATGGGTTTCTGCCGAAGAAGGCAATTAAAAATGAAACAAACGAAGATTGACATTACATTTTTGTGACAATAAATCCACTTGACTTATTTGCCATATGATGGAGCCCAAAGGCATCTGAAGTGGGTCAAAAGAGGCTGTTGGAATAAAGGAATTTATTCCAACATGTTGCTCCTTCTGAGCGGCTTTAAATGTTTTATATATTTTTCGTTCGTTTGTTTCTGTTTGCCTCTGATTTCCTTTCAGCCCGGACAGGAAATAAAAAAAAGAAGCAACAGCCAGACATTTGGCTGCGAAAAACAGGAACAAAGGACAGATAAAATAAGACGACTATATAAAAATAAAATCAAAATACGTGAGCGGTGGGCGTTGCGAGCATAAATCTCATCAATCAAATGGAATTGTGCGCATAAAGTTATCGGCTCAACTTACAGCAGATAACTCAACCCGAATCCCTCCGCCTAACCTTCCGCCCCCGCCCGTCCCCTTCTGTCCTTGTCCCCCTCGTCCTCTGGGGCAATTTGAGTTTATTGTTTCAATCTGTTAAGGCAACCCCAGGGTCTGGAGAAGTGCGACCCATAGCTTAAGTAGCCCCCGACTTGCAAGCACAAATGGGTGCACTTGCAGAAAAGCATGATAGGTTTTATTAAATTACAGTATCAGTATGTTAGAACAGATTTGCCGTAAAAAAATAAAATTAGAGGCCTGCAAAATTAGTTACAGTAAATTAGTCTTTAATATTTTAGTAAAGTGTCTGTTTTAAATGTCTAAAATTGTTTAAAATGCAAGCTAAAAGATATTGCTTTAAATTCACCTTTAATTTCTATGTTATCAAGTATGTATATATAATAACTGTGCTAAACAGAAAAATAAAATAATAAATAGGCAATGAAACACATAAACCTATAAAGAAGTTAATTTCTCAGGATGAACTTTTTCTATTTCTGCATAAAGCAAACAAATCAAGCCACTGCCCCTGGGCCAGTTTTGATTGTGGGTCTCGATTTGGTCGCGGTTTTGGTGCAGCCTTCGGCTCTTGTTAGATTTCAGCTTTGTTTGTTTTTATTTTGCTTTTTATAAACTGCTTTTGCTCCTAGAACTTTCACACTTCTCTGCTTTTTGTGTAAATCCGATTTATTTGCATTTGCTTTGAGTTGTCAGTCTGAATTCTGCCTATAATTCTTAGAATTTTTCTTGTGTTTTATCAGTAAATGGTTTTGGTTTCGTGACCTGCCCGGCTTTATCTGAGCTTCATTCAGTCTCAAAACTAAAACATGGGGTCTTTAAAGGTAGAAAATCATCTAACATATTAAAGGAGACCCAATTACGTCGCCTAATTATTAATGGCAGCAATTGGCTTCGGGGGCATTTCGCAAGCAAGTCGCGCAAACAATGAAGGGCAAACAGTTGGTCCGTTCTGTATCCGCCCTTCGGCCATATTGATTAGGTGCGTAAATATGAGCAAGATGGCGGAATATTCCAGTTTATGTCAACTGCGATTCGACATTGATGGGCCCAATGGCCTCTGAAGAGCCACACTGTGAAGCGGGCTCTCAGGATCAGGTGGCGAATCGGAGTATGTATCGAAGGGATACTATCGGTACATATGTTATAGAAATTATGTACTTCAAACTTGAATTCGGATTGAATAAACAAATCTTAAAGTTATAGTAGGACAATTTTGTTTGGACATCAAGACATTTTTTTTTGCTGATTTGTCTAAGCACAGTTTACTGCTGCTTAATTATTGGCCATAAATGGTATTTTTTTAAGTTTTATGATCTGAGGCATATAAAAATTTTTATTTTTCAAAAAGCACTCTAACTGTTATTGAAATTTCTAAAAATAGGAAAAAAATCAAGAATCTACGGTGGCACGTCAAGTGCAGTTTATGCTGAAGGCCACCGCAGCGAGGGTTTTCCAGCGAAGTGGCCGACAGTTTCCCGAACTGCTCTAACAGCAATAAAGCGTTTAATGCTGTTACTTGCCGCACTGTGGGTGGCGGGGAATGGGGCAGGGGGAAAACGCAAACTTTGTTGTTATTGTTGTTGTCGATATTTGAAAAGTTGCTTACTAATTTCGCTTAAGGAGTTCGGAAACTGCAATTCGCCGTAATTAACTGAAACGTTTGCATTTTAATAGACTTTACATTAATTGTGCGATAAGTTTTGTGCAAACGAAACATCAGGGGGCAAATTGAAGGTGCAGGGTCAGGGCAACATTATGAATAAAGTTTTAGGATATATACGTTATGTGATAATCGATAAGTTGAGTTGTGAATGGGCATGCGGTTGTGGAGTGGCGCATCGAGTATACGCAACGTTGGCTAGCTCATGAGTGCGTGTTTGTTTGTGCAGCAAAGCATGACTAATGACAGCTTTGGCCCGAGCCATGTACACGCCAGTATATATCATTTCGTTTAGCAAATAACAAATATCACTGTCCGAGTTGGAACAGCGACATAGAAAGTGAAGAACGGCAGGCAGAACGAGACGGAAATAAAGATAAATAGTAATTTTGAAATGTTTTCATGTTGCCTCTGCAGATGAAACGAAAATTGTTGGACATTCGGACGATGTGAAGCTCCTGGGAGCATCCAGCTCTAGCTGCTCACTCTTGCTCCTCCAAAAAAAACTCCCCATTTCTCGTCTCTGTATCGTATAAATATATACGAAGAAAACAGCGCATTTGCAACATTTATTGAGTCGTTGAACGAGTTGAATGAGTTTGGGTTTGCGTTTTTATTTTTAAACGCTGGCTGGAAGCCTCCAGAGCACCAGGCAAAGACTAAACGAGCGTACACAGTTTAAATATTGATTTACGACCACACACACACGCTGGCGGAGAAAGATACGGCTAGGGGGCGTGGAAAGAGAGAGAGAGAGAATAAACGACCGCAAAACAATGCAGGCAACTGGAATTTGTTTTTAAAATATGACCAGCCGAGAATTTCTATTTAACTATGAAATCAGTTATTTTCATGATAGCACAGAGGATTTTAATAAGAGGAAACAGCCTGAAATCCGATTTTCTTGTTTTTAGACTGCTGTGGAAGCCCTCAATAATTTATATAGCATGGACACCACAATAAAATCATTGTTCAATAAATTAGTTATCGTACTTTTGTTTATACGGACACAAGAAAATAGGTTAGATTGCCCCAGCTTACAATAAAAAAGCCTTTAAGGCATTGCCTACTTTTTGGAAGATGTACAGCTTCAGTATTTAAGAGACAACCCAAAATATATCCTGTGATGGTAATATATGTATATAATAACGACCGAACTCACAAAGATAAGTGATTAATTGAGTACACAGTTTTATTTTAAAAAGTGACATGGGGAAAGGATTTCCTTTCAGTAAACCGCAGACCCATAAGACCCATTAGGCCATTCAATTCATTTTCGGGAATTTTGAGGAGTCTCCTGCTAATTGAAGTCATGCCAAAGCATAAAGCAATGCAGTTGCGCCAAATTCACCAGTCATTAGGCGGCTCTAAGGGAAAATTGAATGTCAAGTGCAGGCCGAGGGAAATTGGAGGAGAGCAAACTGCTGCCACTCCATGACTGCCTGCAGCCAAGAACAAGAAGAAATTCATGACGATGCGATGCGATGCAGACAGAATGCGCAAATTGGTTTCACTTCGCAGAGCAAGCGTGAAAACGATGTTGTCCTAGTCCTGCTCGACGCTTTCCCGCTCGAGTAGTGCTGGGAAAACTTGGCCCAAGTTGCGGTAAACTTTTGCCCAGCACGTTATACATTCGCCGCGTACGCCGACACGCCAACATGGCGGATGACAAATGTTTCCTCTGCTGATTCGCAAATCGCTTGGTCCAACACTAACCATTAGAATAGATTAGAGCAGCTGGGAGCTCCTGGAACACAGCACTCAGCACTCAAGGTGTTGGTAATCTCTTTGTCGGCCTCGGTTATTATTGCGGCCTGTTTGTGTTGCCCTCCAGTGTCATAATAATTAAATGGAATCTTTGCCAGGCCAGCCAGAAATTCATCACTCTCACCATCTTTTGATGTGGCTGCTGCACTGCAAAAAAAATGTTAATTTGGCTTAAAGTATAATAACAATTTATTTTAAAACAGCTTATGGTACGACACGATACTCACTATGAATATATATTCTAGGCTGTTGATATTGTGTGCTATAACCAATTTATCAGAATATTAACTCCATCAACATTTTATATTAAAATACTAAAGTGTTTGTTAACAAAAACTTAAATAAAATGATTTATATTTTAATGCTATTTGTGTTCCACTTTTTCTAATTGAATAGCTCTTTATAATTTACTCGAAAAAATTATAGTTTTTGAAAATTTAAACGTATTCTTAGTAAAGCCAGATACATCAATATTTTTAATTTAACAAGATGAATTTTTTTATAAGCTATAAACATTTTTGATTTATATTACTTCGAATTAACAATATTAAATATTGCTACTGTTACTATTGCCAGTTTTTAAAAGATTTAGATCAATTTGCGAATAACTCTAAACATTCTTGACATTTTTTTTCTTGTGTTCGGGTGCGTGTCGCACTCGTTTAGTTATTTAAGGCAAGGTGGCAGATTCATTTGTAAGCCAGTCCAGGTCTGCAAACCTCGGGAATCGCTTTGTTCGTTGGTTTTGTTTTCCTTATGGATTCCCGGCCTTGAACTAAGATAAAGAAGCTGTCGTCCGACTTCCACTCGACTAACATATTACGGATGTAGGCGGTCTTAGGAAAATTTTCAATAAGACCTTGTCATGCGTGTCCGACTTTGGCCTTCACTGCCCACGCGAATTCGAATGTGGATGCCTTATTTGCCCAATCAACTGGCCATTTCTGGACCTAACATAACAAGGATTGAATATTTAAGTTGGCGCATTTATCAATGTCTCTTGGTAGTGATTCATAATGCACATTCACATTCTGTCATCTAATTTATTTTAATATTTTAAGATGAGAGCAAAGCTAAGCTTTGGACATTTGTGTAATTGTGCCAATTGGAGTAGAAATTATCTAAAAATACGTACTAAAATATATATTTCTGATTTATTAACTTGCATTGAGATTAGCAGAGAGAGAACCACAAAATGTTTCCATGATTGATGGATGAACGCGCTTCATTAATCAAATTTATGCACTTCAGCGATAGTTTGATTGATATTCAATAGTCTGACGTTATAAACTTGAAAAAGTCCTTTTATTATTCCTAGTACTCAAGTAGTCTCCTTGTCACCGCCGAATTTCGCGAAGCGGTTTTTGCTTGTACAATTCAGAAAACTGATTATTTATGTAGTAAACCCGGAACCGCAAACGGGTTCAAAGCGCATCCACTGGAAGTTGGTTTGGCTTTTTTATGCTGCGGTGTGCCAAGTCAAATGCATAACCAAAAAAATATACAACTTTACTTTTACGCTCCAGTTTTGTTTATTTTTTTCCGTTTGATGTTGCGGGGCTGCTTCTCCATCTGCCCAATGCTTAAAGCCATTTGAAAATGATTGGCTTTTATGTCAATAAGCGTCTCAGTTGTCCTTACTTGTTTCAGTTATTCTTTGGCATGACTTTTTTTCTTGACTTATTTTTATACAGCGTTCACTGCTTTTTCTTTCTGTTTTTGCTCTCGCGGTATTCTCTTGTAGTCTGTCGCTTAAGTGCCCCAATTAAATACAATAAATATACACATAAATTTTTATATACATCGCGCATATATAATAACAACTTGTTTTGTGGACCAAAAGCAGCAAAAAGTTAGCGCTTTTAATAGACGAAAAAAAAAGAAAAATGTAAAGCAAATATTTGTGCTGACCTTTGAGTCATTTAAAGTGCTTGTTTTTCCAGCGAGGGCACATTAAATTTTCACTTTGGAGAGCAGCTGCCAAACCAAATGCCATAAATCTTCCGGCTGAAATTAAAATCCAGGGCTCAAATCAAATTTTCACACTGAAAACGAAAATCAGTAAAGGGTCTGCATCAAATTTGCAATAAGTTGCTAAACATCGAAGCGTAAAATAAGCATTCATCACTCAGTTTTAGGTGCGTCGACATAAATCTTAATTCAAACCTTTTGTGGGTTTGACTTTTTAGGTGGTTCGGATTTGGCACGCACAATTGATTTATGAAAATGTAATGCTCACATGCAGAGGACTAAAAAACACCGAAACATCCTGTGATAGGCAATATTTTCTCTTTGAAATTAAAGCCGCCTCACAGACGGCAATAAAACCAAAGCTATAAAAGCTAATGAGCCCGAAAACTCGTCGCCGTTGTCACAGCCATCGCCCCTCGAATTTGCCACGCCCACCCCCATAAAACTAATATACGAGCCGGAGCATAATGAAAATCGCGGCCATCGTGTTGCGCTTGCATTCCTTCATAATATCGAATTTCACCTCGCTGTTTTGGCTCATAAAATGATGGCGATCGTCGGCTACCGTAGGAATATACGGCGTGGAATGTCATAAAATTTACGCATTGTTGTTGCTGATTCCCGATTCCCGATGAGAATGCTTGCTTACCGTTATTGCCTGTGAGTGCGCATAAATTGAGGTACAAATACAAACAAACAAGTTTTTGTATAGAAAGCACGGGAGGTCTTTGTTATAAGGGGGCGTGGCAATGGCTGATTTATTTGCAGATAACAAAATGGAATGAAGGCACTTACACTGCTGGAAATTGGCTTATATTTAATTTATTTTAATTTAAAGTGTCTGATTTTGCAAATTATCATGAAATATTTGAAGATTTTGATAATCTTTCATGAATAATTTATTAAATCAACTAAAAGGTCGTTAAAATACTGTAGCTTTTTTTAGCTAGCATCAAAATTTTCTGGGTATCTTATAGTCTATTTTATTTATCGTTTGAAATTATAAAATTCCATGTAAAATATGCGAACCATATATTTTTCAAGGTGTAGACTAGTAGATTTTTGTCACTCCACTGAGCAGTAAATAGCGAGGCGAAGGCAATTCACACACTCGCTGGGCAGGCCAAATTAAAAGAATAGAAATTCCAAGTACCTCAAAATGAGTGAACATCGAAATCCCTCCAAGGGATCGTCAGAAGGTGGGCGAACGATGGGCGTCCCATTCTTCGATGCGCTATGGCCGCTGATCCTGGACGAGAATCCCTGTCACATCGAGAGCAAGGTGGAGGAATATTTTGTGCCCAGCAAACCCTTTAATCGTCTAGAGTGGCACACTTATTTGGCTCGGGTAGGATATCCTTTCTACATGGCGCCGCATGAGCTGCGCTGTTGCAAGGGCGCCCGGCAGGAGGAAATGGAGGATGAGGACGCGGAAAAGGCCTTGAACAAGGAGGTGGAGGAGCGGAAGGGACCCGCACAGGCTGACTTCCTGTGCCGTGGAGCCCGTCAAATACGACCCGTAGATAAGGAGGTGGAGCAACTGAAAATGGAGCAGGAGCGTCGACAGAAACTGGCCTACGACTTTGCCAATCGCCGATATCCCTGGACCATGCAGACGCCCAGCCACGAATTGGGATTCACGATTACCGAGGAGCTGCAGCAGTGCTTCAAAGCACCCATGGAGCTGATCATTCTGCAAAGGATCCATGACCACGACTGCAAGCTAATGATCATCGATCTGGGTGCCGAGGTGGACATCAAGGACTGCCAGCGCTGGATCAAGTTCCGACCTTATATCCAATTGCTAGCCCTGGTGCGAACGCCTCAAATGGAACGATCGCTGCAGCTGCTAAATGTCTTTCACACCCTTCTGGTGGAGGAGTCGGCGGAGAACTCATGGAATGATGAGTTGTCCTGCTCCCTACGCACCGGCTTTATGTACGCCCAGAAAATACAGCTTCTCAAGTCCTGCGGCGAGCCATTGGTATTCGTCTTTAGCCGACTTCGCGGTATCTGCACCTGCGATAACTTCAAAATACTCCGTAGAGCCTAGAAAGAGATCCTCCAATTATTGCACACCTCACTAAACAAAATTAACTTGAAAGCTACAAAAAAAAATTGGTTGTGAGTTGAGGAGAATATTGTGTTTAATTAAAATTATAAAAGTGAAAAAAAATCAAATGTTGATGCAAGAGACAAATGCTAAGAATAACTTGCAATAAAAACATCAAAATTGTCAGAATGGTTTTAAATAAATGGGTTTTATAATAATGTTATGCATTTGTAATTATTTGATACTATCAGTTTATCTATTTAATAATATTTCGATTGTGTAGAATACAATTGTTTCAATCTCGTTTCCCAGTTCAAAGGGTTTAAAGCCTGGATTTGAAATGAATGAAGAACAAGCCGAATTTTAGGATCCAACACTCTGCTGGTAATTTTGGCCTAGTTTGGCCGTCATTTACGATTCCCCGTTCATGAAGCCTAATTTAATTGGACTTGATTTGGATGGCTTGGCCAGGCCCATCATGTTGAAGTGGCGCCCGAGCAGGAACCGCTCCAATTAGGGCGCTCAATTGGCGCTGCCTTCGAGTGCAGTCAGACGCACTGCTACCTTCCATTTGCCACCCGATTATTGACGCAGCCGGAAGCCTGCACCACCGTCTTCCGACGTGGTGTCAAAGTGCCTCCGCTCGGCTGGCAAACTTGAGCCCCAGGCACAATTCACAAGAAATTTGTTTGGGGGAAAAAAGAAATCGGAAAAGCAGCGAAAATTTCGCGCCAAATCTCAACAAATTATTACAAAGCTTAACAAACTTGGAACTGATTATAAAAGTTGCCGCCAGGCGGTTGGGGCAATTGGGGAAGCCGGCGGCCACAATGCAACAACAATTGAGTTGCGGGTGTCGCGAAGTTAGGTGCCTCTCTCCCTGCCCTCGTTTCATTTTTTTGTTTTGTTTAGAAAAGTTTTTGGCAAATGTGTTGTCGCTACTTACGGGGCTCCAAAAACACAATTTTCAATAGACATTCACATAAATCGCCTTGAATTATATTATTAAAAGTTGCTCATGCCTCGACAGATAAAGACCCCTAAAAAAGCTTTCATGGAAAGCTAAATATGAATCTTACTGAAATCCTGAACTCTATGAAATAAAATCTTTAATAAAGACCAGAACTTCAACAATTATATTAGTAATTTTCGCATCGTTTTCGCAGTTTTCAATGAATGAAGATATCTGTTTAATCAACAAGTGTGACATTCATTCGAAAATGTTTCCTCGTTGATAATTAATTTAAGATAGTTTAACTCAAAAACTATGCTGGAAACTTTGTTGTCTTAATGAAGTACTAAAGTAAATATTATTTATCTTTCAACTTTGTGCATTTGAGCAAGATCATAAAAAGAGAGATAGTAAGAGAGAAGAGAACGTTGCCTAGCTACATAAAAATGTTTTTAGCAATTCAATCCCAATGTTTATTTATCAGGGGGTTTTCCTCCAGAGAGCAGCTTACCTGAATGGTTTTAAGTAGAATCGAGCTCTGTAATGAGCACTTGGACGGTTACAAGTTGGGGCTTGGGGAGAAACACCCACCAAGTCAGTCTCAGTCAGTGGGGTGTTCCACAATCTGCGGAGAGATCAGCTGTTGCACCGAGCGGATCTGCATTGAAATCCGAGTGAGAATTGTGGCCCCCAGTTCCAGTTCTCGTTCAGCTCCAATCGGCATCGGTTGTTCCCATCGCAATGACAATCTCGCGGCTGACCTTCCTCGGCCTTTGTCTCAATCTGGTTCTCTGCTCGGCGTTGCAAGTTCCGCAGCACAATTGCGAAAGTTATTTTTCGTACTACAGAGAGGACAGTGGGGCCTACATTGGCGTTTTCACGGCTCCCCGCCCTGGAATCAATAGTTTATCATGGGAGGTGGTCTTCACGGCTCACGGAACTAACCAAGTAAGTGCCTTCCTATTTTGCATCTTTAAACCTTTTATTCTACATTCCCCTAATTTGCAGGCGCACACTGTCAGCTCTCTTATGCCGTATCCCACTAAAACTCGGGCCTTCGAAAATATTCACAATGGAGAACGTGGGCAAGTGTTTGTGCGCTTCCAGGATTTCGGGAATGAGCTACCCAAACTTACCCACGCGGAATTTAATGGACAGGTTTTGTGCCAAAACAATGAATGTGAGTAAGGCTTAAATATGTTTGATTGTCATAAATAAACTTTCCTCAGAAAAACGTTAAACAACTTAGTAAATCACATTTAAAGAAAAGCATTATAATTGTTATTTACAATTTTATCATTTAAAATCAGTAAGGTTCTGTAGGTTCTAGCATTTAGAAATGTGAGCTAAGCAGTAACATAATTTCACTCTTTAAAATGCAAAGAGGACTACCCTAACATTATTCTAACTTTTTCAGACGATGCCCCTTCCAGCACAATGACCAGAAGGCAGTCGATGTCCACCTCAACGCCCATTAGTCAACACTCCGCTCCAAGAGAAATGGCAGTGCCTCAGTCTCGTCCAAGACCGACCACAACGACCCAAAACGAGCTTAATCCGTTCTTCAATCGCCCGAGGCCACGGGTAGAGACTGACTTTGACCAATGCGGAGTGGAGGGCTTTGCGCCCCTGCAGATCGGAGGTGAACAGGTGACCAGGGGTCAGTATCCCTGGCTGGCGGCCCTCTACGAGGGTGAGTCTTCCGTCAAATACATGTGCGTTGTCTCGGTGATCTCTAAACGGACTGTCATCACGGCGGCTCACTGCATTCACGGCAAAAGTGCCAACCAACTGTGGGTCTATCTGGGCCGGCACGATCGCAACGAGAATCCGGAGAGCGGAGCTTCGTTGGTCAGTGTGGGCAGAGTGATCACGCCACCCGCGTACGAGGGCAGTCCAGTTCCGGACACGGACGTGGGTCTTCTGGTGCTGAACCACCCGATGGTGTACACCAAATACATTCAGCCCCTCTGCCTATGGAGCAAAGATTTCAGACTGTCCGCCAACGAGGGCGAGAGTGGCGCCGTGGCCGGATGGGGATATGATCGCACTGGCGAGAAGACCCGTTTTCCCAAGACAGTGAGTGTGCGATTGGTGCCGCAGGCTCAGTGCCTCAAAGAGATGAAGCGCGCGGAGGATTTCCTAACGCCACGGACCGTTTGTGCTGGAAATCCGGAGGCACATGGTCCCTGCTTCGGAGACTCGGGGTCTGCACTGATTGTGCTGCGAAATAACCGGTTTTACATTCGAGCCATCGTTTCCATATCGCCCCGCCAGGGAAATATCTGCGACCTTAGCAAGTACGTCATTTACTGTGATGTCTCCAAGCATATCGATTGGGTGCGGGAAAATATGGTGATGTAAGCAGATCATTTGGGTGTTCAAATACTTTAAATACTGGCAAGTTATATAATATTAAGTATAACATTTGCTGTATTAAATCTTTAATAAACCATTTATTTTGGCTCCAAGGATAGGCTTTTGCCAAGTTAGCGCGAATATTTTAATTTTACACTAAATAGACTTTCATTAACCCAAATATAAGAAAATCGTTCTATACCTGATGTTACTTCAGATTTGCCAACAACATGGAACATTTAATATTATGAAATTAATACTTAGTTAAAAGCTTCTGACTAAATAATCAGATGTATACATTCACTGATTAAATGTGTTTTTAACAGTAATAATCGTTTGACTTATTATACTCAGAGCTTTGGGAATTTTATTTGATTCGATGATCAGCTGCGAGGAAATTGAAGAGAATTAAGTATATATTGAGCTAGCAATATTCAAAAGCAAAAGAGATTACATCTATCTTGTCTTATTTTCACTTAAGAGTAAATAACAAAATCAGTTGTATCTCGTATTCTTATCAATAAAACGATGAGCCGGTGATTATCCCCAACAAAATGTCTAAAGTGGAAATTAATTCTGTGATTCCCAATTGGCAGGGAAAACTATAATCTCTTACAGTTGGAGAACACTTTGTATGTGAGGAAATAAAAACAACAATAATAAAGTAATCTGAAAAAAATTAGTGACGCCATTTGTTTGCTTATTCAGCATCTTCGATGTTTATAATGTGAATTTCACTTAAAGCGCAGATGAGCAGATCACTTATTAGCTTCTTAGTCTGACTAGCTGATGCCCTGCCTTCATTTAATACAGGTAGTTAAACATACCTGTATAATGTGCTAATAGAAAGATTTTCTTAAGGTAGAAAGTCAGATAACTTACACATTGAAATAGTAAAGCGAAGGCTAACTACATGGGAACTTGTTTCTACTTGTGTGTTACAATAGTGTACAATAAAAATGAAATTAAGAAATCGCTGTTACGCTTATATTAAACAAGGTGCTCTTTTCTTGAGTTCTTATTTTTATGTTTAATAATGCTTTATTAAGTAACCAGTGTCAAGTATTAAAACGTCGCCTGAATCGTTCTTTACTGGTTGGCTGGCAGCCGTGCCTTATAGGCTCTGCACGATGCGGAATTTCCAGTTTGCTCAACTCCGAAGCGCAGTGACTCAACAACCCGTCGTCGAGATTCAATGTATGTAGATGGGAGCGGGAACCGTGAGCGATACCTGATACTCAATCGGTTTTATTTGCCCACCGTCGCTTGTCGCGTGCGGAACCGAGCTTCGATTGTCCGAGATTCCGGAAAGGTATGGGTCTGGCATTGGCCGTGGTTGTATCGATAATCGCCCTTTCCGGCGGCCAACTTCTGCCGGAGAACTCGTGTCCCGACTACTTCGCATATGTCAACGATCCCTTCGAGGGTCTCCAGGGCGAGGTGACACTGCCCGCCTTCTCGCGCGGTCGCAATCGCATCGATTTGCGGTTCTCGCAGCGGGGTGATCAAGATGTATGAGCTGGCCAGCGATCTACGCGCTGGAATGACAACCGACCTGACCTCTTTGTCCCCTTCGCATTCCGCAGGCCTCCGCCGTGGGCGCCGTTACTCCGTATCCGGATGAGAGCGCGGTTCGCTCCAGCAGGGGGTCCTCCAAGTTCCGGATCTCCCTCAGACCGAATCCCACGGGTGGTTGGCCCAAGCTAACGCGTCTCACCTACAACAATCAACTTCTGTGCTCGGCCAGCGAATGTGAGTAAAGTGTTTCTCTAACTAAATATAGATTGGTTCTCCAAATAAGTCTTTTCTAATTGATTTGTTGTTGCTGAACATTTTTGAGCCCTATTTCAGACACACCACCCAACAGTTTCTTTAATCGCTTCTATGAGCTTCAGATCAGTGGATCGCTGGCGCCTTTGCCTTCCACTGGATTCAATACCTTCCCGAGAGATGGCTTCGATGTGGATGTTCAGACCGTGTTCTTTCCGCCTTCTCGCGGGATTGATGTTTGGCCTGGCTTTATGCAGACCTGGCAAACGACCCCTTCCTTGAAACCCCAGTTGGCCACACCAGCGCCCACGCCGCCTGTTTTCTGGCCAACTCCTGGGCCACCTTTGACTACAGAATCAGCACTATTACCATCACCGATTGAAACCAATTCTCCATCAATGTCGGTTCAATCTGTACGGTTTAATCCGCGATCTCCTGCTGCTTCCATAGTTTGCGGGAGAGAGGGCAGCCTATCTCCGTATATTGTGCGGGGCAAGGAGTTCCCGCGTGGAATGTATCCCTGGCTGTCGGCCATCTACCACAAGGAGTCGCGATCGTTGGCCTTCAAGTGCGGCGGATCCCTGATCTCCGCGAGCATCGTGATCAGTGCCGCCCACTGTGTGTACCGAATGGCGGAGAGCCGCGTGGTCATCGGACTGGGACGCTATGACCTGGACGACTATGGAGAGGATGGCGCCGAGATGCACAATGTGATGCGACTGCTCTGGCATCCGGAGTTCAACACCCGCTTGCTGTCCGATGCGGATATCGCCCTGATCACCATAGAGCGCCCTGCCAAGTATGTATCTTAATGCCCAAGAATACTTTATTTTCTTTTCGATATTTTACTTTTAGCTTTAAGAGTAATGAAATAGAAGGCTGAACATTATTTTTCCTTGGCGAGAATATTAATTAAACTTAAACAAAGAATTCGGTAACAGCACAAAAATCAATTACACTTAAACAAAGAATTCGGTACCAGATTCTTGATTCTAAATTCATAAGGCTAAGTTAACAAATTTAATTTTAAAAATCTTGTATAATTTAAAAAGCTCAGTTCAGTCAAGGAAGAACAAAATTCAATGATAATTTATTACTCATTAATTGCAAAATACTACTTAAATCTAACACTTATCCAGTGTTGAAATTATATTGATTCGCATGTTTTTTTTTTTGCAGATTCAACGACATTATTGGCCCTATTTGCCTTTGGACAGTGGAAGCGAGCAGTACGTTGTCCACATCCGGATTCATTGCCGGTTGGGGCAGAGATGAGCAGGGAACCTCAAGGACCCAGTATCCCCGTATAGTGGAGGCGGAGATCGCCAGTGCCACGAACTGTGCCAGCAATTGGAAGGCATCGATGGTTTCGGATAGAAGTCTGTGCGCCGGAAACCGCGATGGATCTGGACCCTGTTTGGGGGACTCCGGCGGAGGACTGATGGTCAAGCAGGGCGACCGCTGGCTTCTCCGGGGCATTGTGTCCTCCGGAGAACGAGGAACTAATGGCACCTGCCAGCTGAACCAATATGTACTGTACTGCGATCTGTCCAAGCACATCGACTGGATAAACGATAATATCCGCTAAGCCCCGGATTCGCTTTGTTTATAATTAGATTAAAAAACCCCCGAGGCCAAAACATGTATGTGTTTCATTTTGTGGTGATTTTTGGCAAAACGAGTTTGCGGCTCACATATCTCGATTATTTTGCTAGGATGGATGGTTGATTAGTTTGTCAAAAAAAAAAAAACCACAAACCCCTCAGCTTGTATGACAAGTAATTGCTATTCGCTTGAGGGAAAATAAAAATTACTTGATCAATTACTTATGAGGGGATGGGTTGAACAGTTGTGGTATGTCTGATTAAAATAATCTTGAACGATGGTCATTGAAATCCAAACTTATATATAATATTTTAATATTTATGATTGATATTTCGCAAGTATTAATATGCAATTTAACTATCTACAAAAACTATTTTTTTGGACTAACTATCTTTAAAAATATATGTATAATACTTAATTGCGCCTTGATATCATTGGCAATTAAAAGCACTTTAACCTTTAAGTTTCAAATTTAAAAACAAGAAAGAAAGCAAACTTCGGCAAGCCGAAGTTCATATACCCTTGCAGCTATCGCAAGAATAAAATATTCTTGAAAACATTAAAATTATGATTTACTTGCGTATATGTTTAAAAACATTGAAGCTATGACGATTTGCAGCTTAATTATTTGATTGTTCTTTAATATATTTTTATTATTTGTATGGGAGCTATATGATATAGTCGTCCGATTTTGATGAAATTTAAACCATAATTCTGAAATATTTAACCATTGCTTTATGTCGAAGAACAACCCAAAAATTTAAAAAACAATAAATTTATAATTTTTTTTCAATTATTTTTCCGATTGTTCCTATGGGAGCTATATGCTATAGTCGTCCGATTTTGATGAAATTTTGATCATAATTCTGAAATATTTAACCATTGCTATATGTCGAAGAACTAAACAAAAAATTAAAAAACAGCAAAGTTATAATTTTTTTCAATTATTTTTCCGATTGTTCCTATGGGAGCTATATGCTATAGTCGTCCGATTTTAATGAAATTTTAACCATAATTCTGAAATATTTAACCATTGCTTTATGTCGAAGAACAAAACAAAAATTTAAAAAACAATAAATTTATAATTTTTTTTCAATTATTTTTCCGATTGTTCCTATGGGAGCTATATGCTATAGTCGTCCGATTTTGATGAAATTTAAACGATAATTCTGAAATATTTAACCATTGCTATATGTCGAAGAACTAAACAAAAAATTAAAAAACAGCAAAGTTATAATTTTTTTTAAATTATTTTTCTGATTGTTCCTATGGGAGCTATATGCTATAGTCGTCCGATCCGGCTCGTTCCGACTTATATACTACCTGCAATAGAAAGACAACTTTTGGGAAAGTTTCATGCAGATAGCTTTAAAACTGAGAGACTAGTTTGCATATAAACGGACGGACAGACGGACAGACGGACGGACAGACGGACGGACAGACGGACATGGCTAGATCGACTCTACTAGTGATGCTGATCAAGAATATATATACTTTATAGGGTCGGAAACGTCTCCTTCACTGCGTTGCAAACTTCTGACTGAAATTATAATACCCTCTGCAAGGGTATAATAAGGTCTTTTTTTGTATTAAAATTGTTTGTAAAATACGTATTTTTACGTTTTTTTTTTGCGGTGCAAAAATATTAGTTAGATATGTGGCGTAATATATAAACACGTTTAAGCACGTGTTGACTGCTCACTGATTGGCATCAGCTGAACAAATGTTTGCCAAAGCGAGCGGCATGTTTAAATGGCCAATGCGTTATCTTTATAAGGCCAGAGCGATTCGAAGCCATTGACGAGGCTGGCGGAAAGTGGCAGCGGACCATCTGGCTGCTCTTCCTGCTGGTCCTGTTCGGCAGGGATGGCGAAGTACTGGGAAAAGATCCTGCCAATGCCATTAGGTAGTAGTCAGGAACCGAAGGAACCCTACCCAATGAACCAGAGCAATCAACAACCTACAGAATGCAAATGAAGAAACCATTTCCCAGTACATGCTCAACCTTGAAAGTGCACTGAAGGAAATACTATCCGATCTACCCGATACCCGGAAGAAAAAAAAGGCGTTAAGCCCTGCAGAAAGCACTGGCAGGATTAGCTGGTTTAAAGCAGCAGAGGGAACTAATTTGGCAACTTAAGCATCAGGAGGAATGGATGTTTTCGGCTGCAGCTAAGGCTGAAAAATGCCGGAAAGCTGTGAGGGACGCACTTAATGGCCTCCAGGATGCACCACAGAATCTCCATGACCTGTGGACCGAATCCGATAAGATAAAGGATACCCAAAAGCAAAGTAATCTTTGCCTGGAAAAAACTTTAGATGAATACGCCGAAGAGCGGATTGAGTTGGAAAAGCAGCTGAAGAATATAATCGATGAATATCGAGAGAGTGTAACCACCGTCCAATATAAGGTGAAATTTATATATTTATCCATATATAGCATAAGCAAACATAAAGTACAGACAGCACATAAGCAGGACATCTACGGCACCAACAAGTCTAAGGGCAGCATATTAATAATAAAGTTATAATTTCATTGCGTTTGATGTTTATTAACGTTTTAATCTAGCCGTATTGCGGAAAAATCATATTCATACTTAAACACGTTAGTTCAAACACATTGTTAATCGCAGTCGCAGATTGATCAAAATGCAAATGATCAATCAAGGCAAATTATAAATGGAATTCCAGCTTCAAGAGAGACATTTTTTACATAATTGTTCTAACAGTTGAAAATGCAAGCTTCGCCCAAGAATATAACTCAAAACAAAGCTTAGATATTAAAAAAAACCTACAATGTGGGGAGAGCCATTGACGTTATGAATAAACTTTAGCTTAGGGAGAGTCTTTAGATCGGGTAAAACACGTGCTCTTTGAGTGAAATGCTTTGGCATTTGAGTGAGTGAATATTTTTCATTAAAATGGATTGGGAAAGCTCTCCCCTAAGCAGTTGCAATGAGTCCGCTTCAGCTATTGATCGCTCTCCTCCTGGTGGCTCTGATTAAGTCGGGTCTTGGCCAGCTGCCCCAGAACGACTGCTTTCCGCGTTTCAAGTACAACTCCTTCCAAGGGCAGTTCATCGGTCTGGTGGAAGTGCGTCATCCCCCGGTCAACAACCATACACTAATCCTTCAGTTCTCCCAATTGGGCTATCACGATTTCTCGGTGAGATATAGCATTTTTTAGCGGGGAAATTCTTCACTCTTCCGATTCAACTGCATCTGAAGCTCTTATCATATTGCTTGCTTGCGGTTGTGCTTTTTCCCAAGCGGCAATGGTAATTGTTTTTGCAAAAGCAGAAACACAATCTTTGTAAACACGTCTCAGGGAGAACGAGCTGCTAGCTTATAATAAAAAAATATAATAATTTCTATTCCTTTTTATTTTTAGAACAATGTAGGCAGTATTTCTTTGGTGGACGATGATGAGACGACTCAGAAGAATTTGCGCCAGGGATTTCCGGTTCGATATCGAGTGGATTTTCCGATTCCCACAATTCCGCCCAAGATCACAAGCATGCGATTAAATGACATAGAGCTTTGCGGTGGATCAGAATGTAAGTGGTGGCTATAGACTCATGCCTGTAAATCCGTACTTAACTAAATTGATTTCTAGACCGCAAACCAAGAACTGGCATTACGCTGCGGATCACTTGGACCACCCCATACGTTTCTATATTTGAGGTCAATCCTCAACCATTGCCATCACGACCTGATCCAGTTTGGCGACAGGAAGAAGATCCACAAACCGAACAAAGTGATTGGACCTATAATAGTCCGCCAAGGATCACAAATAATGAAGAGAGATTTGGAGGAAGTAATGGATCGTTGCAACTATTCCCCAGTCCTGGAAGGGGTCCTGTGCCGCAGCAGACTTTATCTAATCCAGTTCGAGGAACTGCCCCCCGGAAGCCGGTGCCAATTCCTGGTACAATTAATACCCCCCAGCAGCCGGTCACAAATCCTGGTCGCAGTTCTGCCCCCCAGGCAAGCTCTTCCAATGGGATTCCGTGCGGAATTGAGAGGACGAGCACCACTCCCCTGATCTTCCAGGGCAGAAACCTGCAGCGCGGTCAGCTGCCATGGCTAGTGGCCATCTTCGAGAGAAGGGAAAACAACGGTCCCGCCTTCATTTGTGGCGGCTCCCTGATCTCAACTTCCACGGTACTGTCAGCGGCCCACTGCTTTCGGTTTCCTGGCCGGGATTTGACCGCGGATCGCACGGCCGTCTCCCTGGGACGAAACAGTCTGGCCATTCACTCCGAAGGTGAAATTCGGGGGGTGTCCCAGTTAATCATTCACGAAAACTATCAGATTAAGCAATTTACGGAGGCGGATTTGGTACTGCTCAGATTGGATGAACCAGTGAGGTGAGTCTGTGAAAAGTTGTAATTTAAAAAAAAGGTGTTGAAAATGGAATATAAGCTTTCCAAATTGATAGATGAAATAATATGTTTATAAATTAGAAAAAACTTTTTAATAGGACAGGATTTTGTTTTTACTTTTCTAAATAGCTGTAAGATATTTATAAAAACATATTAAAGGTAATTTCTAAAATATCTATACATTCCAGGTACAACGACTACATAGTACCCATTTGCCTGTGGAGCAGCAGTAATCGGATGGACCTGCCGCAAGGGCACACGACATATGTGGCTGGCTGGGGACCGGACGAGACCGGCACCGGCAACTCGGATGTGTCGAAGATCACCGACCTGAAAATCGTAAGCGAATCGAACTGCAACCTGGAGCTGCCCCACACGTTGGTCCAGCCGAGCACGCTGTGTGCCAAGAAGACAGGCAGCGGACCCTGTGCCAGCGACGGAGGCGGACCCTTGATGCTGCGGGAACGGGACGTATGGGTGCTGCGGGGAGTGATCTCCGGGGGGTTGATTAACGAGAAGGAGCACACCTGCGAACTAGCCAAGCCATCCGTGTTCACCGATGTGGCCAAGCACATCGACTGGGTGCGCCGGAACATGTGGGACTAAGAGGAAAAGTGGAGTTTGTCTGCTCTTTGGGATTCACATAGATATATGCATTTCAGACACGTAACTGGCAGATCCAAGTGCTGAGTTACTGTCTCTTAACTGGCCTCTACTCATCGGGTAATTCTCACTAGATTCATTAATCATTGAATGAAATAAATTGAAGAAGCTTATCTTGTGTACACTACAACAGATTATTAATTGTGTTCGATTTAAAAACATAAATGTTACAACTTTGTTATAACTTTGTTCATTTAGAACTGGCAAGAAATCGAAAAAAACTCTTTAACATGCTAAGCCTGTAAATTAATTCTGCAGTTTAATGTCCACTGGTATTTCAAAACGATAGTTTGAATTTGAAATCATTAATTTATTTGGCATATATGGTAATTTTTAACTTTATATACTAACGGTATATAATACTGAGATAAACAAGAAAGAAAGCAAACTTCGGCAAGCCGAAGTTCATATACCCTTGCAGCTATTGCATGAATTAAATACTTTTGAAAACATTTAAATTATGATTTACTTGAGTATATACTGAAAAACAGTGAAGCTATGATGATTTGCAGCTCAATTATTAGATAGTTATTTTATATATTTTTATTAGTTCTATGGGAGCTATATGATATAGACGTCCGATTTTGATAAAATTAAAACCATAATTCTGAAATAATTAAACATTGCCATATGTCGAAGAACTAAACAAAAAATTAAAAAACAGAAAAGTTATAATTTTTTTTCATTTAGTTCTCCGATTGTTCCTATGGGACCTATATGATATAGTCGTCCGACTTTGATGAAATTTAAACCGTAAATCGAAAATATTTAACCATTACTAAATGTCGAAGAACTAAACAAAAAATTAAAAAACAGCAAAGTTATAATTTTTTTTCATTTATTTTTCCGATTGTTCCAATGGGAGCTATATGCTATAGTCGTCCGATTTTGATGAAATTTAAAACGTAAATCGGAAATATTTAACCATTTCTATACGTCGAAGAACTAAACAAAAAATTAAAAAACAGCAAAGTTATAATTTTTTTTCATTTATTTTTCCGATTGTTCCTATGGGAGCTATATGCTATAGTCGTCCGATTTTGATGAAATTTAAACCGTAAATCGGAAATATTTAACCATTACTAAATGTCGAAGAACTAAACAAAAAATTAAAAAACAGCAAAGTTATAATTTTTTTTCATTTATTTTTCCGATTGTTCCTATGGGAGCTATATGCTATAGTCGTCCAATAGAAAGACAACTTTTGGGAAAGTTTCATGCAGATAGCTTTAAAACTGAGAGACTAGTTTGCATATAAACGGACGGACAGACGGACAGACGGACAGACGGACATGGCTAGATCGACTCGCCTAGTGATGCTGATCAAGAATATATATACTTTATAGGGTCGGAGATGTCTCCTTCACTGCGTTGCAAACTTCTGACTGAAATTATAATACCCTCTGCAAGGGTATAAAAATCAACAATATGGAAAAAACGTACCTTTCCACTTGTTTTTATACCCTTGCAGAGGGTATTATAATTTCAGTCAGAAGTTTGCAACGCAGTAAAGAAGACATCTCCGACCCTATAAAGTGTATATATTCTTGATCAGCATCACTAGGCGAGTCGATCTAGCCATGTCCGTCTGTCCGTCCGTCTGTCCGTCTGTCCGTCCGTTTATATGCAAACTAGTCTCTCAGTTTTAAAGCTATCTGCATGAAACTTTCCCAAAAGTTGTCTTTCTATTGCAGGTAGTATATAAGTCGGAACGAGCCGGATCGGACGACTATAGCATATAGCTCCCATAGGAACAATCGGAAAAATAAATTAAAAAAATTATAACTTTGCTGTTTTTTAATTTTTTGTTTAGTTCTTCGACATTTAGTAATGGTTAAATATTTTCGATTTACGGTTTAAATTTCATCAAAGTCGGACGACTATATCATATAGCTCCTATAGAAACAATCGGAGAAATAAATGAAAAAAAAATTATAACTTTTCTGTTTTTTAATTTTTTGTTTAGTTCTTCGACATATGGCAATGTTTAATTATTTCAGAATTATGGTTTAAATTTTATCAAAATCGGACGTCTATATCATATAGCTCCCATAGAACTAATAAAAATATATAAAATAAATATCTAATAATTGAGCTGCAAATCATCATAGCTTCACTGTTTTTCAGTATATACTGAAGTAAATCATAATTTAAATGTTTTCAAAAGTATTTAATTCATGCAATAGCTGCAAGGGTATATGAACTTCGGCTTGCCGAAGTTTGCTTTCTTTCTTGTTTTTTTTTGGTTTTTTTTTCAGTGGATGTAAATAAACCATTAAAAGTTTAAACGACGGAGGAATCTCCCAACACACTCGTGCCGGAAATCGAGTAACTAACTCTGATCAGGTTGAGAGAGACCAAAAGCTTTGTCTCGAATCTGAATCTGACTATTCAGCTAGATCGGAAACTAATGCGAATTAGCTGAGCCAATACCAATCATTCATCGCGCGACTTTCATTGAGTGCGGTTTCAATCTGTAATTCTAGAGCGCAAAACTCTGGCATTGCAGTTGCATTTGTTTTTTGTTTACATTTATCGTTCCGGAAGGGCTCTACGTTCGTCATGTGCCAAGTCAAACTGTTCGGTTTCCTGATTACGATATTGCAAATCTGCTTAATAAGCAGTCAAAATCTGCCGTTTATTGCCTGTCCGGATCTATTTCGGTACCTGGAATACAATAATGAGTATATAGGACATCTCCAACTAGTTTTGGATAACCAGAACACGGATAACGTAGTGCGTGTTGAACTTTCGCAGCGTGGCAGAAGGACGGTAAGATTTGATTCGCTTAAAATTAGGTGTTATGTCAGTGCTATTGGGCATTGACCTCACTTCCAGATTGGATGCCTGATTTCCCTTTATCAAGCTTGACGAGCTCGCTGGTCAAGTTGATTTTCATGGGAATTGCATGGCTGATAAGACAAATCACGCTCGGGAAAAACCCCTTCGCCGAAAGCTCCCCAGTTCGATTCTCTGCCGCTTTTCTCAAAGTTGTGGAACGGGTTTGCCGTACGCTCGAAGATATGTCGCCCGGGCTCAGCCGGCAATGTTATTATTGTTCTGCTTGAGGTTCGGTTTTGCCAGTTGAGTTTTGTTTGCAAATTTGCTCCCTGTGACAACGATTGGATTTTATAGTTGCCCTCTGGTGTTTTCTTTCAGTCTGAACCGGGATCCCTCAACTTCTTGGAGAACGAGGAGTCGCTCAAATTTCGCTTGTCCAACAATGAGCCTGTCAACTACCGAATCGACTTTCCCACGCCGGGTGTGGTGCCCAAACTTACCATGGTTTCGATCAATGGAGAAGTTGTGTGCCAAGCCAAGCCGTGTAAGTATATCTTTGGATTGACTTACACGAAATTCACTTGAAACATTTAAAGAAGGAAAAGTGCTTCTGAATCCATAAAAAATGTATTGTGTTGTAAATTCTAATTTTTGAATTACAAGCCAACCAAAAACACTATTGTACCAATTTAGAAAAGAGATAAGGTGGTTTATTGACCAAAAATGTATAGTTTTTTCCAAAGTCTTAAATCGTCTTTGAGGATATATCGTATATTCCTTAAGGACGATTTGAAAAAATGTTCGTTTAAAATTTCACAAGCCTAGATGTCTAGTTAACTACATCTTGTTAAAAACAAAACAAGTTCTGTTTTTAATTTACAAGCATAGATGCCTAGTTAATTATATGTAGCATTTTCTGCATATCTTTATTATATTTAATAAATTGATAACCTATTTTTTTTCTTAAAAGTTGGAGCACCTAGCACAAGGCTATCTTTATCCCGTACTCTGCGAACAACTGTTCCTTTGGCGGCTTTGCCGACACCTGAGCGGTCCCAGCCCCCCCTGCGGTCCCAGGAACAGGATCCCTCTCAGAGAAGCCGACAACAACAGCCTCCTCCAAGGCCGAGGCCCCAAGGACCCAGGTTCGAGAGCACAACCAGAACACCACCACCACCACCACCACCTTTGGTCCCGCCCGTGCAAGCCACCAAGTCCGTTCCCCGGACAATCGGACAGCTGAGTGGAGTTTGTGGGCGGGAGAAGACCATCCAGACGCCCTTCATCCACAACGGAATCGAGGTGGAACGTGGTCAGCTGCCCTGGATGGCGGCCCTCTTCGAGCTCGTAGGCAGGGACTACAACTTTTTATGCGGAGGAACCCTAATCTCGGCCAGAACGGTGATCTCGGCGGCCCACTGTTTCCGCTTCGGCAGCCGGAGTTTGCCAGCTGAAAGGACTACGGTCTCACTGGGTCGAATTTCTCTCGACTTGATATCACCCGGAAAAACTAGTGGCGTATCACTTCTTTTGCTGCACCAGGACTACAATCCCAATGTTTACACCGATGCGGATTTAGCTCTGCTCCAATTGACTGAGACTATTCAGTGAGAACTAGTGAAAATGATAAAAAATGCATAATTTCATTTAAAGAACACTTTCAGATTTAATGACTACATAAAGCCCATTTGCTTGTGGAACGAGAACTTTCTGCTGGACCTGCCCTCGGGCTACAAGTCCTACGTGGCTGGTTGGGGAGAGGACGAGAAGGGCAACCGGAACACGCGGCTGGCCAAGATGACGGACACGGACATCATCACCCACTCGGAGTGCCGCGGCAACCTCTCCGAGGAGAATGCGCGCTTCATCACCTCGCACACGATCTGCGCCAGCAATGCCCAGGCCTCAGGACCCTGTAGTGGCGACTTCGGCGGAGGGCTGATGCTCCAAGAGGAGGACATATGGATGCTTAGGGGCGTCGTTTCGGCCGGACAGCGAATGACCAACCGATGCAACCTTACGTTGCCCGTCATCTACACCGATGTGGCCAAGCACATCGAATGGCTGCTGCGAAGCATGTGGTTTTGAGACATACTGTGCGACGAAATAGTTGAACTAAGTGCCAAAGTACTGAGAGACCATATGGTTAATAGTGAGATTAACTTAAACTTATTTAATGAATACAAAACGTTTTATACCTTGAAGAAGGTAAAATTTTTGTTTAATTCATGTTGTATATACATTTTTTTTACCAATATTATGGAACAAGTAAGTGAAAAGCCATTATTATTCTACATTGTTTTGATAACTACACAATTTAAATTGTATATTTTTTGGAACTTAAAATTGTCTTACTTTAATGGATAAAAAATCAAAACATCGGAGGAAATCAGATTTAACTATATATTTTAATTTAAGATGCTAATACTGATTTAAAAAGGTCAAACTATTGTTTCCTTACATTTGCAATATTATTTTGATTTTAATTTAGTGCTCATTAAAAGAGCTCTTAAGACGGCTGAATCTCTCAGTACGGTCATGATAGAACAAGTATGTAATCGAGTTACTTATTCTGATCAGGTTGAGAGAGTCAACAGATTTGTCTCGAATCGTACTGTTCATCTAGATCGGAAGCTATTGAGAATTTATTGCGCTAAAACCAATCATTCATCGCGAGACTCTCATTGAGTGCGGTTTCCGGAGCGCTTTTATCTGTGATTCTAGACTGTAAAACTGTGAAATTGCAGTCGCATTTTGTTTTATAAATATTTATTGTTTCGGAAGGCGTGCGTTCGTTATGTGCCAGATGCAACTGTTGGGTGTTCTCATCACCATATTGCAGATCAACCTTATTACCGGTCAAAATCTGCCCTTTATTGCCTGTCCGGATATCTTTCAGTATCAGGAATACGGAAATGAGTATAAGGGACTTTTGAAATTATTTCTAAATAAAGATGTGGAAAACGAGATGCGTGTCGACTTTTCGCAGCCCGGTAGAACGGAACCGGTAAGACTTCCCGAGTTTACCGAGCATAAGCCTCCCTCCCAATGTGGATGCTTGATTTCCCACTACTGATAATGACTCCTTAAAGTTGGGAAACAGGTTTAACGTTGAGAGAGCTACTGTCCAAGCTCAGCTGGCAATTTTATTATTTTTCTGTCTGAGCTTCAGTCTCGCAAGTTGACAAAAGTGTTTATGTTTGCCCCCGTGACGTCGACTGAAATTTACAAATGTTGACTAAATCTGGCTTGAAGCATTTGATTACTAATTTTTCTTCTAGGACTCCCCGGGATATTTTGGCTTATCAGATGATGAGAAGTCGGTAATTTTAAACATGATAAACAATAAGCCCATAAACTTCAAAATTGATTTTCCCACGCCGGGTGTAGTGCCCAAACTTACAATGGTGTCGCTCAATGGAGATACTGTGTGTCAGGCTATGCCGTGTAAGTGAATGTTTTGTTTTATTTTTGGGTTATCCGATAATGTAAAATAGGTTTATACATAACATATAATCAAAAACTGAAAACATATTTATTTAATTTACAATATAATTTTTTTTAACTGTGACCGAAAATACTCGTTATATGGTCCTTTTATTTTTAAAATTCTTTGATTTGGCTGATAGTAGACAAGTGTTTAATGGAGCTTAATTGTTTTCAAATTTTAATGGTATTTGTAGTTTTGTTTGTAATTTTTTTTATAGCAAGAAAGGAAGCAAAAGCATTAACAAATAATTTGACCAACAAAAATATGACTTATTAAGAACAAAATGTAATCTTTTTATAAAATTAATGATTCTAACAATGTTCTCTTTTTCGGCTTTAAGTTGAACCCCCCAGCATTACACTAACTTTGACGCGAAGGCTGGGAGTGTCTATTCCTTGGAATAATCCCCACTGGACAGGACTGTCCCAAGGACAGGAGCCCCCTCAGAGAAGCCGCCCCCAACAGCTTGCCCCAAGCCCGCGGCCACAACAAGTGCCACAGTTACCAAAGCTCGAGACCACGTCCAGAGCTCCACCACCACCACCTTTGATCCCGCCCGTGCAATCCACCAAGTCCGTTCCCCGGACAATCGGACAGCTGAGTGGAGTCTGTGGGCGGGAGAAGACCATCCAGACGCCCTTCATCCACAACGGAATTGAGGTGGAGCGTGGTCAGCTGCCCTGGATGGCGGCCCTTTTCGAGCTCGTGGGAAGGGACTACAACTTTCTATGCGGAGGAACCCTAATCTCGGCCAGAACGGTGATCTCGGCGGCCCACTGCTTCCGCTTCGGCAGCCGGAGCTTGACAGCTGAAAGGACTACGGTCTCACTGGGTCGAATTTCTCTCGACTTGATATCACCCGGAAAAACTAGTGGCGTATCACTTCTTTTGCTGCACCAGGACTACAATCCCAATGTTTACACCGATGCGGATTTGGCTCTGCTTCAATTGACAGAGACTATTCAGTGAGAACTAGTGAAAATGATAAATAATGCATAATTTCATTTAAATAACACTTTCAGATTTAATGACTACATAAAGCCCATTTGCTTGTGGAACGAGAACTTTCTGCTGGACCTGCCCTCGGGCTACAAGTCCTACGTGGCTGGTTGGGGAGAGGACGAGAAGGGCAACCGGAACACGCGGCTGGCCAAGATGACGGACACGGACATCATCACCCACTCGGAGTGCCGCGGCAACCTCTCCGAGGAGAATGCGCGCTTCATCACCTCGCACACGATCTGCGCCAGCAATGCCCAGGCCTCTGGACCCTGTAGTGGCGACTCCGGCGGAGGGCTGATGCTCCAAGAGGAGGACATCTGGATGCTAAGGGGCGTCGTTTCGGCCGGACAGCGAATGACCAACCGATGCAACCTCACGCTGCCCGTTATCTACACGGATGTGGCCAAGCATATCGAATGGCTACTGGGCAGCATGTGGTTTTGAGAGATTATCTGATGGATTGGGTGCCGCGAATGCTAAAATAAATGATAAAGTAGCTAGTTCCGAATGTAACGTAAGCTTATTCATTACACTTACAGCCAGATAGAAACGGGTAGAGTTAACATATTTACTTTTTAATTTGGAGTTGCCCAAGAGTAAGCCCCAAACAGTCTTTAAAATTTCTCTTAAAACATAAAGAAACTAAAGTTGTTTTCCAGAACTTAGAGTACCCCATTTGCAAGGGTCTTTCAATTGAAAGATTGCATCGGCCTGCAGGTCTGCCGGCGGCGATTTGTCAAAGCCAGCAATTGCATTCCATTTGCATGCAGTTGAGGCAGTCACAGTCACTCGGCTTCGTATCATCGTTCTCTGTCTGCTAATGAGAACAAATGGAGGTGGCGGTTAGAATCGCGCCGGAATCGCTTTCAAATCGCTGGGAAAACGCGTCGGTGGCACAACAGGTGCTTTTCGCTCTTCTCAGCTCTCTCGAAAGCTGCGCGGCGCACATATTCCGTCTACTGAACGGCGCATCCTGTTGAATGGACACCTTCGGCTCCGGCGGAATTGGAAAGTTGTTGCATACTCTACGGCATTGGTCGCTCGCCGCGGTCTCCGGCGTTCTCGGCGTACTCGTATTGAAACTGAAACTGAAGCCGTTAGTCGTGCATGTCCAGACAGTCGACGTTCAGACTTCAGTTCGCACGGTTCGGCAAGCGGTGGCAGCCATTAATAACAAACCCCACAAAGAGCCATATCTAAAATCGCAGGGGCTCGGACTTAATCCCGTGTGCCGATCGAGAATTCTTGACGGGCGTGCGTGCGAGTGTGTGCAAAGTGTTGCGGAGTGTGTGCGTGTGTGTGTGCAGATGATATAAACCACCCAACAACCAGCATATATAATTAATAATTCAAGGACTGACTTTAATGCTGCAATTTGGCCTGATTGATGGCTAAACATGACTCTTGGTCGCGTTTTCCGCGATGTTTGCAAAAGGGTACACCCAGCCTGAATCTGGTATCCTGCCGCATTTAGAATCGAAGCTTATTAGCAGAATGCTGCATTGCCGTATTCGGGCAATTTGTTGCCTCACCCCCAACTGAGAGTCGAACGGAGAGAAGAGGAAACAACCATCAGCCACACCCCTCCAACACGGTCCTAATTTCAGTTCAGCTTCATCAAATTTCACCAACTTTCATCCAATGACAAATGCAATGCGGGCGATTGCTGCACTCGCTCTGACGGCCGCCAGTGCAGGAGTGGTCTCGGTGGCTGCCTCGGTGGTCAGCACCACCAGTTCCAGCAGCAGCAGCACCTCCTCCACCACCAGCACCTCCATAACGGGTGGCGGCACCACCATCAGCGGGACCAGTGGCAACAGTAGCAGCGGACTCGCCTCGAATTCCTCGCTGCTGGACGCCGATCACCTGCCGCTGCAGTTGACCACGGCCAAGGTGGACCTGGACATTGAAATCGACATTCAACTGCTGACAAATGGCTACGATGGCACAACGGTGAGTGCAAGGAGGTGGGGCAAGGTGGCACGGGAGTGGGTCGATTGTATTTATGTGGCTGCCAACGAGGCATTCATTGGGCTTTGGCTTTGGCTTTGGCTTTCGCGCCGGCTTCAGCTTTAGCTTTATGTCCGATGTGCAGCTCGTTAAATTCGCTGCTCAGAGGAAAAAATACAAGTACACCTAAATATATATTCCAAATAAATATTTGGCCAGTGAAAGTTAGTCAAAAATTAATGTTAAAAATAATAATAATAACAAACAAAATGTTGATTCCTTATTTTCAAATGCAATAAAAAAAAAGTTTTCAAAATTTGACTGAATTTTATGATTTGGTTTCGTTTCAAATACCACAATTTAAATTTAAGACATAGCTTTATATTCTAATTTTTTTATAGACAATAAAGTACTAAAACGATAGAGAACTAAACTGTTTATAATCAGGTCGTGAAATGATTTTTTGTATATATTAGTTTTGAAACGCTATTTTGGAACTTTGGAAAAGGACTTCTGAGCAGTAATTTATTTGTATATTTATTTATTTTTGTTTGTGTAGCTTCAGGTATCCATTGCTGCCACTGTAATTCAGAATGTCTTTGTCTTCGATCGGGCAATGGCGGGTTTGGCGTGTCTGAACATTTCACTTTTATTACGTACTGGCATATTTCCCGAACATTGTCGTATAGTTCTGGCTGGTTCGCTGGTTTATGGGGCGTATACGCAATCTAGCAGCAGATTACTTAATGAATTGTCAAGACAATGGGGTACACAAAAATTCCCTTATGAGCGGGGTGATTATCACACGATTTTTACACATCCCACACGCCTTCATAATATTTAATACAAAGTTTAAATTATCACAAAAGCTTGGGAGTCAGCAAAAGTTTTCTCCGTTGGCATTCCTTTTAATTTATTTCACTTCTAGCCAACCAGCTGGTAAATGAAAATGAATGTGAGCCTCATTAGCAGCCAACACATAGGGAAACTTTTGCCAGCATACACACCTCCATCGATGCATAATCGGGCTCTCAAAAGGAACACCGTCAAGGATGTATACCGAAACCAAAGTTTATCCCTTTTTTCGCTCGTGTGTTTTTTATTTTTCCTTTTTTTCGGTGCTTTTTGCGGGAGAACGAGCAATTTACGTGCTTGGTGTGGCAGCAGTAAAGGATATGAGCCAACGTATGCTGACGACGGAGATATAGATCTAAATACTTGTTGTGCGGAACGACAAAGTTGTGCTCATCTGTTCGCACGTTTAACTTTCAATCGAATGTAAATAATGAGTACTACGTAAGTTGGGTAAAAACGCGCCGGGGGAACTGCTGACATTTATCGCAGGATCATGTTGTCATCACGTTTATGTGCCGCACATTTTCCACGTAAATAGATTTTCAACTAATTTATAAACAGTTGAGGGCGTATTTAATCTGTTTTAGCAAACGCTAATGGAACTGGGTCATTTTAAGCTAATTGCCAGATTAAACGTTTTAGGTTTTGATGATGAATTTTTAGTGAGTGCACTTCTGTTGTAGAGGCAATTTAGTTTTGACTCAATTGATGTAAGCTAACCGCAGGTTGACACTGACACTTGTCCCCTTCATCTGTTAACAGTAAATTGTCTTTCGGGGCGTCGTCGGTTTTCCCCGTTTCTTTCTTTTGACATTTGCATAATGCATCACGCATACGCCGCGTTGTGCAATCTAATTGAATTATTAGTCTGCACTCGACAAATCTTGGCTGCATGAATAAAAGTTTGTTTATGTTCGTTCTTTTCGTGAACAGTCCTCCGCTCTTCATCGTCCCCCTCAATCCATTGTGTTTTTTCGTTCTTGGATGGAATTTCTAGTCGCGAGGAAAAACTTTGGCTTGCCATTGTTCGCAGACTTTGCATAGCAATAATAATAAAATATTAATAGCCTTATTTGTTATTGCTGCTGCCATGTGGATTGCGCTTTCCATTCAGCAAATCCACCTCCATTGTTGTTCCACCGCATATATACATATATATATTTGATTTGAACCAGAGCCTTTGGAATTCGGCAAATTTCCGCAAGCAATTTGTCCAAATCAGTGGGCTGCAGACGTGGGGGGCGTGGCCTTTGGCTATCGATAGCCTGCCAATTGAAATCGGGCCTACGAGACCAACAATAATTGTTTGCTTTGGCGTCTAAGCAAATTATTTGAGTATAATTGAAGGCAATTTCTCATTGCCCTAAAGCTTATTGCTTTTGTGATATTCCTATCAATAGCATTTAATCAACGTGAAAACTAAATTTTAGCCTTATAAACAGTAAGGTAAAATCAAAAACTAAAGCTAAAATGCTTATCTCCATTCTATATATAGTTCAAATGATATTGATTATTTTCCGAGGGCTTAGTAAATATAGATTAATCATACTTATCACTGATTTTATCACTGAATTCTGAACGTTTATTAATTCTGAAATTTGAATCATATTTCTCACTGATAGCAAAGATACAACAATGAAAATAAGACTGATTTAAGCAATGCATGTTCCTAATTATTTTAAAATATAACTTTTTTTAAAAAATTTAAATCAAATTATAGATAGAAGAAGCTTACTCTTTTAATGATTTCTTTTTTATAGTTTATGCAGAACAAACGTCAAAGTGGTTTTTATAAAATGCTTCTTCTCCATCTATATAATCGTATACTTAGCTTAGTTATTGATGCAATTTTGTTGTTGAAGTATTTAACTTATTATTTTAATATTAATTTAATTAAGTTTTTTATTTGGTTTTGCAATTAAATGTTCCCATTCTAAATTTGATTCCTTCGCTCTGCTATTTTCAATTAGATCCTGACCCCAAAAAACAAGGAGTCTGAGACTCGGATAAATGGCACCAATTTCGCCTAATTAAATGTGTGTGACAGCTGCCTGCCATAATCACGGGGGTAGCCGCAATATAAATGAGCAACACGATACGGGTCACGAATATATGGGGTACATTTATGTATATATAGAAACCGCATGGGACACACACATGCCAGCACCACGGCGAAATGAAGGTGCATCCCGATCCGGCCATAGTGGCCATTCACATTAGTCTTGCCCACAAGAACCACAGTGTGTTTGTGTAGGTGTTGCCATTTAATTGCACTCTCCTCTCTTTTCCAAGGATCCGTTCATTTTTTACTCGGTTGGAGGCAAAAAAGGAAAAGCAAATGAAAATAGCAGGTTTTTCGTGATTTTTATGTTGTCTGCATTTCGTTTACCTGTTTCATTTAAGGGTCAGGTGAATGGAGCTAAAAATTCTCGACGAGCACTCAAAGGGATTCAGTAAACTCAAAAAGGCTCGCTGCTGATTGACCATAAACCCCATTTTTATTTGCTGCTGCTAGTCCATGTGTGTGCTCGGGTTCTTTTTGCTTATTTGTTGTCCTTTTGTAGCCATTTTTTATGGCGCTCTCCTCTTCGAGTTGAGCCACTGGCATCAGTGACTCGGCAATGACACAAAAGTGCAGAACGATTACTCGTGACAAGTCAATTTAATGGGGCCACGACCATATAATATTCCTAGGGTCATGTCAATCACCCGCGCCGGGTGTGCAAGTTTGCCAGCTATTGCCAAAAATACAATCAAGATAATCGACAACATTGTTATTGTTGAGAAATCTGAGTATTTTCTTAGACACTGAGCAAAACTATTTAAAGTAAATAAGTGGGTAGCTGATCTGGGATTCGAATTTGAAATGTATTTTATTTGCGGGCATCTAAGCATAATGAAATTGTAATCTGTCGTCCGGTAATCCTAATATATTTCATAGAATAGATTTTTTCCTCGTGCTAAAGCTTTAAAAAAATCCTCGTACAGAAGAAGGAGAAACTCAATATTTCTCAAACATGAGTCCTTCTGCCAATAGAACCACTGTTCAAGTGCGAGAAACTTGACACGGCTTGGATATATCCAAGAGATACAGTCCTATCTGCCATTCTAGTTTCCACTTTTACTACTTCCTTCAATTGAAACAAGTGCAGTTGCATTGATGTATCTGTATTTACACTCTTGTGACGTATGTAAAAGTGCATTGGTGTCTGTGTGCCGACGACACTTGTGCGAGTTAACGGAATGTTTGTGTTAAGCACACAACTGAGTGCCAATGACTGACAACGTTCACTTGCAAAGTTTTTCACTCCGGTTGAGAGGGAAATCCCAAAAGGAGAGTATATGCCTGGAAAAAAGTATATAATCGATGCAGCTGCAAAAGTGTGGGATGGGTAGATGAGTACCATGAAGATTAAGTTGGATAGAGTGACTGGTGGAGAACGGAGACTGCACTTACAATCAGCTTAAGCGCCTCTGCAAGTTCTTCCCTGCGATGCGCTCCAACCCGTCAAAGTCATCTCCTGTCGCAGCTAATTATCCTGACGTCGACAATATGCCCGAGGCAAATCAACAAGGCAATTTGCTGAATAGCTGCCAAAACAAGCAATCGCCGGCTCCCCGAAAATTGGCAGGCAATAGAGCAGCAATAAGGCAAACAGGGCAGAGCATTTGATTTACCTGCCAAGATACACACAATGGCCAATCGCAGCCAAGCAATCTGGTTTTCGTAATTGTCATTGCTGCTGGGTGTACTAGCATACAGACGTTAGTTCTTATCAAATTTAATATTGATCCGATAGCTAACAAATGAGCACTTAAATAACGTTTATGAATTTTAACAAATAAATGAGAAACAAAGTTATGACAACTCATATATCAATCAATGATCGACTTAGATTGACAATAAAACAAGAAACATTTATGTCAATCAGAAAATATCCACAAAACATTTACCTAAATAAAAGTTTCAACATTTGTTCAAATTCTGACTTTATTAATATATACATTTTAAATAATAATATATATGCATTGGTTGAAAATAGAGCCAGAAAAATGAACTTTTAAATAAAGATCCTAGTGAAAAGTTGTAAATTTATAAAACATTAATTAAGCTTTCGTAATTTTCAAAGTAAAATTGTTATTTGCCCTCATCAAAAATTTACAAGTTTCTGGTCAGCTTATCTTCCTGAGGTAATTAACGATGTTAAAAGCGCAACCAACTAAAGTATTTTCCAAGGATGTGCCACATCCACATGACTAAAGTATAATAAATTTTTAACAACATTTAGCCACAGCCAGAGGCAGAACTTGTGGTGTCCTTACTTCATGTCCATCACTGGGTCAGTTTAATTATTTATCCGTAGACAAATTCGACAGGAGCGTGTCAGAGTCCTGCTTGCGGTCGAATAGTGTCCCTGCCACGTCCGAAAAATGCTCGTCACTCAGCGCAAGTGTGATAATCCCGCTGGAGGGCGAATAAACTTGTTATCCATCAGAGCCAGGCGGGGAATGTAATTAGTTCATTCATAATTGAGGGCGCTGCTCATCTTGGGAAGTGCTCATGTGGAGGAGGAAAATCCCTACTTAATGTCACACACTTTTCCGCGCCATCAGGCGCTCATTTGCATTTAATGCCCATGCATACATACATAGATGGGGCCTCAATTACGACAGTCCTGACAGCTAGACACATGTGTCTGCAAGTATTTCCCCCTTTCTTGACTTTTAGCTTCGCTTAATTAAGCCGAAATTTCAACAATGAACATATACACACACACAAACACACACATCAGCAGAAGCAGCATTGTTGACAGCTGTCTGCAGGAGCAACTCCTTCTTGGTATCCTGGAGGCCCTTGCAATTGTCAACGGGCATTGACAGCTCAGACAATGGCCATCAGATGAGCGATATCTGACTTTCGCAATTGTCACTGCAGTTAGCATCTGCTCGTGTTTTCCTTCCCCCACTTTTCCATTGCCATGTTGCATAACGAGCCAGTAAACTTGGCTTGGCTTAGGCAAAACTTTAAGTTCTGTTGGAAAGTTTGCGAAGGCAAACAATAAATATTTGCTCGGCGCATAAATCAGCTGTCTACGCTCTAGTATTATCGTTCCTACGTGAGATTCCCATCCCGTTGTGTACATATGCCTTCCCACGACTTGCAAAAAGACTCCCACAGCATTTCTTGTTTATTGTAAGAATTTAAATGTATGCTAAACACCACGGCGTAGCGACTTTAGTTGGTTTTGGCCACCCATTCGAATCGGGTTCATTGCGCCCCAGAAACTCTGAATCGTGTGGGCAAAGTTCAAAGTGCAGGGAAATTGAAAATTTATTATTGCACTGAACACAACACGAGATATTGCGAACAGGTTTTGTAAGAAATCAAATTGAAATCTGCAGGGAAATTTAATATGACGTAGTCCACTGAACCAAATATAAGAAATTTGGGAGGACAATCTTAAGTTTTTTTAAGATTATCAAGCCTATTAACGTAAACAAAAAAATAAAATATTTTTAAAGTTTTAATTAATATAAAAAATACATAAAATATTGGTTTTAAAACAATTAATGAAAACCTAAAAGAATTGTAAGCCAGTAAAGTATTTTTTTGCTATAAAACCAGCCAAGTTATGTAAAAATATTATGTTTGTAACAAATTGTAAGAGAACCAAGTTCAAGAAGCATAATTAAATTTTGGTAGTCCTTAGCTGTAAAGTCATAGTAGCTAGACCCCCTATAAACATTTAAAAAAATGTTTGTGTTTCAAGTGTGTAAATTGTAAATTTCTTAAACGTTCGACAAGGAAATCGCATTATACATACAGAAATGCTCTTTGAACTGAAAAGTAAGCTGGAACACGGCAGCTATGTTTTCCCAAGGTCCTTGGCAATTGTGAAGAGTTTTCGGTCTAGTAATTGTACGGAGCACATAATTAACAACTATGCTGTGCCCTGGGTCATGTAGCTCTGGTTCTGTTGTTTGTTATCGTTGCCAGTCGTGTTGCCGTAGGCGGAAGTGCTCGAATGACACTGTAAAGTGTGGAGTACTAGGCGAGTCCCTTGGTGCCGTTTTGCTTATTATTCAGCCTGTCTGCCCGTCCTTTTCCACTTGTAAATCACACTACTTCCGCCTACCCAGGCGGCCAGACAAAGGACAGACAGTGGGACGAGCGGGCAACAATTCCGCCTTTTCCTGTCGTCCTGCCAACAGGTTTTCTGCCTTATTATTGTATGGCCTCCAGGTGGGTTTCGAGTGTGGGTGTGTGCTGACGTTTAATCAACGCATTGTGCTATTTAGCTCTGCAAACAATGCCAAAGCACCCAAGTGCGACTCTAGTCTGGTATTTCTCACATCCCGCCACGCAAGTCTGTGTCCTTTATTCTTCCCAGGAGCTGCTGCCTTTGCTCCTTGTTTTCTCTAATGGCCTTCGGGGAACGTGGACAACGAACATTTGTTGTCCACTTTTATTGCCAATTAAATGCAGTAACTTCTGTCACAGTTGTTCCTTCTGCTCCCCTTTCTCCAACTGTTTAAATTTCTTTTAGCACACACTTGGCAGATGCTTTCTTTATGCTTTCTCTTTGCGCGTTGTTCCGTGAAAACATCTAAATATTCGCTTATAGCTTTTAGAATAGGAGAATGAGCTTTAAAGCCGTTTACAGTTACCATCTTGTTTTATAAATTGTTGGAACTGTAAAGGATTTATTAGGCAGACCATAACAAAGAGCATAATCTTGATTATTTTAAGACACACCACAGACACAGACATTTTGTTTAACTAAAGCCTTTAAAAGTTTTAAATTTAAACTGTAATATAAAATGAAAAGTTTTTTAAAACTGACAATCAATTATTTTATTAAAAAGACAAACTGATAATTAAAAATATTCTCATTCAGTTTTGTCTTAAAAGTGACATCTGGTTGTATTCTCAATAATAAAATTTTATTAAGACACTCTCAATTTATAAAAAAATTCAGGTGGGAGCATCCCACTCCGATTGGCTGCAAATTGAATTTTTATCAGGTCCTTGGCCCTCTGATGTTAGCCATCGCAGAGTCACGCTTCCACTTCCGGGCTGTTAACTGTTTTTTAATGATGTCTTTGCCGCTGAAAAGGCTGCGAAATGAACGTAAACATTAACATCAGTTAAGTATATAATGAATTTGTGCAGCAGCTGCCGGTGATTTAAATGAAAATTCACTTGACACGAGAAGGCATTTCGTGTCATTTTTATAATCTTAAGTGTCTTTTATTGTGAAACGCATTTCGCTCGAAATGTGAAGCATCAATTAATTTTGTTTACTGTTCATTTATGGTCCGTTTCACGTAGAAGTCCCTTTAGTAACTCTGCCCTTGTGAACTTAAGGGTTGTGCTCTGCTGGCTAATCGATAGTTTTCATGAATAAATAATCCCTTTTTAGTGCATTTATATTGCCGCGTAGAGCGCTAGGTGCTTTGATCCAGTTAAATATTTACGCAATTTAACTAATGTTCTGAGTGTACATGTTTGCCTCAATCAAAGCATAAATAAATCAGCCTGGGCAAATAGATAAATGTACAAGAAATTGCGCATACGTCCTGTTACGCGTTCGTTAAGTAAGCTTCATTTGTGGCATTCTGCAACCGCATTTGATATGATTATATCGAAGTTTCCATTTCAAATAATTAACAACTTTAAAGTTATTAAGCTTGCTACGCTCAGCGCACACCATAAATTTAATTAAACAAAAAAGAAGGAGGAAAATATTAAACAGTCTTGATAGTAACAGGGAAAACATTTATATGCCGTCGGCAATTTTAAGTTTAAATTAATTAATTGCGTATGTCAGCAGTTTCAGGTCCGCTGTTGAGTATTTTATTATGGCTTTCATTACGGTTATTTGTTGCCGGCTGCGCGTTTACATTCCCCTGGCAATAAAGAACAAGCGGATTCGGGGCTACTCCGAATCCCTTTTCCAGCCAGAGTAATTTCACTGTACCCTTCGGTATTAATTTATAAATTCGTTTACACAACTCAATTGTAAGCGGTGCGTGCTAGTGAGCGGTTTGGTTCAATCGAGTAAATAGTTGTAGCCACTTAAGCAAAGGCAACCGCCAAAATGCCAACATGTCTGGTGCAGTCAAAGAAACCGCAAGGCAAATTCCAACCCAAAGTTGCCACAAACAGATGGATAGATATACACATGTAAACATCTATGAGAAAAAGGCGATGGGCGGAAGGCGTTTAACAAAACAAATTAATTTCATTACGGGCCATGGCAATTTTCTTGAAATTTTGTCAATTTTAATTATTAATAATGGCAGTCATCTTTGTGCTTTTCTTCAAGGGGATTGTGTCCTGCGGTTCTGCCACAGATGCCGCAAATGATTGATAGTTCTTGCATGGCCAGGACGTGCGTGCCACACACGGCCACGATGACAGCAGCAGAAAAATGAATGGAACAAACTTCATAGAAAACCAAAGCAGATGCCAGCTAATTAAATTTGAAAAACATTTCACAAATTTAATTAGTTCGTGGACGGAGATCAAAGAGCAGGAAAAATGCCAAAATTCAGCAATTAAACCACGCTGAAGAAAATGTTAAAGTTTATATTAACGTGGGCATCGAAACTAAATTTTTGTAGTTTTGGGACTTTTAATGATTTATTGCAACTTTAGCTGCCAACTTAGTTTCATAAAAACTTAAACCAAATGTCCAATGAGAAATCAGAATTGAATACATAAGCCTCATAAAATAAATAAATATTTCTATTTTTGTTATTTTATTATCTTGACGCTACAAGTATAATATTTTTATATTAATGAGCCAGTCACAATTAAATTAAAAAAGGTTAAACAATTTTTATAATATTTATCTTGAAAGCATTTATGCCCTTAAACTCTAACTACATATTTTTCAGTTGTTAACAACCCTATCGAAACTCGTTCCATTGCAGTTGACATCGTTTTACAATGAGAGCAGCTGGACAAATGCCTCTGAAATGGATACAATAGTTGGTGAGGAACCGGAGCCGCTGTCACTTGTGTCAATTGTAGTTGTTGGTAAAGTAAATGTCGTTGAATGTACAGCAAGAGCCACCCACCCACTGCCATACTGTATAGCACCACCCACCGTCCCACCAATCCACTCGACCACTTTCACAGCTCTCACGGACACAACAATTATCTGTAAAATTGCATGTTGCATGTGACAAACACGAATCGCACGCACACACCCTCATGCACATCCTTCGATGTTCATCCGCCCATATAAGTATGCTTTATGCGATCATTGTCGGGCATTGATGGCTACCTTCGACCGAGCTTCGATTATGGGTGTGATATTTAATTTGGACTCGTCGCAGGCATTTTCCTATCGGTGCTGATATTCCTCTCGGTGGCCGGAAACATCCTGGTGTGTCTGGCCATCTACACGGAGCGCAGCCTGCGACGCATCGGCAATCTGTTCCTGGCCTCGTTAGCGATTGCGGATCTCTTTGTCGCCTCCCTGGTGATGACCTTCGCCGGTGTCAACGATTTGCTGGGTAAGTATATCGAACCGAGTCCCTAATGCCGTCAGTAGCTCTGTCTGGATAATGGAAAATTGCAATTGAAATTCGCGTTTGCCACCGCTGAAATTTATGCAAAATGCTGCAGGCTGTTTCAGCGCGAACAAAAAACATATAAAAGCAGCGATGGGAACGCACGAGGGTCCTGGTCCTGGTTCTGCTCAACCACTCAAAAACCCGCGCAACACTCGAGCCCATTTGACATGCCTGGCAGCGCTTAAAGCCGGTTTTTATGTAGCTTTGTCAATGCCTTTTAAAGTGTCAGCTGCACAAGTCGACGCACGAGTTCCCCGAGTTTTCCAAGTTTCCCGAGTGAGGGTCCATTGTGATTGCACAAGATTTCCTCCGCGCTATATAGCATCCACGAGGGCTGGCTTGTCATTTTTAATAAACTAAACACTTTGTTTATGTTGAGATAATAAGCCAAGTTTAATTTTAAGTCCACTGACATATCAAAGAAATTTGAGGAAAGCATTGTACAAAGCTGAAAAATTAAAGAATTTCATTCATATTTTCATTCACCCAATTTAAGAATTTTAAATTTAAGCACACAAAGTAGTGTGGCTTTTTAATATATGACTTCTTGAATAGTTTATCTACTTTAATTTTATAATCATAAGTTTAAGTAGTTTAAAAATACCCTATTTGAATTTAAAACTTCTAAGAAATTTTTGTAGTCTTTGAGTTGTCTTTTTAACTCAAGCAAAGAAAAGAATATATGCTTTTATTTTATTTTCAAATCCACAGCAATATTACAAAATCCGCAATTTATGAAGAGCGTTAAAGAGCAAATACAAATATTATCTTCTTTGAGTATTTTTTGACTTAAAATTGTTTTTCCCAGATTCTATTCGCAAACTGTGCCCAAATCTGTTAGTTATTAGTGAAAAATCTTCTGGCAAAAGTATTTTAAATGCCTATTTTTATTATTTTTTTAACTTTATTTTTTTACTATATAGTTTCATAAACTTTTCCGCTGACCCTCGACACCCCTTCGGTGGACAAATGGTTATAGTCAGCCAAACAGGAATTTCATTTTATTCCAACTGTACTTCTGGTGCCGGCAAACATGCAGATGCCGAGTGCAGCCACACATTCTGATTATTTTCCATTAGCAATTCCGAGAACAGCAATGGCAGTCATTCCTTGAGTTATCCTGCCAGTAGATCCTTTCCCGCACCGATACTTTTTCTGACGTTGAGGCTGACAAAGTTTTGCAGCTGCAAGTTTGCGATGCCCCAGTTTCAGCTCCCCATTTCCCCTTTTGAGTGCCGTTTATGGGTGCACTTTATTAATTCCAGCGGCGGAGATGGGAAACTCAAGATGAGGACTTGACGGGCGAACATTGGCTAAGTAAATAAGAGGCAAATTAGGCGAATGGCGGGCAAAACTTTTTCATGGAACAGGGGCAATCGGGGAATCCGGGAATCGAGCCGGGCTAACAACGTGTTCCGGTTCAGAAAACATGCAGCTGACATCAATGTGTAAGGACTCGCACACACGCTGCAAAAAAGTGGAAAATCATAAACAACAAACAAAAGAACAAAACTGCGAGCTTGTCATGTGAGTCTAAAAATGTGAGCAGAATCCTAACCGATGCGATGCGGTGAGGGGAGTGAAGTCAGACGGCGACGAGATGAGTTGAGGTAACATGCGACAAATTCGCTGTACAATAAAGAAAGAAAAAGGTTTTTTTTTCAACCCGCTCAGCCTGAACAATAGTTTGCTTTTGCATTACTTGCTAAAGAAAAACAGTTAAAAATGTATTTACTTGAAAGAAAGAGGTTTTTGAAAATAAATAGATAAATTAAAATAGTATGCATTGTATTACAAGACCACTATAGTTTTAGCTTTGTTAAACAAAAATTTTGTTTTATATAAAAAAACTGATATTTTGACTTAAAGCTTAAACTTCAAATCAAATAAAATACCACGAAAATTCTCTGGCCACTGAAACCCCCTTTAAAAAAACCCAGAACGCCTATGATGCCACCCAGTTTCCCCAAGAGTGTGTGAAAATAATATACGACTTTGGCACTCGCAGGAGACGATTGGAGATGGCGCTGCCGCGTAAGCAGAAGTGTGAAAAAATAAATAAAAATGCTCAGATGCTCAAGACAAACAGATGCCTCGGGGGTCCTCCGACACCCACACTTTGAGACACACACGGAGGCAAATTATTTTCGCCAAGGCAACATTTAGCTCACTCGGAGACAGGCAAATCAGCAAATAAACATCGTACGCAATTGGACAAATTCAAACAACAACAGATTCGGCGAGAAACGACAGATGCTGCCAGCCCGAGGAATCGCAAAAACATATAGCATACTTTTTTGGCCAAGAGCAATTCATATGCGTATGTACGATGTGAAGTGTATTGAAAGCAGCATGAATTATTTGCTGACTTGTCTACATACTCCCAGTTCGACATACATCCTACCAGTATTCCATTTTCTCCAGAAATAGCTTTTTTCGGTGCCATGAGCATTTCATGATGCCTTAGTACAATCTGCTCTTCATTTTGTGGCAAGGAATGAATCGTGCCAAGGCTCAATACTCTAAAGTGCAAATGTGATACTTCCGAAACAATTTTAAACATCAACGCAAAGCTTGAACAAAAATTTAAAAGTACTTGACCAGCTGATAGAACTCCGGAAAGGTCATGGAAGTAGTTTGGACAGTTGGCTTAATGTTTTAGGAAATTTATAGTCCTATAAAATGAACTTGAGTTTGTTTTTAAATGGTTTGAATATTTATGTCCCTTTAATCAAATTAAAAATTAGTTAAGTTTGCAGTTGGAAGTCAACTACGTAGCTTTCTAGCTGTTCTAGTTAAAAGCATTTCGTAAAGTCATAGCTAAGTCAATTTTTTTAAAGTAGATATTTCATAAATTATGTTACACAATTCAAGCCACTCTATCAAACCTTAACAAGTGAAAGTCATTACTGCTGACTGGGTGTGCCAACTTTGAAGTCCTGATGTCCTCGTCTTTTGATATCCTTATGGCTGAAGGCTGAGCAGAGTCGGATCGAATCGGCTTTGCTTTGACCAGTTGCGTCGGCACATCCTGTGGCATTTAAGAGCCGTATCCTGCAGTACGCTTGATTAACTGGCATGAAAGCTTTAACGAGCATGATATGCATATTCTAATCGCCACAAATCATCGGTCGAAAACGACAGCAGGATTAAATAACCTTTTTCTGTGGCAAATCTGTTATTGAATTTATGTGTATGTCGTTGGTGTGCCCTGAGTTTATTCCATGTGGCGAAAACCTTTTTCCCAGGACTCAAAGGACATCCGTTTCTGGTCACACACGGAACATCAATCGACTACGGCGTAATTGCAACGCACTTATGAAATTGCCAAGCGCCGGAAAAATGAATTATTTGTTTTCACTTTTGACCCAGCGAATGAAATTTAAATAGCGCTCAGCCCAAACGAAACCCTCATGTGAGCTTGTGTGCGTGGTAAAAGGAAGGACAGGAAACGGAAATGAATTTATGAAATCATTTAAACTCAATTTACGTCATGAATAAATAAAACAAGAATCTGGTGGCTGCGACACTGGTTGCCTTTGCACATTCTGTTGCCTTTCCCCTTTTTCTGGCTGCATTTGTTGCTGGCGCCGTGCAAATGAAAAAATTTTTTTCCCCTCCGGCCGCAACCTGGCAATTTCCGCCACGTCCAGACAGAAAGTACTTATTAAGTATTTTAAACAAGCAATCAAACACTCGCTTACCCCGCTCCATTTACTCCCCTTTTCGCAGGATATTGGATCTTCGGAGCGCAATTTTGTGATACTTGGGTGGCCTTTGATGTTATGTGCTCGACGGCGTCAATTTTGAACCTGTGCGCCATTTCGATGGACCGCTACATCCACATCAAGGATCCGCTGAGGTGAGTGATTGTCAGAATTCTGCCACATGCATATAACGTCCAATCCATAATTTATTGTCCGGGCTGTCGTAGTTTGATGCCGCAGCTCCGGGACCGAATCGATTCATTAATGTCAGGCGATTGCAGGTACTTTGTATGCACGTTACTCATACGCCGTGTTGTCATGCCCGTCACGTTTTTCTGCTACTGCTACTGTTCCTCATTGCCAGCGGCCTACAACTCGAGTCTTTATGGCACTGGGGCTCATTAATCGACGCTCATAATTATTTCATTAGTAGCAGATTTATGGCGCATTACCAGGGTTTTTGCCCTTCGCCGAAGACTTCATCTTGAAGTTGGCTAAGCACTTTCGGATCAGCGCTTCAGCTGTGGTTTTGCGGGGGCAAACAAAGTTCGGCCAAGTCATTCTCTTTGGGTATCTGGGTCAGGCCAACAATGATCAACAAAAGAAGTGTCATTACCAGCTGGCAAAAGTGCGAAAGTGGCAGTTTGAGATGCTCAGTCCAGATTGGACGACGATGTTGGTTTATGAAATAGTTCGAGGTATTGAGACTAGAAGGGAATTTACCAAATAATAGGGAACAAATGGTAATTTTAAAAATTTAAAGTATAAAAATACCAAGTTAAATAAATATTTGCTAAATAACATTTATTAATAATATAAAACATATTAAGATTTGTTTTTTTAGTAATAATGATAAATTAACTAGTTTTATCACGAATTTCACCATTATAATACTTTCAAATACTTTCTTTTAAATATGTTAGCCAGGTTAATTATTCCTACTTTTGTAATTTAAACATAAACTAAAACAAACAGAGGTGTATATATTTATCGAGTAACGTTTAGTGCATACAAATTTTTCAAGGATACAATAATACTGATTTCTGTTTTACTGGTTTTTATCCCAATTAGTTTAATTTAAGTCGCATTGCTTTAAAATTTCTTTACACAGCTTGCCCGCTTGAAAAGTAATTTAACCTTTGGCCAATGACTTCATCTGTCAGCGGGCTGAAGGCCGCCCAAATGTTCCATTATCACAGTTCAATCTACCTTGTATATCCGGCACGTTGCTCCAGCTGCGACGTCCCGGCAGGAAGCCCCAGAGACAATCAAATTCTGCTGCCTCAGGTGCTGTGTGCCGTGTCCTGTCTACTCTGGTGTGAGTGTCTATCTGGGTATCTGTGTACATCTCCGACTACGACACTGACAATGAGCTTGTATTGCTGTCGGCGTGGCCTAAAACGCTGCCAGTCAGTCGTGTTGGTCTGCTTTGTAGTCAGTAGTCAGCAACCGTTGAAATTGATTTCCAGTGGCCAGCAGTTCGTACAAAAGCAGTCAGTCAGAATGTCAGCTTGGCAAACTTGAAACTTGTTTATCAAGTACCTCCTCCTCCCAAGCCGACCCCCACTTTTCGGCTGGACCACAACCATTGTGTGTTAATTAAATTTTCAACAATGCCCCGGACCCCACAAGTGCAATCCAACAAACGTTTTTTGGGCATAGGAATATTACATTTGCGGCCAAGAACAAACGCACAAATTTATTATGTGTTAGCAGCCACAACTGAATTCCTTCATATGTGAGTTTCGAGTGGGTAAACCTTTGTCTGCGGGTTTTTCTATTTTATTTCATAATGTGAGGGCACTGAAAAAAATGGCCTACATTGAGTTTTTTTTTCACTTTACTTTACAATTTATTCCAAAATTACAAAAAGGTTTTGGTGTGGATAAAGAATTTTCCTGAATTGTCAAGTATTTAAATGTCACAAAAATATAGATTTAGATATTTATTTTAAATAGTGTAGCAGTCTTTGTGACATTTTAAATTAAATACCTAATTTTCATAAACTGTAAATTATTTTAATTATCATTAAAACGCTTTAATGGTTTTAAGTCGCATTTAAAAACAATTAGAATTATGCATTTCAAAATTTACATTTTTATTTTGGATATAAATAATCTTAAAGCATAATTTTCTCACGTTTTGCACTAAATCAATTTTATTTTGTTGATAGAAAACTAATAATCTTTTTCTAAAAGGGGTTGAAACCATGAAAATTGTCCACAAAAGATTTCGGTGGCACAAAACAATTTAAAAATTGATATAATAATCGCTTTTCTCAGTGCAAACAATTTGTGTTAAAAGCGACGTTGGTCAAGTCGCTGACAGACGCAGAGCAGGGAGTTGGCTCCGAGCGATCAGCCCGACGAAATGATTGCAGGACACCTTGGGGGAAAGGGAGTTGTTAGAGGGGTGTTAAAACGAATGGGAAAATGGACAACAGGGGGCTACTACAGAAAATCGAGACAGTTGCCAGCCCTTACCCTAACCCCCAGCACCATGCCATGAAAGAGCCATAATAAATCCTTTGATGCTATTTTCAGCGAAAAGCCAAAAGTAGAAAAATATTTTTTTCTACACCGCCCTGTGGCTGTTGCGTTTGCTGTATCAGTGCCACCTGGGGCAAGCTTATTCGCTTATGGAAAACGACACGACATTTGTATTGGTGTGCCAGAAGCTGTACCCGCCACCCACCTGCTGAATTTCCCCCCATTTTCCATCTATCTGTGCATCTTTTGTGTCGACAGGTTCACGTAACGAGTTGGCGAGCATATAACGCTTCATTGATGTGGCAAGTTGATGTTGAGGCGAGCTGAAAATTCAGATTGCAAATTTTGTATGCCACGGCAAAAGGATTTAAATGAGGTCGGGTCGGGGGGTCAAAGGGGCGGAGCGGGTGGTTGGGAGGTCTGGGCCAGCAAATGACAATTTCCATGGAACATTTTTCCTGATTTCAAATTCCGTTTGCCATCGGGAGTGGGGAGGCTACAGATAGACGGAATTGAAAGTGAAATTAAGCACGGCGAAGAAATACATTTTCCGCAGGAGGAGAACGTTTCATGCTCGACATCAAAAGGTTGATGATGGGTGAACGACACAAATCGCTCGATTGATCTTGATTTATTCGTTCTCTTCTTTACATCAAATATCTGCCTAGATGACCTGCATAAAAGGCTTAAGCAATTTTATTATATTTATATATAAAATTTCGCAGTCATTATTTTGTTTAAGCCAACACATTTTAATATTCTCCGATTATACCCATTAGCTAGTAAAAAATGCAAAAACCTGATAAAACTATAATGGTAAGAGCTATTTATTAATTTAAATATCCAAAGTCGTCCTTTTTCCTCTCTGCCTATTATACGCGTTAGCCAGTAAAGAATTATGTAAAATTAAAAAATAGAAAATGGACTGAATAAGGTTTGCTGAGAGATTAAGTCTCTTCAAAGTGCTTAAATTGATTTAAATTCCCATTCTGGCCCGTTTGCAGATAAGCAAGCCCAATGATTAATGTGCCCTTAATGTAAATTGTACCCTTCAAACGCTGATTAAGGCCGCCTAACGTTGTCCGATATTAATTTGAGCCCTTAGGTTAATGACATTTGCATAGACCCCCAGACGCTGTGCCCGTTGGCCAAGTTCGCCCATCGCCTGGAAATTGAGTTTAGCCACCTGGATTCGTTTGCATTTGCACCTAGGGCAGAGAAAACAAACCCACCTAGACCGTTCAGGTACCCGAGACATTTTACACTTCAAATGTCAAGACGGCGCTCACACCACTCTCTTTGAATCAGAATCCGAATCCGAATCCGAGTCTGAATCTCAAGAAGCTGAACTTAACTGGCAGAGGAAAATTGCATAGAAAACTCAGCGCAGCGCAACTCAGTTGCCAGCTTTTTGTGACTGAGAAATGGTTACGGGTATCCATGGTATGTGCCTAGCATACCAGTCTTTGACTACAGACTCCCTCTTTATGTAAATCTGATTTATTTGCATGTCAAAGTGGAGGCAGTAGCGCAATTTTTTCACCCCTGAACAAGGGGCAAAGTTCACGGGCCGGCGTCTCATTAGAAGTCGAGAGCCAGCACCCCCCATCTAAGACCATTCATCTAGGACCTGTCCCTCGGCCGATAGTCGGAATTGCTGATTCAGCGTGTTTTCTCAGCGTTTTAGAATAATTGCAGTCGTTTAATTTAATTGCGCTCGCCTGGATTTTCCGAGCCGGTAAATTGGCAAAAACAATTTGGATAATAAGCGCGTGCAAATTTAATTAGTAGCAGACAAAGTGAAGATGAAGCGAGCCCAACTTTCACACCAAGCAAAAATAACGAAAATGAGAAATTTTCGTTCTTTATGTGACAAGTTGATGCTTCGCCCGTTTTTTCCCTTTTGTCTTCTTGTCGCTTTTTGTTGGAACTGCCATTGACTTTGGCGCCTGTCATCATCGTAACTGTCAGGCGCATATGTGAAATTCATTTTAAACTGCAATAAAAACTGAAAGAACAATGAAAGTTTGCCGCAGGCAAAAGGATCTTGTGAAGGGTGGGGTGTACAAGGGTGTGGTAACATACATGAATTTTTTGTGGGAGGTTTAAGGGTTTTGGCCAACAACCGAAGGCACAACACTTAAACGCACACCGCAAAACCTGTTCCAGCAACAATGACGCACCTGGGAACTTTTTATAATTGTATTTTTCCACCTGTCTTGGCCGTGGTGGAGGAAATGTTACAACGAACTATGGGGTTGTACCCTAAAGTTTGAAGGGATCATTGAGGACTCCTACCGGGTTTTTATTGAACAAGATTGAAAATTGATGTGGGTTGATAAATCAATGACATACAAGCAGAGGTATACATTTCTCCTGGATAATAAAGCAATTGAATTGTAAGAATTCATTTTAAAATCGTACTTTCGTAATTTTATACTTTATGAATTTTGTGCAACTAATTTAACCAAGAATTGGTCTTTCACAAAATGTTATCCAAAGTTTAACTAATTTATAAATCACAGAGCATTATCTTAAGCACAAAAACGTGTATCAAAAAACAACAATCCGTCTATATTAAAACTGTTCTTGAAATCTCTATTCCATTTCCTATATTCCCTATTATGATTAGGGAGTGCAATAGTTTTCCTTATTCCAAAACGTACGGGAAAGGTATTTTTCAAATTTATATTTATAATATTCCGTAGGCATCCTTAATTTCCGTTTCTTTCTTAAAAAAATTTATGTAATCGCATTGCAGGCACCTGCATAAAAGATATTAATATTTCAGATTAAATATTTTAATCTGCACATTTAGATTAAGATGAAATGTCCACAACTCTCCTTGCCACTTTCTTAACCTTTTGACCCACAGTGCCCTGAGCACGTGCTAGCAATGACAGTTACGAAAACGCTCATAAAGAGTCATCAAATTTCCCATGCCAAAACAAAAGCGGCCAAGCTGACGTGGCAGGACTTGAAAAAAGAAGGAAAAGGAGCGACTCGAACTATGCAAATAGCGGCACAAAAGCCAGGGGAGGGGGTGAAGGGAGGATGGAGTCCTGGGGCGGAAGGATCGTTGTGCGTGGCTTGCGGTAATTTCTTGAGTGCATGTGGAACAAACACAAAAGCCACCGCATGCCACGCAGCCAGTCAAGCCGGCAGCTTCAGTACGAGCGTTAAATGCAAATGTCCTTTGGTCGGAGCAGCCTGCTCCTGGCACCCAAACACATATCCATCCACACGGCAGACCTGGAGGAACACTCTCGCACACGATTTCAATTAGCCCATCGATGGCTGATTGGCCCTCCACTCCGCAACTGAGGGCCAAATCGTGTGTCACCTAATGGCTGCAGGTTTATGTGCATATATCAAAGCTCTACCTCAGCCACTCTAAGATACCGAATTAGTGCAGGTAAAAGGAACAGGAGAGGGGCCAATGGGGATGCTAACAAGCAGTGATGTTGATCGGGTGCAAAAACCTCTAGAATATATTAGATTCAAACGGATATCCCAGGTGGCAGTTTGGAAAACTTTTCTATACAAAGTGTTTGATATGGAAATCCTAAATTGAATTTTTTTCAAAAAATATATTAATTAGGTTTCTTAATTTTGTTTAACTTAAATATGTATTTAAGGCTTAGGATTTTTCCATTTGTATTGTTATTTTATACTTTACTTTAGAAAAGTTCCTTTCTAAACTTACGCTTAAATTATTATTATAATTGTTATTTGTGTTTGCCATATTTTTTAGAAACAACTACTTATCCTAGTTTAAAATTCTTTTTGTGCCTTTGTACCTTGCCTTAGTAAATATAGTAAATAATACTAGTACCTTTCCCACCACTGTGGGCTCGAGCTGCGGGCTTTCGTCGCATGGAAATCAATTTTCGTGCCGAAAACGAAATTGAATTTGTATGTGAATACAATTACATAAACTTCCGTTTCCGCTCAGTCATCGTCCTTGAGCGTGAGTGTGGTATATAAGTGCGTCTTTGTATTGAAATCGAATTATTCTGTTTGATTTCCTGCACAAGCCAAAACGATGAGGCATATGGCACCAAATTCGTATACCACCCTCCCACACGCTTGCCTTGCGAGTTTCGGCCTTGGTTTTGGGTTTTGGTTTTTGCGTTCGCTGCAGAATGCTCATTTCCTGCTGTAAAAGAGAAATCGAAGTGCTTGAAAAGGGGAGGCCTTCGAGCATGATTTGCATATGCCATTCCCCGCAATGCGTGTGCGGTTTGTCTTTGGGCTCAGAGCGATTTGTCGCCCGGCCAGGGCAAGTAATTAATGACATGCGGATGGAGCCAAACACCTGATCCGGAATCCCTGATCCCCGAGCCCGTGTCTGGGAATCCCACTTTTGGGGACGGCCCAACACTTGTCGCGTACACCCGAAAATGATGTTGTCTAATGGCTGCTGGGCGCTGAGGGACTGCCAGGGACATGCAAAGCCACAATCTGGACATCAGGACATGGTCCATGTTCGTGTTGGCCGCGCCCCTGATTCCGCTCCGCCCACGTGTTGATCCAGCTGTTGTACACACAAAAAAAACATCATCATTATTTTTCGATCCAAAATAACAAATGTAAAATTCTTGTTGCTGTTATTATTTTCTTTCTTTTTTTTCTGAAAAAAGGGTTTCTGTCAGTCAACGATTTAATTTTTGCAAACAACTTTGTTGGATGTAAATTTATGTAACGGGGCTTAGTAGAAAAACTTTCAGCTTAATTAAACACGAACTTTAAAACCCAAAACTTTAAGCGAAACTTTTGCTGAGTGTGAGTGTCGCTGTGTGTTTACCCAATGCTGGTTACCACAAGGGCAAAAGGACGAAAAGAGGAACGCCAGGAGCAGCAGGATCAGATTGAAAACGGGGGAGGAGGGAGAAGACAGGGATGCAGGCATGGCTCGTGTATTTCCGCATCCTTTGTCGCAAATTGATGCAAACCTTTGACCTCTCCGCCGCTCCTCTTTTGCAGATATGGCCGCTGGGTGACACGACGCGTGGCTGTCATCACCATCGCGGCCATTTGGCTGCTGGCCGCGTTCGTCTCGTTTGTGCCCATCTCGCTGGGCATCCATCGCCCCGACCAGCCGCTGATTTTCGAGGACAATGGCAAAAAGTACCCCACATGCGCCCTGGACCTCACGCCCACCTACGCCGTCGTGTCCAGCTGTATCAGTTTCTACTTCCCCTGTGTGGTCATGATTGGCATCTACTGTCGGTAAGTCAAACGAGCCAGCCTGAAATGGGCTCTTTCGTGCAGATTGGAACAAAAGTTGAACGTGCATAAAACATGAAATGCATAAAGTAAGATATTTTCAGCCGCCTTTGGCTGCAATTATGTAGATACAAATGGCCCAGGGTCTCACACAAAACCACAAGGCAACAAAACTTTTACAGGCAGAGAGAAAGTTTTGCCAAAATCTCTCCAAATAAAGGCAATACGAGAACTCAAATATTTTTATGAGCTTAAAAAAATACTGGAGGCATAAATGCAATCTCTTCTAGATGTAGCTCCGTTGTTATACCCTTTCGGCAGTGGAAATTTACATAACATGGGCATGTATTATTTAACACAACAAACTTTAGAAATTAAATAACATATTTAATTACAAAAGTTACAACTAGTTGTGACAGACTTGAAGTTTTTTATTCAGCAAATTCCTTTAAACTTAACAAAATGTTTTTATATCAACAGTATGACAAGTAACTTGTAAAAGAGTAAAATAGAATGCTTAAACAATTTATTTAAACCGATTATTTATTTAATTATAAAATGAAGACCTAAAGAATATAAAATTCAAGTATAAAGATTAGGATAATTTTTACCAACACAAGCTCGTTTTGGAATACCCTCTGCAAGGGCATACAAAGTAAAGGCAGTAAGCAAAACAAAGGGGAAGTCGAGGCAAAAGTAGTAAAAAGTAAATAATAAAATGTTGTAAAAACTGGCAAAGTTTGCTGCTATCGCATTGCTGAATATATCAGAAAAATGCCGCAAGGACTTGAGCCCCCTGATGGCCTCCAGGCACGAGAGAAATGAGGCAAAATGAATGCGGGCAAGGGGTTTTGGGTTGAACAAATAAGCGCACGCATTAGTGTCCATCTAAGTAATCCCCAGGAGCTGGCAAAAGACTGGGGCGTGTGCAAAAGGACTAGGCAAGGACATACTCACACCCCGGCTGACAACCCCGCAGCAGGACAGCGATAGTTGCTCATCAACTGTTCGGCCAGCGGCACGTTGCCATTTTGGCTTAACGAGATTTGCAGTCATTCGCCTCCCCTGTCCTTAGTCCTCTCGTCAAATGGATCCCATGTTGGCTGGCATTGGAATTTTCTATCAAATTTCGGTTAAATTGCAGAATAAATATACTTTTATCGTCATAATTTGTGCCTGGCCTGATCCGGCCCTGTTATCCTTTTCATATGGCCACTAGCCAACGAGTAAACACTCCCACAGAGAGACACATATGCTCGATTATTTGTTGTAAGATGGAAGATGAAAGGGGCGGGAGGGGAGTGGCACAGCTTAGGGACGACTCAAGTGGAAGATTGGTTATGATAGTCAGACATAGCGTATACGCAACGTGTTTCCTTTGGTTATTGATGTGGACAGAGACATTGTTGTCGGCCTCCACTTAATTGACATGCCAAGGAGCCCAAGTGAATAATTATCATATCAATTACAAACCATAACCAGTAACTATACAGCGCGTATTCAGTGGCAAAGTAAGCTGAATTTGTGTCGAGCAACAATCAGGACCAGTCATAAGGCTACGAATAATTGATAATGTCATGCTGACACAACAGGCAACAAAAGTCATTAAATTGTAATGTTAAACTGTCATTATGAATCGTTTAATTTCGTTTTACAAGCCTGTTGTAGCCAATATTTCTTGGCTGTGTTTTAAGCTGTTTACCTAAGCTATTAATGCTCAAAATTTTGATATAAACATTCCAAACTAAATTTGTAACCAAAACTTAATTTAATTTAAATTTTACTTGATTTTATAAAAAAATAAAAATCTTAAGTCTTGGAAATGCTAGAAATTTTTTGGTATATGTTTTATAAACAAATGAGAAGGTGATAAAAATATAAGCTCCAGGGTGTTTTATACATAAATAGAAACTAACACATCAACATAATTAAACAAATTTAATGGACATTTTAATTAAGCAAATAACCCTTTTAACATTTTTTATAATTCTTAATACAAAGATTTTTGCTCCATTTATTAACCAGATTATACTGCTACGCCCAGAAGCACGTGAAGTCCATCAAGGCAGTGACTCGACCCGGCGAGGTGGCCGAGAAGCAGCGTTACAAGAGCATCCGCCGGCCAAAGAACCAGCCCAAGAAGTTCAAGGTGCGCAACCTGCACACCCACAGCTCGCCCTATCACGTGTCCGATCACAAGGCGGCCGTCACGGTGGGCGTGATCATGGGCGTCTTCCTCATCTGCTGGGTGCCCTTCTTCTGCGTCAACATCACGGCCGCCTTCTGCAAGACCTGCATCGGCGGACAGACCTTCAAGATCCTCACCTGGCTGGGCTACTCGAACTCAGCCTTCAACCCGATCATCTACTCGATCTTCAACAAGGAGTTCCGCGACGCTTTCAAGCGTATCCTGACCATGCGCAATCCCTGGTGCTGCGCCCAGGACGTGGGCAACATCCATCCGCGGAACAGCGACCGCTTCATCACGGACTATGCCGCCAAGAACGTGGTGGTGATGAACTCCGGCCGCTCCAGTGCCGAGCTGGAGCAGGTGTCTGCCATTTGACCAAAAGGCTGTCTGAATCTCTCCACCACCTGGATGCCATGCGGATGCGGCGGTCTGCGCGTGGACGACGATGACGATGGGGCGCTGACCACGCGGTATGTTCCATGAGATTCGGTCACGGCGGCCACGGCCACCATTGTGGAGACCGTGGAGGCCGCGCAGATGGAGACGGAGCTGCTCTAGACCGCCAACTGGGTTCCTACGACCGACTCAATGTCTCAAAGCTTCAAGTGCAAGCAATCATCCCAACCCTCTGCCCTGATCCAGTGGATGTGGAAACCTGTAAGTATTATCAGTGCGTCCCAGAGACTAAGCAATCAACTTTGCGTATACTTAATCGCACTAGTATCTAGCTGTAAATCCAAAAACATAAGAGATAACCAAACCAAATCCAACCCAAAACGTGATTAGGTCTAAGATCTTCAACCCGGCACCTAAGAGGTTCTAGTTAAGTTTCTGTTTGGATATTCATGGCGGTTTGGCTCCATGCAAATGCGATGATTATGGAGTGACACATGTCACTTGCCACACTTCTCACTCACCCATCCACACGAACAAACATTTACGCACACAAACAAACCACTCGAGTCCTGAAAAAAAGAAAACGTTGCATACATCGCGGCGCCCCCATATTGGAGCAGCTCTACATTTGATTTATTGATGAGAATTTATGGTCATTGAACGAACAGGGCTGCCAGCTGCACTCGTAAATCATGCAAAATGATTATTGTTGTTATTATTACGGGCACAGCACAAAAGCTGTAAAACTCACCAACCCCCATTCGCTATATATTCATATCATGTTTAGTTGGAGTGCCACGATGATAGCGAGTTTTTACGACCAAACTTTTCAGACTGATTTGAATTTATGCGTTGAAATCTGTTCCATAATGTTAATTAAGCCAACTGTGATTGACACCGGCTAACAAAAACAATGCCACCCAGTCGAAAGGTTAACCCGAGAATCCATTTGGGCACTCTGATTACCGCGTGATTTTATGAGCCGCACCTGCGAAAACACAGCTATCAGCCTGCGGCATAATAAACCCCCTGGCATCGTTTTCGTTTGCCCCTTCGAGTGTCTTGTCTTGTGCCCCAGTTCCCGGATCTGAGTCAGTAGGGAAAACAAATGTAAACAGTTTGCTCTTCACGCCACGATGAAAAATTATGCCAGCACGGCGATAAATATTAAATTTATTAGGTCTGACGAAGGCATAAAAATCAAGATTATAAATTAAACAATTCATCAGAGAAAAAGAATGTTAAATGGCTTATCTCAGTGTACATAACCTGGGGAATTATTTAGTATTCTATTGTTGACTTTTTAAATACTTCCGTTTTCTGGTATTAAAATAAATATTTAAATTATTTGTTTAATATTTATTATTTGGTTTTTTTGCACTTACTAACAACAGCATATTAAAATCCACTCTCCGAAATTTAAATCATATGGATATGCTAAATATGATTTTTTATTTTTCTGCAAAGCTAAGCCATGGTTTGTGGAAGAAATTTAAATAAAGTTGGTTTTTCTCTGTGTGACAAAGCTTCTGAGCTGTTTGCCCCCTTCGGCACTCGAGTTTCAATTCCTGTTATTTGCGGATGCCACAACTCTTGCCCCAGTCTTTCTCGGTTCTGTTATTAATACAAAGTACTTATGCTCGCTGCCCCAGTTTTTCCCCTTCCTATACAAGGCAATCCGCTTATAACCTTTTCAGTCTTTGTTTATTCGATTCCCTTTCGCGCGCTCTCCTTTTTGTATTTATTTTGGCAGTTTATTAAAACTTTGGCGCTGCTTTCGTCATTTTAATTACGATATTCGGAACAAAAGCGAAACGGCATTTGTTATCGTGGGCCACGCCCTCTGTACCGCCCAACGCCCACTGGCAATCGTCATTGCCACAACTGGCACGCAATCAATTCAACTCAACTTCAACTCCACTAACGATTTCGCACGTGTCGCAAGTTCTTGGTTGAGTAAAGGCTTGAAATTTGGGGATTGAGTGCTTTATGGCACACAAGGAATGGTCTTGCCCTCAAACCTCCAAGCCCCCTATTCACCCACTTTCCACATACCAAAAACCTGGCCGAATTCCCACATTCCATTTGGGTTTATTTGGGGCACAGCCATTGACTTTGACTTTGGAATTTGTCGTGTCCAAACTTAAACCTCGAAAAAATGGCTAGCCCATGATAAATGTGCGTGGCGTGGCCATAAGCCTTAACCCGTTAAGTTCCAAATTTGCCTTTATTCAATATTGATACAAATAAATCAACAGCTAACTTGAACAGCCACAAACGAATTTTTAAAGAAAAGTGGTCGCAAAGAGAATATAAACCATTTCGGTAAATAATAAATAATCCTTTAAATAAGCTAACAATGCGAGGAAAATTATTGACACTGGCACTTGTTTTAAGCAGCCAAAATTCTCCAAACACTCAGACTTTGTCAACCATGGGTTAAGACTTTTACCATAACTCTTTCTTTTCGGCTTTGCATAATTAAGATAATGCCCGGAGCTTGCTCTTGTTATGCTTTCTCGTTACAGAACTTCCTGTTTGTACCACTTCGCTACTCCTCTTCTTTCTTTCTCCTCCGAAATTCTCCGACTTTCTCCTGCGTTCTCCGACTTTCTCCCCTTTATTCATCTTTGATTTGCTGGAAGCAATTTTGTGATTGTGACTATTGCTGATGGAACCAGGGAGGTTCCTTTTGTCCCCCAGTCATGAAAATCCTTTTCTAGCCTGCAATTTTCAAAGGCCAAGGGTTTTTTCAGGGTTTTGGTTTTCGCGAGTTTTAATTGGAACATTTGACAGCCTGAAAGTCGATTGTTGGCATGCCTTTCTGTTGGATTTTGCGGCCTCTGGCTGTCTGCTTCTAATTGTATTAGCCAGATTCATGTTAGAAGCCTACGTGACCAGAATGAAAAAGTGCTCCTGTCTGCGACAAGATTCTGCGAAGAGAGAGGTATCCAGTAAGCCAAGCCAAGCTGAACATGTCCTTTCATTAGCATAATCGCCCCACAAAAAACTTACTACACTAGTAGGGAGAAATTACCCCATTCACTTGAAAGTCTGAACTTTTTTGTTGACTATTTGCTGCTTAAATAAACAGATTTCCCGTAATTGCTTTTGCAATTGAGTCAAACGAAAAAAAAGGCATACAGAGAAAAAATCACAAGTTCATGTCAATAACAGCTACAATCAATTACATTTTTGTGTAAACAGCCGGAAAAAATTTCTTAAATGAAAGCGCTCAATTTGAAAAGAACTTAAATGAGAATGAAGCAAATATTTATATCAAATTCAATGGCCACAAATGTATGTTTACTTATTCTTGTAAAACTTCCAGCCCTCTTCAATATTTCATGTCGTCTGCCTGCCCTTGGCACATAACTTGTCTGCAATCCTTTAGGCAGCCATCTGGCTAATCCCATGTATACATAATGGGTGTCATATATATTCAATTGGCAATCCTTTAAGCCAACTTTAAAATCTGTTTGGATTTCTCCGTTTGCCGAGTGTTAAACTTCAATCTGGAGCCGAAAAAGTCAAACGATGAATGTCAACATTTCGCATAAATTGCATGTCGACTGCCAAAGCGATTCCAAAGCAGTGGGTTCCCATTAAAACAGGGCCTTTGACGTTGACTGGTTTAGGCCCGCTCACTCTCTGATGGATTGATTGATTGATGGATGGATAGATGGTTGGCTGAATGGCTGGATAGACGGCTAAAGCGAATTTTGCTGCTTCGCTGGCATCGTTTCTCATATTTTTTTTTTGGCTTTGACACGGCCACGCCTTCTAAGCACTGACAACTATCAACAGTTGGCCGCCAAAGTTTTCGCAGCTACCTTATGCTCTTTGCTTGGCTTAACTTTGGTTATATTTTGGCATTTTTATATCTTTTACGCCTGCCAGTGTTTATTTTGCTTTACGACTTTTCACAAATTCCCGCAGTCTTCCTTATTATTTTTTCCCTTTTGCCCCCTTTTTTCGCAGCTATCCCAACCAAATCTTTTCCTGGCGCGTGTCATTTTGTAGCCTACTTCTAGGCTGAGCTCGCATTCCTGCTCCACATTGCGTATACTTAACGTATGCCCGCGAAAACGTTTTATTACCAACGTTGCCTGGCGTGCTAATTTATACGTTAGGACCGGGGGGGCCTTCATTTAATACCTCTAGCGGCCCAGTCACGTCCAAATGGATCATAAAAACACAATTTTAATCACAATTTCTTTTTTTTTACTTTCTCCATGGCATTTTTCGCATAAGCAAATTAGCGAAAACATTTCGATAAATGCAAAGAATTTAGCACATATACGTTTGTGGTCGCACATTTTTATGCGAAATTTGTTCGACACTTGCTTTATTTTATTTAAATTCCCATTTTCATCTAATTAATTTCATAATTACCTAAAAGTGAAATAACCAAAGTTGATATTTAGTTTAATACATTTTTAAATTTCTTACTCGCAGAGGAATTCTTGTTCTCCCACTTGACCTTCCAGGCCGTTTTGGCCAAGAGCCTAGTTCGATGCGCATGTGGTTGCATTGGACTTGACATTTAAACTCCAGCAGCACTGCGTATACGCGATCTTTGACATTTGGCAACTTAAAGTGCTTTAAGCTGCCTCTAAGTCGTTGGCCAGTAACTTTCATTTGATTTTCAACTTCTTGCCGCCGCCCGCAGAAAGTTTCGCTCCCTTCCGAGCGTCCTTTTGTCGTCGAGGGCGCAAAAAGAAGGGGAGGAAAACTTTGGGCACGGAAAAAGTTTTTCAAGCCCTGCAACAATAACAAATGCAGGCAAAGTTTAGATAGACTTCCCTCCCTTCGCGGCTCCACCTGCCGCAGCATGCAATTAAAATTATGTGCCCCAAATGCAAAAGAGTTGTTTGCTGCTGCAGCCTCGAAATCATTTCGTAATGCACTTGGCTCCAGGCTTTATGCCAGTTGCGGTAATTTAATCGGAAGGCAAATTCAATTCGAAGGCAAAAGTTTCTGAATAAATGATGGCTGTCCGGGAGTATCGAGTGAATTGGGAGCATTTCCATTTGCCACTTACAATGACAGTTATTTAATTCCACCAGGAAGCCGCTGCCGCTGCTTAACCTTATCCCTTTTCGCCTGCTCCCTGCCGACGAGTATCAAGCGATTTAAGCTGCACTCAATCGATTTTATATCCCGACCCTTACATGCGATGCATTTTAATTAAGAAGGTAGCCTCTGTGTCCGCAGGCGGACTGTTACAGACGCCAGCCTACAACGTGCACCTTTTTATCAAGGTCCTGTCGCCTTGACATGCCACGCCCACCGCCCACTGTCCCCGCTCTCTGCAGTTTGCAATTTTAAACCCAAATTGAATTACTTCTCTATCGCCGGCATCATTGGCGGTCGGCTGGTTGGGCCTTCTACCCGAATTTCCCCCGTGGGCTGCAAAGGCTGCCTGACAACCCGCATATTGATCGAGCTTTAAGAACGCCGCCTTCCTAGCTGACGAAGAACAGGTGAAAAATAAGACAAGGATGTTGAGCCAACAGTGTTAATTGGTCTGGGAAACTCAATGAATTTCACACTTGGCTTAGATGGGCTTAGACAAAGCAAATAGTACCAGTCCTTAAAGCGATTGAAATGTTTATAATATTCGAAATCAATTTTTTAAACAACTAAGTAAATATTTTTAATGTTGTTGTATAGCTCGTTTATCTGGTCTTTATGCAGTATATCTACATAGTTTATCATTTCATTTGTATTTTTAATTGCTTGAATTAATTTGAAAATACTTCTAAGAATACAAAAATAATTAGAGTTTAATTCAGCTTCTCAAAAAACACAGAGAATTTTATTATATTGCGAAATTCTTTCGTCTAAAAATACCTGACACAGGTTAAGAGAAATAACTTTTCAATTTAAGCACTTAATTTCGCACAAAGCAATTAGCTCTGCATTCCGCCAAATTAATTGTAATCAGTCATAAAAGTAACAAGCCAACCATTTTGAGTGAGAAAATCTAATTAAATACTCAGCATGAAAATACTGAACAAAATATGAATACTATTTGATTACAGCACAACGAGGTGTTTAAGAGACGCAAATGATTTATTTGATTATTCTCCCCAAAAACCACCCTCTCTTTTGAAATTTAATTAATTGACAAATATTTGTGTAAAGGCGGCAACTGGCTGGACGAGAGCTGGCCGCAAATTAAACAATAACACAACGGGCACTTCAATCGAAATTTATTTGATAAAATATTGTTTTCCCCACCGATGCTGCATGGTTTTTCAATTAAAGTCGAAATCAGACTGTGCTGAAACTAAAAACAGAGCCAAGACCGAAGCAGACCCAACCTCTGTCCAGCGGTTGGCCATGTGCCGTGCTCCTGACAGCTGCCGCCCGAGGGGAATCAGGATCAGGGAGAGTGTCCTGCTAGAGCTGCGAGGCAACAATGCAGGCGTGAACATAAATTTCAAGCTTCACTGAGCCACCCAGAGCCCTTCGGTTGGTCCACCCCGCAATCTCCGCCCTTCGGCCGGGGCTAAAAGTGCCAAAGTTTATTATTAAATTATGTTGGCAAATAAAACTGTTGAACGTAAAATCAATTTTAGGAACATCTCTCTGCTTCTGGCCCACTGAGAAGTGTCCTTTGTCTCGGGGTTTTCCCTCTCTCTCTCTCTCTCTCTCTCTCTCTCTCTATCTATCTCTTTCCTCCTTTCAACACAGCCTTCTCTTTCGCTGCCTGTGACCGAATGAACCCAACTAATCAAATTAAGCTTATTTTTAAAAAATTCAACTTGCCCAAAAAACAATTCTTCTTCCCGGGAAACCCTTTTCGATGCTGGTAATCGAATATACCCCACTCATCGAACTCGTTAATGGCTCTCAACTCGCTGGCCGAGACCGCAAATAGCCGCTGGATGCCCGAAAATCGATTCCCGATATATAGCGATATATATATACCGAGCGAGAGACCCCGCACATGCGAAAGGATATTTCGAAGACCTGAAATAGCCCAAGTTCCGTTTAGCAGCTGAAAACTGAAATACTCACATTGAATAGGCAAATTCCCAGGTCAGGGCGGCCGGAAGGAGACAGAGGATAGGGCGGATAGGGAGAGCGAAAGAGAGGCTGACAGCTTTCTTTATAGAATTACTTCTGGCGCAATAACTTTTCCAACTGAACGAGCCGTTGATGGAGCACACTCGCTCTCTGCGCCCGCTTTTCCCACCGCTTTTCCTCCCTCCTTTCCCTCCCGCCCGCCTTTCATCCTCTTTCATTCCATTCATTGATTTGCCTTTTGCCTTGGCCAACTAGTGCAGGACGTGCAGGACATGCGACGTCGCCCAGAGAGGCAGACATGGGCCACTTCCTCTTAGCCCAGTCTCCTTAACACTCCAGCGCCCGAGAGTCCGGACAAAAATAGTTTGCGGTGAACTCTCTTCTATGCCTGGTAAGCTAACCCACTAACACATAATATTATTTATTAAACTGTTTGCCCCCCCCTCCCGATTTGGCAAAATCTCAATTTTTAATTTGACCCTCCGGCAGCCTAGTGGCCGTAAATAACAGCAGGACAATTAAGGTTTGTGGGCAAATTAACTTTTAGCTTCAGCTTTATACAATTTTTCTCAACAATCTTATTTCAATCTACTTCAGTCTTTAAACAAAATAAACAATTTCAATATTTTACAATCAGGATTTGAATACCACGCAGTACATACATTTTCGTATATTTTATTAAATATGCTTTTTAAGCTCCTTAAAACATTGTTAACGAAAAACAATCCAAAAGCAACAAGGCATTTCATTTTGAAAAATTAAATCTCTAATCCGCTATTTGCCGAACAAATTAGTTTACCGTTTTGCACGGCGATCTCTAGCAATTAGTTTGCTTTATGCATTAGTGATTTGCAAAACTAAATGCTTTTAAATTGAAAAACTTTTGTTCGAGCATTTGTAAAAACGATGTAAAAAAGTTTGCAAACGGTTTGGAAAACTGTTCACTTTATTTATTAAGATGTTTATTCAAGCAATTAAAAAGATAAAATAAAATCATATATCATAGGCAGAGCAAATTTGTCGGCTACAAAATGTTTATTTGCAAATAAATCATGGGCTAAGAAATGGTATTTCTGTTTAGCAAATATTAAATGACAAGCTACATAATTCAGAATATAATTAACCAGAAGGAAAAATTAAATATTGCAATGAAAAGTGTAACTTTTAATTTTAATTCAATCAACGTTTTTTAGTTATTAATTTAATTCATTTTAATGGGAGTCAAAATATAGAGAAAATAATTACTTACCTTCGATTAAACCCTTCGATTTCTTGGAATGTTTCCTAGGATCACCTAGGTGTTAAGTGTAAGTCACCTGAACTGGGGATTAAGGCTCCTGTTGCCTGTTGTCCTTGCTGTTTCCTTTGCCGCTGGTGTTGCAGCTGCTCCTTTTCCCAATGCTACTAAGTGGCCGTGCGGCTAACCAATCACTCGAGTGTCCTGCTCTAGGAATTCTCTGGCCCAGTGAGGAAGTGAGGAAAAGACACGAGCAAACAAATGGCGGCAAGTCCGCATCTGGCTGTTGACTCCCCAATTGGCCCGGATACTCCGACGATGATGTCGATGCCGCCGGGCCACTCAGCAATGATTAATTACACTTAATTGTAATTTATGCGGCTCTGGAGCAGCGCCCATTCTTCTCCATTAGTCGAAGGACTCTCAGGGAATCAACTTTATTGAAATCTAGGCCTCTGGGCTCCTACACCCATCAGTCTCCCGTTCCCGGCAAATGTCCTTTTGTTTCACTAATTGGCCATTAAGCTGCCAAGATTTTTAAAGCATTTAACGTTGACTTTCGTTTTCGCTTTCAATAGCTCGGGCTTAGGCGCAAAGTCCGCTTGACTCTTGTCCGACAAATTGGCGGAGCTCCGGCGGATGTTGGCCTCCTGCTGTTGGTCAGTGGAGTGGCCATCAGACTACGGCTCCGCCCGATATAAATCAAGCCGTTTCTTTGACTTTTCTTGGGGCTGTTTGCCAGCGAAAGCACCGCTCATTAATCAGGCCGACCGCAGTCAATGGGAAATGTTTACTTGATGGCAGCTTGTTGCAGTTCAACTATATCAGAGTTCATTTATTTTCAGTAATGATGTTGAGATACCACTTGTTCATCCCTGGGCTCAGAGGTCAGGTACACAATTTTCTTTAGTTTTTTCAACAAGTCAATTCTGGGTGTACAGTTTGGGGGTAAAAGCACGTTCTTAATTTAAGGTATTACAAAGTTTATTTTATTAAGCCATCAAATAACTTCGCTTAGCTTTTTCGTATTTTTATTACAAATGAACAAAACAGAATATATAAATTTTTTATTATTGGCCAACAAATAAATCAACTTATAGTTTTTACTATAACAAAAGAATCATAAAATAATTTCCCCCAAATGATGAGCTTTCCAAGAACAAAATGAATTGAAACTGAGCCCAGCGGCTGTCCCTGAATCAATTATTATTAACGAAAAGTTTGCTTTGAAGCTTTCATTGGACCGTGTCCCTTTCAATTCAGTTGCCTAATTATATCAATTCGGTGCAACAGTGAAGTGGCCAAAAGTGTAAGCGAAGTTTTTGTGGACTTTTTCGGGAAAACGAAGCACTCGACTGTAATTCGAGCATTTTTCCGGGCATAAAAATTACGAGGCTCCGCACTTTTTACGAGCAGCGTCAGCGGCGAACTGCTGACATAGATTTTGCACAAATATTTCGCACTACTTCTCATTTTACGACGGCACGCAATAAAAAGTGAAAAGCTGAAAGGCTTTTCTTCCCACCCTCTTTAGCGTTCGCCTTTTGTTTGCTTAATATTTCTGCCGTCCTGTTCTTTTTTCGAATTTTTCCCGGATTTTTTTTATTGTTTTTCCGCTGATTCTGTTGTTGCAGCGAAAATAAAAAGCGGAGCAGTGCAAACAATGCTACGGAGTGATTGCCGTGAAAAATGCTGCGATTTTGAGACCGACACGCCTACCAGCTGCCAACCCGCCCATCCATCAGGCCATCCAACCATCCATCCATCCAACCAACCATCCATCCAACCATTCATCCGTGTTTACTTGCAGCCATTTCAACACTTTTGTTTGCATGCTTAAATAAATTCAGGCGTAGTACCTACATTTTTTTTTATAGGAAAAACTGGTAGCTATTCAGTTGCTCGCATGAATAAACTGCGAAAATCAAAGATAAATCTTTGTGCTTAGTATTTAAGTGACCGCAAATGTACTATCAAGTGTTATTTCATAACTGGACTCATGATTTAAATTCAAACGTTTCAACTTCTTGACTTTACAGACCAGTGAGGCATTCGAAAAATTGCAATGACGATAAGTGTCCTAGCCAAGAGTGGCATCAACAAATTATCTAATCGACCCTTTTACCATACTTTGAATCCTCCACCTGCCTCTTTGCCCTTTTCTTCCGGGTCAGCAAAGTGAATTGCAGTCACTGGGTCCTCCGCTTCTAGTGCAACTGACAGCTGGCTTAGCAGCATTAAGTGCCGAAACTATAGAGAGTCCTGCGAAAATTCCCACCCACAAAGAATACTGCATTGACTGGTAGCAACAATTTTTTGATGGAAATAAAACTTTGCCTCTGGCACTGCATAGATAACATGAAATTGTCAAATGTCAAGTCTTGACATGTTCGAATAGGAAATCAGCACACTAAAAAATTGCAGTCGAGTAATAGAGTAGCCAGCTTCATGAGAAAACAAAAACTGTAACCAATTTTGTAGTCATTTTTTAGACCAAACATTTAAAAAGGAAACACAACTAAAAGTGAAGATACATTTTATTCTTTTAATATAAAACAAACATATTGACAAGCAAAAACAAAAGAACTCCATTAAATAAAAAATGTTCTAAAGTTAATTAAGTGACTCATCTTCAACCATTGATCATTATTAAACTGCTACTTTTTACCTTTAAGTTCTCAAATCGATCAAAGCATAATAATTTTTTTGGTGAGATTTATGAAAGATTTATGGAATGTTGTCTACTTGCTAAGCTTTAAATTTAATTTTTGAAAAACAACAGTTCTTAGGAATAAACATACAAGAGGAAGCTGTCTGCATTTCTTAAAACTCTAATTAAACAGTTGTTATTTTTGTTGAGTGGCGAGTTTGCTGAAGCTAGTTTAATGGCCATACAATTGACACAAAAGTTTTCACATTCTCTCAACTGAGCCGGTTTGAGCCGCCCTGAGCTGCGTCGAGTTGGTCGGGAGGCAATGCCGGTGCATTAGTGGCCAAATCCCGCCCTCAGGGACCACGGCTGAGCTGCATTTTCGCTTCAAAAGTTGGGCAAAACTGCAGTTTTATAACAGGCCCGGCAGTGCTTGCTTGTGGAAATTGTCCATGGGCAGGCACAAACCGACGAACCACCAACGCCTCTGTGGTGGGTGAACCACAGTTTAGCGTCCCTCGAACATATCAGAAAAGTTTTGAATTATTAATTGCTTAACGTCGAGGGCTATTCGCCCCAACATCAGCCACATATCACGCACACTCAGACACATGGACACGCATACACACTCAGCCATGGGAATTCTGTACCTACTACATATATGCTTTACTATTTTGTACCTTAAGGTGATTGCGTTGTGTAAACTCTACCCTTTAGTGTTTAAGGACGAGTAATCTTGAAATCAAATTATGTAAATAAATATCAGAAAAGGGGTACGAGTAAGTACCCCGAGAATATATATATTGTATTACCATATAAGCAACAAGATGATGAAGCGGAAGCGGAAACAGAAACTACCAAGTTTTTAGTCGTAAGCCAAATGGCAAAGTCATGTATCGACAACACAAAACACTGTTACTGTATGTAAGGCTCTTTTGTACCTCTTGCTCTCCCACTTTCGAATTTACTAAGAAACCCTTGAAAGCGCTAAGTGAAACTTAAACGTTTGTCTAGCTTTAAGTGTAGAAAATTAAATTAAATTAATTTAAATTATTGTAATTGCGCAGATGCATGAATAAATAGCGAATCGAAGTGGTCGGTGGATCATTAGCCACATTTCAACAATTATGCTGAAAGCATTTAATAGTCTAAACATGAACTACATAATCCGCATAGAGACAAATTAACTTGTAAATTATTGAATCTCAAACAGCATAAGTCAAGCAAATCCGTAGTGGCAAAAAAATATTGTTCATTGTTGCTGTCTAATACGCCTAGAATGGATAAATAAACTATGCATTAAAACAATATCAGTAACTAGTTAAATGTGTGTGCGTTTGTCATTGCATATGTAGCCAAGAGTCCCCAGATTAAATCGTTAGCTGTAAATGTTTTTGTGTATATCTGTATATGTCTCTGTATATGCTTAGATCAATAAACCCCGATGTATTCACCTCTGACCCTAAGTTGACACCCCTTCCCTTCAGCATAGTTTCTGTATTCTGTATAAATTGAAAATCTCTCAACTAAGTTTACTCAAAAGGAAAACTACTAAAGCAAAGTGAGAAATACTTAAATAAATACTGAAGCATATTGATAAGCAGAGGCATGTGTTTGGCTTTCAGTTAATTGCATTTTCAGCAGAAAATTCAGCTCAGATTGCTTTCGATTGCAGAAAAGGCTTTATTATTGGCAGACTGCAAAAACGTATTAAGCCGAGCAGAGTTTCATCAGAATTTTATTCAATTATTGTGCTGGCAAAAGCATCGAAAAGTGCACAGGTAAGTGTTAGTTTTTTTTCCAATATTGTATTTGTACCAAATACACCGGCATGTCACTGCCGATTGTCTCAATTTTGTGAGTCTGGGAGTGGATGGGTGGGGCTAGTGGGAAAAAAGTGTTGGCCTTGCTGGGTTCGCATGTGCCAGGAATTTCGAGTTCATTAAAAAGTACGCCGGAATTCGATTCAATGCACAGAACCGCAAACGAATATTTGTCTGGTGTTTTGTCCGCCTGAACTGCTCTAAGGATGCTTGGAATGGCAAACAGTAAGGAATAGCACTCGCACAGAAAATTTTAGGGTGGAGCTTAAAGTACCTATACGAGTAAAAAAACAATATATTAAATACAACAATGGCTGATAGATATTTTAATTTTGATCATGCATACTCAGTGATGAATGAACTTTTGCCAACATTTGACGTCAACAAAGAGCTTTATTTTTATTCAATTTCCAATTTCTTTTTTACCTGGCTTCAGAGGACTTAATTCAAAAATAGTATTGAATTGTCACACATGTCGGATAAAATGCTTTTTGGTCCATAAAGTTTTGGCCTAAAAAATTTTTAAATACTAACTTAATTGTTCCTTATTTGAAAGGTCCACCTATTTAAGCCCCAAAACACACACATTCTGAACTTGGTTGAGTGAAGTTTTAATTTCCGCTTTGCGGTGCGAGTTGCAACTCCGAAGCCAACGCCAAGAAGTCCGCTCCTCGTATTCTCGACTTTCTGATATTATTATCGCACTTTGTTCGTGTAATATGCAATATTATAACAGACAGCGGATGTAATTTAACTTAATGCTGCAAAAAAAGCTTCCCTAACAATGGAATCCTTCTGGAAGCAGGACTAAGCCCAGCAGCAGCAAAATGAACTTAAAAAATCGAATAAATATTCAATTATTTACTTGACTGGGAGTTTCTTTGGGTTTAAGAATTTTGCAGAGAATATAAAAGGGACACAAACACGCGAAGAAGTTAATATTGAAATTTTCCCGAGCATAATGCGGGCTACAGCCATTTACATGTACGTTTATATAAATGATATTGAAGCATCTGGCTGAGGGCAAATAAAAAATAGATGAACTCACTTTTCCTTTATGAGCACACACATGTGCCTCGAGCTGCAGGGGGGTTGATATGGGGGCAGAAGGACCAGCCAAAAAACTCAAAGCAGCCAGAACATTAAAATGAGCAAAATGTGTAATAAAAATCCAACCTGATCCCGGGCCAAATATTTGCTTATCTACAAAAGCCAGAAAAATACCCCAAATTGAAGTCACATTCTAGTCCAGTAGAGCGAAGCTTGACAGAAGACAGAAAAGAAACGGTTTTACCATGGCCATTTTAAAGGTCAAAAATATACTTTAAAGCTGTTTGGTCATCAAACAAGCCTTAAATGAAGGAATTGACTGGAGGCTTAGGGGCATGCTTGGTTGATGCAGTTTAAAGTACTGATGTCGGAGGTAATGAAAAATGGAAAACTAAGGTGTGTTCAACTTAATAAAAGTTCAAGGGGTGATTTTAAAAAGGTAATGTTAGTAGTTTAGTAATTTTATTAGCCTAATTCATTCATTTGTTTGTCTTTAAGCTTACAACCTTGAAAAGTTTTCTGATGTTTTTAAGAGTAATTTTTTATTTCAGCTTTGACCTTTTTTCTGCCTATTGTTAACCTTTATAATAATGAAAAACTATCGACTAGAATTTGCTTGAATTGTGTAGTCCTTCTGCTTTCTCGTCTCAATCTCCAGAGCATCTCGGCAAGGGTCGCAGCAGCTGGTATTAGCCTGCGATTTTCCGATGACAAATACTATGTCCTTGGGGCTGATGTTCCTATTTAAGTTGGGACAGGTTTCACCATCCCTGGCAAAAAGCGATTTTAGTAAATAATTATTATCGAGCGCAAACCCTGCTCACCTGGCATAATCGCCACACTTAATGAACAGCTTGCACAGAAACTCCAGGGCTCCAACCTCCTTTACTCCCTTTTTCAGGGGGCAAGTGCTTGTGTAGGAGAACGCCTTCATGTCCAGCTTAATCCTGCCAGTTAATCTTTTTGGCAGTTGCGCCTCGCCTAAACCCACCAATTGATCATCGTACTGAACCTCAAATCTCAGGCCACTTTCTTCGGCTTTTTGGGCCAGAGTCGGTGGGTCCGCCTGGAAGGCCAGGCTGGCATTTGGCTTGAACTCGCTTATGTCGGTCCGGCTGGCTGTAAGGCTAAGCTTCTTGTCCCCAAAGGAAACTTTCACCAGCAGTTTTCTAGGATCTGCCAGTACCACGCCCTTTACCTCCAGTCTTGTTATGATAATGTCGAAAGAGAAGACGGGCACACTCCTATCGAATACTGGTTCAGGCGGGAGTGCTGGCTCTACATTTGTAGGTTCTAAACCACTTTTCTTGGCCTTCTTGCCTTTCTTGTCCTTCTTGCCTTTTTTGCCCATCTTGTACGACTTTCAATAAGCCAGATTAACAAGTGAGCTAATAGCAACTATGCTCTGGTCACGAGCTTTGATTGCAGGTATAAATTTAAATTCTCTCTGGCTACATAATAATTTAAAACAATTACATTGAACAAATAAACGAAAATAGAGAATGGCGAAACTAAAAGCTACTCCTACTTTGCTTTAAGAAAATTCACGGTTATTTTCTTCTTAAAAACAGCATTTTAATAACAAGCTTATTTTCACAATTGTGTTCGGTATATTTAGTCATTAAATTTGCTAGCAAGAGCTTCAGTTGGGGAAAGTAACTAACTGAAAGCTGCTGTAAGAAAAATATTTCTACGTACTTTAATGAATTCAACCTTGCAGTGAAAATATTTAATGCTTTGAACAACCCAAAAGCCTTAAATCAAATACGATTTAACACTGAAGACCCCAGAGAACGAGCTTTGTTCCGGATGTGGAATTGTCAGATTTATTGGCCAACCAAGCTCCCCATTTCTTTGGATGCCGCTGCTCCGTTTGTGAATGATTCGCCAGCATATTTTAGGAGCGTTTAATGGAAGCGCTCATTTGTCTGCCAGCAGGAGCAGTGGCAGCCGCATCAGCAAATGCTCCTGGCAAGTGTCAGTGGGTCGGATGCAGCCAAAACCGCCAACGGGGTGGGTGCCTTGTACTTGTGGCGTATACGTAACGTGCGAAAACCAAGAGTGCTCGTTGAAGCAAAACAAGAGCCAAAAACCATGCACATTCTCTCTAACCAATTACTTGTGGGAATGCGGATGCTAGCAGAGAATCGGAATTAGTTTTCACAGGTCTGCTGCTTCTGCTGCTGTTGAAAACATCTTTTGTTTTATGGTTTATCCAAAAGGATTTATTAAGCTCTACTTATGTGCCACTTCACCCAGCCAGATGTTGAGGGTTATGGTCAACATATTCGCATTTGGTCGCTCTAATTGGTGGCATTTTCTGGCTTGCAAAGTGCTATGCATTTATTTTGAGGCCAGACATTAATTTGGCAAAACAATTAATATGCAACAGGACGAATCGTCCACAGAATAAATATGCAAATAAATGTGGCCAAAATGGGTCAGCTTTAGTTATTTTGATCGTTCATCAAAACCGATCCAGCACATAAATTATGCAATCTAAGAAAGGCATTTCGACGGGACCCAACCAATGACAATTGCTAGTGAAATTGTTTTGCAATTGCTTTACTCGACAAAATGGCCAACTAATTAACAAGTCATTAATGCCACGTTTCGGCCAGAGGAGCCAATTTAGCCACACGACAATGTTGCCTATTCCTCGCCGCTCGATGTTCTCACGTTTTGTGGGCGAAAATATTTGTGCACGCTTGGACCAAAATGTTTTGCCACCACACCAACTAAATACTCTAATGAAACATGAAAAAACTAATGATTTCAATTCTCTAATTCCTATTTAATTTGCTATGTTTGGTAGGATGCTCAACATATATTTTAAGTGCTTACATTATTTGTTCCTAGAGTTATTTTCTACAATTAATTATTCCTTCTCTTCATTTCACAATTATTTCCAATAAATTTGAGGTTCTTAAGTGCCACAACTACTTAAGCCGGTTAAGAGTAATATCTAATTGAAAACTGTAAGCAATTAAGTTAAATAATTTTGGCTCAATAATGTGAAAGATTATGTAATGTTTTCGCGGTAGACTAACTGATAATATTTTTTATTTTCCATACTAATAAACACATTCTAGTCAAGCATGCGGTAACTTAAGGCTTAAGACCTCACCCATGGACTTTTTGTTGGGGGTAGAGTAAGTTTGGTTATATACTGGTGTTGTATAATTTATGCACGAGTGGCTTCCACTTGGCCAGCAAAAACTCACTCAGCAAGACCGAAAAACAGCACCGAATTTCACCGGCCACGGGGACCCAATTTGTTATTGTTTGGTATTGGCGTGGACAACCACCTCACTTTTCCTGTCCCAGTGAACCCACTGAACATTTGGCTGCACCAATTTGTATCCAATTAAATCGGCTTAGTTAGTCAGGCGGGCTTCTCGCTAAAACATTTCCATTTTGCGGTTCAGAATTTTTCGACAAATTCTCCAATGTTTGGCACAAATTCGTTTTCAAACTAGTTTTTGTTTTGGGGGATGAAGTTGCCTGAGCCAGCAAGGATAACCGATATGCGTCAACCTAATGCGCGAAATTTAATTAAAATTGAACTTAATTTAGATAAGCATGTGAGCTGATTTGACAAATGGCGGGCCACCTCTGGGGGCGTGTAAGATTTCCCAGGAATCGCGTGCTAAGCGGCTTACGGAAGGTGTAGCGATAAATAAGTAAGGGACTTTCCACGGGAGCAAGGGAACCGTGGGGTATTGGCAACAGGCGAAAATGGAACTGGGGAGTGGCCGGGGTAATTAGAAATCCATTTGGCTCCCTTTCGCTGGTCGAAGTCCTACAGGGCCCGTTGGACAGACTGGCGGTCACTGGAGCTCACAGCTGGACAAACTTCACGACCAGCTGTTCCCAGAGGTCTTTCAGCACTAACGATTTGGTTGGTTGGTATTTAATCTCTTCCAGCTTAACACAAGAATTAGATAACATACGCTAAAGGAACAAAATAATATAAAAATAATCAATGTTAAATTAAAACAAATTGTAAATGGTATAAATAGTCAATTAATATTAAATACTTGTCTAAAAACATATGTATATATGAAACAAAATATATTTTCAGTTGCTTTTTATATTTTAGGACATTTGGATGCAAAGACAATACCTTTGGTTTTGATGTCATATATACAACTGAAAGCTTATTAAATTCATCAAGCCAGTGCGTTTTTATCATTCTAACAATCCACACAAAATTTACACTTTTACACAAAATTACCTTTTACCTTTTGTGTAGCTAACTTTTATACGGAAGAAGTGCTATTTAGTATTTACACTTCAAAATGGAAGTTGGCCAAGATTTGGAGGACATTGTCTTTTTATTCGATATGGTGGTCACAAGACTGGAGCTGTACAAACCAGTAGAGGAACCCGAAAAATGCGAAGTTCTAGTTAAGTTTGCAGGAAACAATGTGAAGTTGACGCCCAGCCGTGTAAATGTCAGCGACTTTGTGGGCAACAGGAAGACGGAGTTCATCTCCAGTCCCTCCCAGCTGCGAAATACCCTGGAAAACCAGGGAGTGCAGATGAACGCTCGCTACGAAGGCTCTTCTTTGGGCAGTAATGTGATGCTCTTCCCCGACACCTTTATCGATAAAATATCTGCCACCATGAGCGATCTCTTTTACGAGGACACGATCCTACTGATGCGTCGAACTGACTGCATCGGCACTTTAAGCATACTTCTATCACTAATTGTCAAGTGCACGGATCTAGATATTCCTCGGGAACCGCGCAGATCGAGCTCGCGAAGGTCTTCACGAAAATCGTCTACACTCGTGATCGTTCCCAAAAAAGTGGAGCAAAATGTCGAATGCCAGGGCCTGGGACCAACATTCAATGCCCACGATGTGCTGTTTGTCGTGGGCAATCCCGATCCTCTGCTGAAAATTCCATCGGAGCCGTGTCCTGAGCTTCCTCCAGGGGAAGGCGATGAGCGGCTGGACTTGGACTTGCAGCGCTATAGGAGTCTTCAGAATCGTCGCGTGATCTTTCCGGATGACGACTCCTGTCCCAAGGAGAAGCCCTCTCTGGTCCAGCTCAAAAATCTCACCGATGAGTTCTCAAAGATCATTGGCTTAGTCACGGATAAAGTGAAGCGGTTGGAAGTGCCTACTAGCTCGGTGGTCGATACAGAGCCACCTTCGGAAAGAACCGCTGCAACTCCAAGCACATATAAGGAAATACCCGAAGAACAATGGATACCCGTGCCCCTGAAAGAGGATGCTGAAAGCGATGTAAAGCCCATACGCTTTTGTCCAGTTTGCTTGTATTCCATGTCCTGGCTGCCAAAATATACACCATGCCCACGATGCAATACAAAAGCACGTCCTGTCCGGGAGGGACCGCCAAAGAACATCTTAACAGCCGATGAAATCGTAGCCGAGCAGCTGTTAAAGCCAAAGCAGCTCAATGAATCCGGCGACTTTTTCAAGAAACCTTGCCAAGAACCGATCCTGCGTATAAAGAAAGTTAAGAAAAAGAAGCAAACTGGATTGGGTGAACCCGTTCCGGATTCCCACTCGGATGAGGAATGCCCTCCGTGCCGCTGTACTTGCACAGTGGGTAAGATTTGCACCCACTGTCGCGTTCGCAAATTGTGCGAGGACATCTTCGAAGGTGAAAAGGAAATGGAGCCAGAGCGGCACAAGCGCGTGGAAGTGCCGCAACCTTGTTTCGACGATGACTTTTGCGTGATCGCCGAACCCATCGATGATCGACCCTACCTGTCGAGAGTTTTCAGCGAACTCAAGAGTCTGTATAGCCTGCACGACGCCAAGAAGCTGCTGGCTATCAAAAAACGCTGCGAGTCCCAGACACTGCTTCCATTTCGCGAAGCAAGATCCTCCATGTCCTTTAATCTTTCCCGTGGTGTATTCAATCCGCACATTCCCGGAACGTTCGGTCGCCAAACAGCTGGTCATAAAAACTGTCTGCCGATGAAGCACTCTGTTCCACGGCGCCATGGCTGGAATTGGCCCCGATCTCAGGAGGCCAGGAAGCAGGGTTGGCGTCCAGGTTCCATCCTTCGCGCCGCTGTCCGGGTGATGCGCTACTTCCTGATGTCCAAGGAAGAACGAAACTTGTGCCAAAAGATTACCGCTGACCATGAGAAGCAGGAACGAAGCGGTCTGCCAGTTCTGAATGTTTGCAAGAAGGACGGAGTGATATTCGTTACTCTTTGTGCCTTAGATACCTTGGACATGAAACAGAAGCCCATCACATTCCGGATCGTGAAGAGCGACCTGGCAGTGGCACTGCGTCAGATTAAGCGCGCTTTAAAGGATCAGGGCTTCAAGAAGTGCACCTGCCACAAGTCCCTGATGCTGTGCACCTGTCGCGATGCCTTGGATAAGTTCCTCCTGAATAAGGCCCTTAAAAAGGAGTGCCAGCGACGCATCATGGAGCCGTGTCCGGAGCACTTGGTGCTCACAGACACCAGTGTTAGTGACCTGGAGTTTGATCTGGATGTGACTCCACCGGCGGGAACTCAGTGGCCAAAGCAGAATGCCCTCCGAAACGTGGTGAACCACGGCACCCAGACGGAGCTCCAAAATAAGATAACGATTCCACCTAGTTATCCACTGCCGGATAGTCCTTACTGGAGGGCCTACGACTGTGCCGCCGGAGATCGGTACATGGGCACAGCCTTCGGCAACAATGTGGAGACCGTGTTTGAGGACGGAATATACGGCTACATGGGCGGAGGTCAGCATGGGAGGGCTCCCGTTTGGCGAGATCCGAGGGTTTGGGGCAGCCGAACGGGCGCACCCATGCCCATTGGAACCGCTCCATCTGCCATAGATCCATATCGGTTCACTAAAACTGTTTGGAAGGGACTTCCAAAAAAGATTGTTAACCAAATGCGCACTAATCGAAAACAATATTAGTTTTAACAATAAATGTTTTTATACCCTTGCAGAGGGTATTATAATTTCAGTCAGAAGTTTGCAACGCAGTGAAGGAGACATCTCCGACCCTATTAAGTATATATATTCTTGATCAGCATCACTAGGCGAGTTGATCTAGCCATGTCTGTCTGTCCGTCCGTTTATATGCAAACTAGTCTCTTAGTTTTGAAGCTATCTGCATGAAACTTTCCCAAAAGTTGTCTTTCTATTGCATGTAGTATATAAGTCGGAACGAGCCGGATCGAACAACTTTAGCATATAGCTCCCATAGGAACAATCAAAAAAATAAATGAAAAAAAATTATAACTTTGCTGTTTCTTAATTTTTTGTTTAGTTCTTCGACATTTAGTAATAGTTAAATATTTCCGATTTACGGTTTAAATTTCATCAAAATCGGACGACTATAGCATACAGCTCCCATAGGAACAATCGGAAAAATAAATGAAAAAAATTATAACTTTGCTGTTTTTTAATTCTTTGCTTAGTTCTTCGACATTTAGTAATGGTTACTTATTTCCGATTTACGGTTTAAATTTCATCAAAGTCGGACGACTATATATATAGCTCCCATAGGAACAATTATAACTTTTCTGTTTTTTAATTTTTTGTTTAGTTCTTCGACATTTAGTAATAATAATAATAATTTCTTGTTATACAGTAATTTTAAAACTTATTTAACACCATCGCTCAACTCTCCCAATTTTAAAATTCCTTTGAGCAACAAGTATTATCCTCCCTTATCCAAACCAATCAAAATAATTGATTTCTATGAGAAGCAGCAGCGTGCCGAAAAAGAGAACCTTAAGACTGTATGAATTTGGTCAAATGCTTAATCATTTTTAAATTTATTAAAATTTGTTTATATTATTAAACATTCATTTTATATCAGAAATTTGGTATGTTGATGTTTGATTCCTGAAGATTTCTTCAGAAATTTAGAAAAATCACAAATTTTACAAAACAATATTTAAACGCAGATTTTAAAGGACTTAAGCCACAAGACTATCAATATATACCACTTCTAAATTGGATGTCTCTGCGAAAAATTAAAACCACAGGTATTTAGTCACTTTTCTGCAAAACCATTTTTCAGAAATTCATAAAAATCACACAAATTCGACCCGCAATTACAAAACAATATTTAAACGGAGATTTTTAGGGGCTAAAGCTACACGACTTATAAGGTATATCACTTAAAAATCGGATGTCTGTAAGAAAAGTTATGAAATTAGAACTGCAGGGTATATCAATAAATATTTGTAAAGTTAGGATAACCGCTTGTAAATAAGTTTACTTTTAAACGGCAATGAGTTAAATGCCAGTTGGTGAACTTTGTTCATAACACTTTCATTACTCTTATTGTTTACACTACACATTTTTTGTTTCCAATTTGCCCTGTTGTTTTAGTTACCGATATAATTTAGATGTTAGTTACCACGAGAATACTCGACTAGAGTGGTGAAATTCTGAAGTACCTTTACAAAACAATTGCAAAATGGATGAAAAGGTAAACTTTCTGTTTGACTTGGTTATTATCCATCTGGATATTTTCGGCGTAAAGTTAGAGGAGCCCGAAAACGTCGTGGTTAACGCAAAGTTTGCCGGATTGTCTAAGAAAGTAACCTCAAGTCGGATTAATGTCAGCCAATTTGTGGCCAACAGGGAATTGGAGTTCGCTACGGAACCTTCGACGGTGCGTAACGGTCTGGAGGAGAAGGGAATGTCGCTGGCGGCCATGTACCAGGGTGCAACTTTGGGCACCGGAAATGTGATCTTTAGCCTGGAGTTCCTCGACAAGATCAGCCCCACCATGAACGATTTGCTGCATGAGGAAACCATTGATCTGATACGCCGAGCTGACACTGTGGGCACTCTGACCTTTCTTCTCCGCCTGACCCTGAAGTGCGATGATTCTACGATGGCTCATCCCCTAAAAGGAAGTGTTTCCCGTACCAGTAAATTGTCAGTAATAGTTGCAAGGACGGAGAAGACCAGCCGCGTCAGGTGCTCCAGCCAGGGGCCCACTATCAATCCCCAGGACGTGATGTTCCTCTTCGGCGATCCCGATCCTTTGCTGCAGATTCCCTCGGACCCTTGCTCAGAACTTCCCCCGCAGGAGGGGGATGAGCGACTGGACTTGGACTTGCAGCGCTACTCGAGCTTGAAGAATCGCCGCGTTGGATTCCCCGATGATGATCCCTGCCCCAAGGAGAAGCCTTCCTTCAGCCAGCTAAAGAAACTCACCCAGGAGTACTCGAAAATCATTGACTCGGTGGCCGAAAAGGTTAGAATGTTGGATTTGCCCACTATTTCGGCGGTTGCCACAGAGCCACCTACCGACGCCAGTGCAGCGACTCCAAGGTCTCCAGTCCCTCCTCCATTGGAACGCAGTATTCCAGTTCCGGTTGGAACCGACCTGATCCACGGCATTAAGCCCATACGCTTTTGTCCTGTTTGCTTGTATTCCATGTCCTGGCTGCCGAAATACACACCCTGCCCTCAATGCAACACGAAAGCAATGCCTGTTTTGCAAGGACACCCTTGTAATTGTATTACGGCTGATGACATTATGGCCGAGCAGCTGGTGAGACCGCAAGCACCACCCGGAGCCGAGGACTTCTGTGAGCAACCCTGCGGAAGGATTCGCCGGAAGACCGACACCGAGTGTCCACCGTGCCGTTGCACCTGCACCCAGGGCAAGATTTGCGCCCACTGTCGAATCCGCAAGCTGTGCGAAGATATTTATGAGGGCAATAACCAACCGGAACCAGCTCGTAAAAAACCAGAACCGCGTTCCAGTGAGGACTTCTGCTTGATTGTGGAGGACGAGGAAGACGATCTTCCCTTTCTATCCAAGGTTTTCACCGAGCTAAAGGATCTCTACCATCTGCACGACTCCAAGAAGCTTTCAGCCATCAAGGAGCGTTGCGAGGCCAAGTCGCTGTTGACTCTGCCTAGCAAGCGGTCCATCAAGGAGCTGACTGATTCCCTGTACCAAGCAGACAAGGTCCTCGGCGGGGTGAGCCATCAGCCGAAGGCGGGCCACAAAAGCTGTCTGCCTCCTTCGAGTTTTGTGTCCCGCCGGCATGGTTGGAACTGGGCCACGAGCTGTGAGGCCCGGAGAAATGGCTGGCGGCCAGGAGCCATCCTGCGAGCTGCCAGTCAGGTGATGCGCTTCTTCCTGATGCCCAAGGAGGACCGCAACTTGTGCCAAAAGATCTCCGCTGACCATGAGAAGCATGAGCGGAGCGGTCTGCCAGTTCTGAATGTTTGCAAGAAGGACGGAGTGATATTCGTCACCCTTCGTCCACTGGTCACCTTGGGCATGAAACAGAAGCCCATCACATTCCGCATCGTGAAGAGCGACCTGGCAGTGGCACTGCGTCAGATTAAACGCGCTCTCAAGGATCAGGGCTTCGAGAAGTGCACCTGCCACAAGTCCCTGATGCTGTGCACCTGTCGCGATGCCTTGGATAAGTTTCTCCTGAACAAGGCCCTTAAAAAGGAGTGCCAGCGACGCATCATGGAACCGTGTCCGGAGCACTTGGTGCTCACAGACACCAGTGTCAGTGATCTGGAGTTTGATCTGGATGTGACTACACCGGCGGGAACTCGGTTTCCAAAAAATAATGCCCTTCGGAACGTGGTGAACCACGGCACTCAGACGGCAAGGAAAAAACCACCGACTCTAGCGCCCATGTATCCAATTCACGACAGTCCCTACTGGAGGGCCTACGACTGTGCCGCCGGAGATCGGTACATGGGCACAGCTTTCGGCAACAATGTGGAGACAGTGTTCGAGGACGGAATATACGGCTACCGGGGCGGGGGTCAGCATGGAGAAGCCCCCGTTTGGCGAAATCCGAAAGTATGGGGCAAGAACGCCGGGGCACCACTGCGCATTGGAGCTGCCCGCACTGCTATGGATCCATATCGATTCACAAGAACTGTGTGGAAAGGAATACCGCGGAAGATAATACGCAAAATTCGGGCGAGATCAAAACACTAAATATATTTTTATTAAAATCTAATTCTATATTTATTTAAAATACTTGGTGCTAGGCAAGTTTGTAATACTTATTTAAACTTCCTTTTATGCGCAAATTTTTTAGTTATAATAACACCTTATTCAAATAACATTAAAAGTATCGAGTGAGTGTATTAATGATAGGATGTTAATTCTAAAACAACCTGTTTCTAACAAACAATAATATTGGTGCTAAAACAAAACTCTGCATAATTCAAATATTAAATGTATGCTGACTAAAAATGTAATCAAACAAGTTTTAATATGTCGGATTAATAAATGATGCAAATTATATCAGGAGAAATGGTTTTATATGTGGACAGATATATTAAATAAATGACAGTTAGCTACACTTAGAAAAAACAAGACAAGCATACTTGTTTGAACTCCTTAAATAATTAGTTTTGGGATACTATTCAAGGTAGTAACACAAAAGATATTTTTATGCCATAAACTACGTTTTCTTTTTGTGGTAAGATTGGACCTGCCAAACAGTTTTGCTTTCTTTTTTTGCTAAATCAGATTAGATATTTTCAATACAAACTCTAAAATTAGCCGTTGTTTTAACTTTGAAACTTTAATTACTCAGAAATATTAGGAAGGCCAAACAGCAGGTGCTATAAATATATTTTGTGAATTCTGACTCAAGAAATGTGTTCCGTTTGTAAAATAATGACCCACATGCAAAACAGCACGGAGACCGCTATTTAATAAGCACATCTGTTTGCCACTGCTAAAAAACAAACTAAATTATAAAGAAACAGTTGCTTAATAACAGGTATCTAAGAAAACTATGCGGCTGATGGTATAAAAGAACTTGTTGCCTCTCAGATTGTGTTCAAACTGTTCACAATGCTCGTCCTGGCTAACGTCCAGTGATCTCCCGATCATCCAAGCCAGAAGGCATGACATGGTGGATCCGCAGCAGTCAGTGGCCATGGAGGACACGGTGAGTCTGGACACGGTGGTTCTCATAGAGCTCCTGTTGACCATGGTTCTTCGGGTCACGGTGGGGCTGCATCCCATGGAGGTCCCTCTCAGCACGGCAAGGGCCACTAGTGTAAAATGTTTATTAGCTACCGGATCCATAAGCTGAACTTTATTAATGAGAAAGTGATTTTATGATTTATTATATCCAAGCTTTAAACTTATTTATCTTAGAAAATTTAGAAATAGAAGCCCTAAAATAGGCTTTGAAATTGTTAAACGTTTTACAATTCGAACAATATAAGAACTAATAACAAATAAACAAGAAAGTTATTTGCACAAACAAATGCAAATTATCGCGAGCGACCGGTATTTAACGATCACATTGTTTTTAATTGCTAAATATCACTCCACCTACATCTTAAAATATATGGGGTATAAATTAACAATTGAAGCACCAAAAAGGAGTACAAAAATTGTAAAACAGGTACCAGCAACCCGCTAGAAATTATGGTATAAAAGACCCTGTCGCCCCTCAAAGTGTATCAAAAATTGCAACAATGAACTTCTTTGCTGTGTGCGCCTTCCTCCTGCTCGTCCTGGCTGCTGTCCAGGCAACTCCCGGTCAACTTGGAGGCCATGGTGGACCCGTAGGACACGGACACGGTGGTCCTGTCGGTCATGGAACCGTTGGCCATTCTGGGAATGTGGGCCATGGCGGTTCATTGGGCCATGGTGGATCCGTAGGACACGGACACGGTGGATCTGGAGGCCACAACTCTGGACATGGCCACGGCCACGGCCATTAGGGTGAATCCTTCAAGGACCCTACTCAATGGATAAAGAAGTGTTTAGCTGACACCTTAAACCCATATCACAATAAAAACTTCGTATCTCGAATCCGTGTTTTGATTTTGATTTTTTGGAAACAAGTTTTACATTTAAGGGGGCTCGCCGTAGATTCGGCGCTTTAAGCAGTATTCTTGATCTCAAAGCAAAACAAACACATAAAGTATGCCAATCGAATCAGATAACTGGAAATATTCATTAAAAAATCCGATTAAGAACCGGCTACCAAAGAGCTAACGAAACATGCCCTGGATTTCTGTCAAAAGTGTTTGTGGGACTTATTTCATTTTTGCCTGGTCAGAGTTGGGTTTGTTTTTATATTCAGAACACTGTTTTGCCCATCCATCTCAGTTTTATTGTAAAGTTTAGTATAGTAAGTCCATAAAAAAGTACTTTCAAAAATCCAAAGTAAAAAAATTTAGTATAAGCGGAAATCGAGTTCCGCCACAGCCAAAAGCCCAGACAGGCAGTAAAATCTTGCAGATTACAAGCCATAGGATAAGCTTAAGCCTTCGAGATGGGACCCAAGAAGAAGTCGATGGTAGCTATTGCCGAACCTCCACCAGAGCCGCCAAAAGTGAAGCAAGCCCCGCCGAAGAAGGAACCACTTCCCATTTTCGTATTCGACGTCATTGTCACGAATGTGCAGGCCAACAAAACGGAGTTCACCAATCCAGCCAAGCTGGAAATCACTGCCAACTTTTTTAAGACTTCATTTCCACTCACGCCCAGTCAGATCAATGTCACTGACTTCAAGGCTGGCGCTGGTCTCACCTTCCAAAAGGAGCCGAAGGAGGTCCGCAAGAATGTGAACGACTGCGGCATAGCCTTCACCGTGACGTACAGCAAAAAGGTGATTGGCTCTGGCCAGGCCTCCTTTCCGCCCAGCGTGGTCGCGACAATCGAAAAGGACATGGCCGATATCCTCCACTCGGACGTTATCAGCCTGACGTCCGCCGGAGAGGTGACCGGCAAACTGGAGTTCCTCTGCCGACTGGTCATCATGTGCATCGCTGAGTAAGTGAAGGGAGTATATTAAAAGAATAATTTGCTGGGCTTTCAAATTGGTTTTATTTAAGATCTCTTTACTGCTTTGTCTTATCCAAGCTTTATCCAAATTTGTTTAGTAATTTAATTTATGATGTCTTTAATTTAAATCCCATTTTTTAGCGAACCTGAAACCGTATGCAGTCGCAATATGGATAGGAGTATCAATCCACAGGACATCATGTTCGTGATGGGCGAGTCGCAGGTGTGTCCCAGTGCCTGCGAGCCATGTCGCAATGATTTGGAGGAGGAGGAGGGCGACGAGCGCCTCAAACTGGACCTGGATCGATATCGCAGCCAGGGAGGCGGCATTAAGCCGTACAACATGATGACGGACAACGGTTCGGGCATCCCAGCCTGCTGTGAACTGAAGGTTAGAACTTTTCTAATTATAGTCATTAAATAATGCTTTCCTATCCCATTCAGAAAATGGCCATTGAGTACGAGCAGATGATCGATACGATAACCAGGCGGACGGGTATGCCTCCTCCCAAGCCGCCTTGTCGTGATCCTGACGAGGTGAACAACTTTGGGATGAATCCCTGCTGGTGTCAGCCAGAACCGCCGGCGTTTATGGAGCTGCCAGCGAAGCCGGACAAGCCGTGCTTCGCCTACCTGCCCGCCGTCGAAGATCGGGAGCCGGACTTTTGCGACAAGAACCTCAATCCGGTGCCCATAGCCGACTGCGACGGTCAGCCGCCGGACATCAAGCCCATCCGCTTCTGTCCGGTCTGCCTGACCAACATGTCGTGGCTGCCAAAGTTCGCAGCGTGCCCCAAGTGTGGCATCAAGCCGATGCCCGTGGTGGAGGAGCGGCACAGGGAGAAGAAGCTGTCGGCGGACCAGATCCTGCTCGAGTACCTGGGCAAGGGGCCGGCCACCTTGGACGACTACTGCGTGGATCCCTGCGACAAGGCCAACAGGGAGAAGGACAAGGCCGCCGAGGACGAGGAGTGTCCGCCCTGCCGCTGCACCTGCAAGTTCGGCAAGATGTGTGCCCACTGTCGCATCCGCAAGCTGTGCGCCGACATCTTCAAGAGCGACCAGCCGGGACCCAAGTGCCCCAAGGTGGAGCCCAAGGAGTCCGAGGACTACTGCGTGGTGAACAAGAGCTCCGACGACTGTCGCCCTTACCTGGCCAAGGTCTTCTCGGAGCTGCGCGATCTCTACGACATCAAGGACACCAAGAAGATGTCCGAGCTGGACGAGAACTGTGATCGGGCGGTGCCCAAGGCGGACCGGCCCGCTAAGGCGGAGCCCAAGAAGAACGAGAGCCGGGCGCCACGTAAGGCACCCTATGTACCGCCCAACAACAAGGGCCAGTTCTCCAGCAGACACAGGCAGTGCGTCCTGCAGTCGGGATTCGTCTCACGTCGACATGGCTGGGCCTGGAGCAAGAGCTGGGAGGCCAAGAAGCTGGGCTGGCGTCCGGGGGCCATTCGCAAGCCCATCAAGCGCCTGATGAAGTTCTTCCTGGACCGACCTGCCCAGGAGACGGCCTTCGCCAAGTGCAAGGACACGGAAACGTTGGAGCGGGAAAAGGAGTTGGCCTCGCCAGTGCTCAATATCAGCAAGAAGAATGGGGAGATCTTCATCACCCTGCGACCGCTTACGCCCTTGGGAGTGCGCCAGAAACCCATCACCTTCCGGATTGTGAAGAGCGAACTGGCGGTGGCCCTGCGCGAGATCAAGCGAAAGCTGAAGGACAAGGGCTTCCACAAGTGCACCTGCCACCAGACCCTGATGATGTGCAGCTGTCGGCATCCCGTCGAAAAGGTCCACCTGCAGAGGGCTCTAGACAGGGAGTGCCGGCGGCACTGCATCCCTCCGGCTGGCGACCACCTGGTGCTCACGGACACCAGCGAAAGCGACATGGAGTTCGACTTCGATGTCACCCCGCCGGCGGGAACGGAGCAGCCCTGCCAGCCGCCGCCGCCGGAAACCGTGAACCATGGCACCCAAACCTCCAAGAGGGACCAGATGCCCCTGCCGCCGGAGTATCCCATCCGGGTGCCACCTTACTACAGAGGCTTCGACTGCGCCGTGGGAGATCGCTATATGGGCACGGCCTTCGGACTGCCCGGTGAGGGGGTCTTCGAGGATGGGGTCTTCGGACTGATGGGCGGTGGCCCACACGGACCCAATCCGTTGCCCTGCGGCAGACCCCGCGTGCCTGGAGCTTGGGGGGGCGGAGGCGGCGGTGGAGGTGCCAGTGGAGGTGCCGGTGGAGGTGGCGGAATCTTTGGCGGCGGAAGAGGACGAAGAATGGGGGGTCCTGGAGGACCTGGAGGTCCGGGAGGTCCGGGAGGCCCGGGAGGAGGCTTTGGAGGCAGAGGCGGCGGAATTTGGAAAGGATTCCCCGCCGCCGGCGTTGGAAAGCCAAAAGGCGTAAAAGCCGAACCGATACCAGTGCGCTTCCCCAAGCGGTTCCTCAAGCCCGCCGAGGATGCAGCCAAGGCGGCCAAACAGGCGGAGAAGGACGCGCTGGAGACCAAGAAGAAGGGCATCAACATGATCAAGTATCTGCAGAAGAAGGGCACTCTGGTCCGTCCTTGGAATCCGCAAGAGGGCAAGGACAAGAGGCCCAGGCCCAAGCCGGCCAAAGTCGCCGGCGAAGATGGCTTGAATGACTTCCAACGGAAGCGTAAGTTCCTACTGGACGGTCCACCTCCACTTTTATCCCAAATTCCGAGGCGGGGCAAAGGATACGATCCCTGCGATCCCTATCGCCTGGATATTGTCTGCTAAAAAGCCCGGAATTTTTGACGGATTCAACTATATTGTGTCTGCTCGCTTTCCAATGTCGCGAAAAATTCTAATGGCTCTCTCAAATAATATGTATCGCATATTTTATTATATAACTATGCATTTTATTATGTTTTTGTTGCTTCACTTTGGTGTCTAGGTTGATGTTTTTTTTTAAAATTTTTCACATTTTTTTTGGGGTTACCTCTTGTTTTTGTCGAAAAAATTTTAAAACCAATAATTTGTATAATAATCAGTTCAAAGAGGTGTTGTATTGTTTTCTTTTTGCCAAATAACTGATTGTTATTCCAAAAGAACACCTACAGCCAAGCGAGGCACTGTATTGAACAGCTGGCGAGCGAAGCTATCGAAGCTCAAATTCAATTGTAAGCCAATTCTTCATAAGTGGTTAAATCATCCATTTTCTGCCAACGTGGAAAAAAATCTTTCCAATCGATTGGTATTATAACGAGTTCAACGTGGTTTGACATTCCATATTTGGTTCATGTTTTCATGGTTATGGTGAAAAAGCTTTATATTGTTTGAAAGTCATGGAACTTTGTTGCGAAATCAGGATCAAAGCTTTTCGTCTTTTTTTTAACATTTTTGTGATGCAAGCCTTGAATCGTTGTCTTTATGTTTCCCCCTTAAAAATTTCCCATTTCGTATCCACAGGCAAAAGACATCCTGCTAGTGCTGTGAAAATCCGAATGGCATTATCAAATTTTATGATACGACTGAAGATTCCATAAAGCCTTGCTCTCGTATATTATACATGAAATATGGCAATTTCAATTAGTTTTTAGTGCCGCCGACATACAGACGGACAAGGGGATTAGATTTTGTAAGCCCAACAGCTTGTTTGCGTTATTATAACAGCATTTCGGACTGCCAATTCCACTCGCAATGCGCAATGACATCGAAATCGGGTTGCGAAGTGGAGACGAGTGGAGCAGAGATTGAAAATGTTGTCTGTGCAGTTAATTAAATGGCAGGCACGCACAGGGACCCCGGGAAACTTGGGGGAAGGGAACTTCATGGCAATTCAGATATCAGCAGAGACCCACACACGCGCACAGAATAATAGTAAATTATTGGGATATGATAATATATGCTAAATTCTTAAGCTGATTAGCAGGGAACGCATCATATCCATACACCAGATGGAACAGGCGAGCTTATATGCTGAGCTAATAGATAGCCATGTCACATTATCTTAAACATGATATAATATTTATCAAAACAAAAACATGGAATAG